AGGTCGAAAATAGATCCAAGAAAATAAGCAAATAAGGAAAGATAAAATCCATTGTGAGACATTAATTCAAGAGCCATTTCTAACCAGAAATTTCAAAACAGAATTAAAACATTTCTAGTGCTTCTTTTTTCTTTTTGTTCTCTTTAATTTCAAACCGCTGGCTAGTTTATCTGATGAGGAAAACTGCATGCAAAGCTCCACTATCGTTTGGGTAGCCAATGTGATTACATATGCACTTTCCAGTTAAAATTGATAACATTTTTTTTTTTCATTTTGCCCGTTTCTTATAATCGGCAACACGTGATTATGCAGTACTGAACCTTTGGAGTTGAAGTGTGACCGCGAGGAACAGATATGATGGAACTACAACCCACTGTGTTCTCAGAATCCCAATTCAGTGAAGCCTCGCGAGATATTGTATTCTCCAACTTTATAATCTGTCAAAACATAGAGAAGATAACCTGGATTACCAATGGTTACAAAATTAGGACTGCTTTTAATCTTTTAGATATCGAGAAACAAGGTGTGTCAGTTTATCAATCACAGTAGAAGGCAATTGTGTTGAGAGAATTTCCGTCTTAAAGTGACGTATTCAACTTCCAAAAACCAAAGACTAAAATGAGATCTCTAAACTCATTTTCCTAACGTAGACAATTCCATAAAGAGAGCCTAAGCTTGCACTCTGATAGTGGTTGAAAGTGAAGTAACATTGAAACATAAACATTATGTAAGCCTTCTTATGACATTTGCATAGATATATTAGCAACGAGGATGATTGATTGGCCAATTCCATACGAATTCCAAAGTTTTGGGGAAATGAATGAACATTATCAAATTGAAAGACCATATAAATGATACTTACAGAATTTGAAAGAGAGGATAGTTTAGGTGACATGTTTAGCACCCCACTAGGCATATCGCTATCTGGGACACTGAAAATAAAGCAAACAAAAGGGCATTGAGTTTGGACCAAAATGGGGTGGCATGGGAAGGCATAACAGAAAGGAAAAAGCAAACTAACTAACCTTGGGGAACTCAGATGTGAAATAGAAGGGCAAGAAGAAGAGGAAAAACGCCAATTAGGACCTGACATCTACTGTTTCCTCAGCTCTGTTGCAAAAAATAGTTTAGCCGGCATATGGAGAAAGCAAAGCAAAGAAGAGAACAGACTTATACATGAAAAGTACAAGATGATATCACATCTTGAACAACATTAGCAGAATCTTTTAAAAGAAAGCAAAAAATAGTATTCAGTATTACCTTTTCAGTTAAAACTTCATGAAGTTTTAGTTAAACCTTGGAGGGAGTTAAGTAGCACGCATGATACATCACCATCACCATGAATTCGTTAGGAAGAGCTAGTCAAGAAGCTGACATTTAGCCGGTTACTAGTGCACAAACAATCAAGCAAAAGATCTATTTCTCTCTCAACTCCTAAACAACAAAACCTCTAAAAGCCTAACGCCAAGACAAGACAACAAAATTTCATATTAATAGTAGCACTATTAGCAACTAACATTGCTAGTACAATACTAAAATCTTGAGTCTTGACTATTGACTAATGAATAAAATAGAGAAAGAGATGGACGGCCCACAGTGACACATGGAGTGGGTGAATATATTAATATTTGTGAGGAGGGGAAGGAAAGGGAAATGAAAGGAACAACATAGCATATTGTATTACCCTCCTTGAGACGGGAGTGGGGACATAACCCACCAAGAAAGGGGTAGAATTGAGCATTAAAAACAGCAATAATTATTATGAGCCATTAAGAGCTGGTGAATGATGACATTTGACAGTGGGAGCAAGCAGCAGCAGGAGGAGGTTAATGATGACTGTTGCATATAATTAATTAATTAATTAATTAAAAAAGGATCTCACAAGAGATGACATCATATCGTTAGATTAGGTGGAAGAACTGGAAAGTAGACCAAGATGATTGCGACTTTGCAAGCCCAGAAGAGAAGCTGCTTAGAGCAGTTGGCTGGCTTTCCTTTCTTTCCTTGTTAGTTCTGGCCACCCAACCCGACCCATCTATTAATTAAGGAAAGTGGTGTCTATTCTCCAGCTAACTCACTTCCCTTCACATTTCTGTGAAGCCCACGAGATACCAAGGAATTACAAAAGAAAATTCTTCTTTATATAGACCCTGTGGTTGAAATATATATTATCTGTCAGCAAAATACTCCTATAATTATAGCAGGCGGTCTGCTCTGGCAGTCAACCAAACTAGGAGAGAAAGGAAAACATAGAAATAGCAATAAATTTGGGGACAAAATAGTCACAGAGAGAAAAATTAAAAAAAAAAAAAAAATTCCCGAGTTGACTTGCCTAATTTATGGCTTCTTCTACGTTCCACTTGCACACAATCCTGCAATGCTACTCTAAACAAGTCACTTGATCTAATGGAAAATAATTAATGCATGCTTCAGCTAAGAGATATAATACCCTGGACTGGGGCACATGACAGATTTTTTAATTCAATACTAGTCCTTACTCCTTAGGAAAAGAAGGCATCGATTGCTTTGCTTTGGAAGTGGGGCGATGGGCGTTGACTCCCTTTGGCCTTCACTTTGATTTTCATTTGTGTTTTCAGTTTTCTTTTCTTCTCTTTTGCTTTGTCGAGACAGCCAGAACTCAGAACTCAGAAGAAGAAAGTCAGTTAAATGGCTGGCAATGGCTTGGAGAGTTGACCATCATACATACATATATATATATATATATATATATATATATATATATATATATATATAGTCCATACTATCCGAATAAACCTATATGTCAATCGTTGCTCCTATTTATTCATGTGATTATATAGTATCCTATTTTTTTCATTTGTTTTTTTAACTCACGCACTAAAGTCTTCTAAAATAACTAATTTATTAAAATTTAAATCTATAATATTTTATTATAAGAGACTATTAACACTGAATTATAAGCTCTTTAATCCATATTTTCATTACGGTGTCGACTCTCTCTCTCTCTCTTTCCCTTTTTAAGAATTCCACAATAGATTAGTAGAGTAGTTAATCTTAGCAAGCAAATCGATGTCTTTTAAAGTTTCATTTGTTTGGTAAAAAATAAATTTAAATAGGAAAAGCAATTCGAAGAAGCTATTTTTCAAAAAGTTGTTTTTCAAAAAATTATTTTTTAACGTTTGACAATTATATAAAAAACTTCTGAAAAACATATTACATGTACATTTTTAACCATCAAACCAATTCATCAAAATTATTTAGAACAAAATCAAGTCAATATTCACATCTAGTAAAAAAATAAAAATAAAAATAAGTAATCTTAGCATTGTTATTTTGGTAACTCAATTAAGAATTCTTTAAAAAAAAATTGAACTGATAATTTAGTTCAAGAAATAGTTTTATAAATTATTAATTATCATTGATAGATAATTATTCATTTAGTTTCAAAAGATTGATGTTGAAATAATTTGTAACTAATTATTGATTACGATTATCAATAAAATTTTACAGTCGATTAAAATTAGTTACAAGTTATTGATTTAGCGACAAATAAATATTGTTAAAAAAATAATTTATCTATTAATGAATTAATTAGTTTCAAAATTTTCACAAATAATTGTGGTCTTGTAATTATAATTATTTTCAATCACTTTAAGTATAGTTTAGGCAATGTTTGGGATAATGGTAAAAAAATAGAGATAAATTATTGAAATATTTATTATAAAAATAATTTTAAGATGTAAAAATGATTTTTAAGAATATTTAATGTATTTATAAATCGAAAAATCAAATGTTGATAGAAATAGAGAAAAATAATTAAATAATTAAAAAATAATTTGACATCTTTTAAATAAAAAAGAGATAAAAAAATTATTAAAATATATTAAGAAATAAACGAGTAACGCGAAAGCAAGACAACTCGTGAGAGAGAAAGAATGTTTTCCTCCTTTTTAACTCGAAAAATATTTTTTCAAAAATAATGTATCAAACTCCGTTTATTGAAAATCAAATCCCGTTGATTTTTTTCCTAAACAAAAAAAAAATGAAAAAATAAAAAAACAATGAGAAAAACAAGTTTCTAAAACTTATTTCTCCTAAATAATCACAGGCTAAGTTTATAAGCCAGTCACGGGTGTGGATTTGCCTCTGTTAACTACATGGGCGGCCGACAAAGATCAAATTAAGAAACGGAAGAAGACAAGGGGATTACTACAATAACATCCTACCTGTAGCATTTAAGTACAGTTACTACCCTGCTCATCCTTTGCCCGGTGCCATTTCATTCTGTCACCTCGTACTAGATTTGGTTGTTGTCTGCTTTGGTGTGGGCTGGGCGGTGGGCACTTTAGAAAATCGCAAAACCCCAAGCTTTCTGTGTAAGCATGCATGGATATCTCCAGGCCGAAGGTTTGATTAAATCAAAGAGACAAGATGGATTAGATTACAAGTGGGTCGGTGACGTGGTTAGAAGAAAGACAGAGGCCCAAATTTAAATTATCAAGGACTTCGAAGTTGAGCCCATTGCTTAGCATACATCAAATTACACGAGTACTGGACATCTCTGGAACTTGGGCTTCAGTTCCAATCCAGAAAGTCACACTCCAGCATGATGAGATGGATGTGACATTGTGGAGTGGAGCCCTTATGTCGGAAACCAGGCCATAACCGCTCGTGTGCATTTCCAAATGATCTTTCCATCTTATCCAGCCTTTTCCTCTTTATGTTTTTTTGTTCTTTGTTGGCCAATGGAATGGAGCCACGATGAATAGGAGTCTTCTGTAGGGGACACAAAACAAACAATCACGGCCTTGCTGGAACTCACCATCATCCAGCCCCCACTACTCCACTAGCCAAGCCAACAACCAACCAACAAAATCCCTCTCAAATTGATAATCTAAAGTGGCAGTCAGTCAAACGGGTCAATCACATTGCAATGTTGATGTTAATGTCATGATAAATATTGCAAATACATCTTCTATTGATTCCCTCCTTGGCATATGGATGGGAAGAAGAAGCCAGAAATGGAGTTACCCTTTTCATGGGACAACACAGCTTCAACTCGTGTTGGCTACAAATCTCCTGCAAGCAATCTAAGGTCAAATAATTAACTGGATCCTAAAATCTTGCCCCATGGCCATTGTCATCCCTACCGAAGCTAAAATACAAATAGGGGTGTGCACCACCAGGCTTGTGCAGTCTATTTTTCTAATTTTGTTTTTGTTTTCTTTCCATGCATTGCTAATTTCGCACTAAATAGCAAAAGAATAGTCAAGGCAAGACCTGATGCATCGTTTTCATGGATAATTAAGGATATTGAATCCAGAGTGCGGTGCGGTGTAGACAGGAACCGTCCAATAAATTCACCCTGGATTCCTTTTGATCCTATCCTTAATTAATTAATATGGCCTTATATATATATATTACGCTACTGATGTCATGTTGGCTTAATAACATTTAATTTGGAAAATTATTTATTTAAATTGTGATTGAAAATTTTAAGAATGCACTTAATTTGTTAATGAAACAATATGATATTTATATTCAAAATGGCATATATATGTAACTAGTTAATGAACTATATTTTAACCGTAATTAGTTTATCCCTTGCTCTAAAAAATTTTGAATTTGAAGCTTTCTTTTGTAAAGGGGAAAAAAACATGCAATTAATTAGTGAAGTTTATTTTGAAGATCTCCAGTTTGTAATTACAAATTCCAACTGACTACTTAATTGAAAATCAAATTGACGAAATCATGACACAACTTGATAGAAGAAAAATCTAAGCTAAACAAAAACTAAATAACTTCCACAAATACATCAAATACATAGTCTAATTAATCGCAATGCATGCTAGACTAGATATGCAACGATCCAAATCCAAGGGAATCGAAGGAGCCTGATGGTCGATGTTTAGTCAACGGTTGGTTACTTGGCCTAGAAATGTAACACTGAGTTTTGACTTATTTATCTAAACAAAAAAAATTATTACACATAAATTGACTTAGGAGGTGTTTGATAACCTAATTAAATAGCTTAAAAAATTAAGTTGTACTACTTAATATAAAAATCTTGTTTGATAATTTAAATAATCTTATATTAAAACTTTAAGTTCAGTTAAAATCTACTTAATCGGATAAGTTAAAATTTTTAACTTATCCGATTAAGTCAAACTATCTAAAACATACTCTCTCTCTCTCTCTCTCTCTCTCTCTCTCTCTCTCTCTCTCTATATATATATATATATATATATATATATATATATATATATATATATATATATATATATCGAATTTATAAATTATAATAATATATTTTGAAAAATAAAATACTCATTTGAAAAGCATAAAAATAATTCATTATATAAATTATAATAATATATTTTTAAAAAATAAAACATCGACGTTATAAAATTTTATTCCAAAATTCATATATTAAAAAATCAAATTTATTAACAAATAAAATTATATCAAAAATTAATTTGATGAGAGTTTTAGTAAGAAAAAAATAATTGAAAAAAATAAATTTTAAAAAATAAGAGTAATATAATCGGATGAATATGATCAAACTAAAATCTTAAAAAATATCATATATATTCTATCATCTTCAATCGGACTTATTATATTAAGTGCTTAATTTTTAATAGATGCCAAACAAGCTTGTCAAGAACATATTCAATACTTAATAGATTCGAGTACTTAATTTTCAGTTTTATCAAACATAACCTTAGTGGATAACAAAATAATCAGATTTATTAATTCTCAAAAACCCTCAAAACAAAGAACATAGTCATAATTTTAAGGAAACACCCAAAATACCTCGTTTTATTAATCCATTACAATTACTCAAAAAAAAAAATTAAGTCCTAATAATAATGAATTGGAAAATAAAAATAAAAATAGAATTTTAGAACACTAATTTTTTAAATAATACTATTCTAATTAAATGAAGGGTAAAGCAAAAATAATTATAGATATGGAAGACGAGACATCACAAGATCACCACAAAAGTAGCATCCAAGAGAAGCCTTCGGCTTTCCGAAGAAACGGACCCGGGTCTAGAATACAAGGCATACAAAAACTCTAATGACAAGTACTAGATATGCTCAACACAAACTAATAGTGTATGGATTGCACAAGCACTAGATTTAATCGATCTCTTTCTCAAAAGGAATTACCAATCCTAATTGGCTGCCTGGATTTCAATTAATCTCTAGACCCGCGCGCAAATACAATATTAGTAGAATGAGAATTCATGCACGTCAAGCTATTTGCTTATTTAAGTTCATCCAGAGTCTTAGACAAGTACCTTACATAATAATGCATTGGTGAAAAAGGAGAAGATTTGATTGATCCTATCACTAAACTGTTATCCTGCTGATTTGCGTTAACTTTTTGCAATATAAACAATCTGGGAAAGAAGACGAAAGATAACAATAAAATTGCTCAAAAGTGCTTTACTTTTATCTCTATTACTGCCCCAGTACGAACGTACCCCTGGAAAAAATCAAGCTTGAATTTTAGTAATTCAGGAAATTAAATAATTAACTTGAGCTAGCAATTAAGGATTACATAAAGGTAACGGATCATCATCAAAGTATAAAGCAACACAAATCCTAATCGATAATTTACATAGGAACAGGAGAGTAGTATAGATAATACAATTGATTAATATTGCTGGATATTTATAAAGAGGGGAGAACTTGTCATGATCGCAAGAGAAATATAGAGAGTTCTTGTCCAGAACTGCCAACAGGATTAATCATGTGAAAGGACTCGGAATCAGCAGAGCCAACGACTCGCTCGAAACTGGCTCGTAAGTACATGAGGAGGTCCCCTGCTTCCCCTGCTGCCACCGGCAAAACACCAGCACCTACGGAGACTGACTGCATGAGTTTGAGTACATCCACGTCGCTAACACTCATCTGCCTCCTCATAGCAAAACCAACCTTCCGTCCATTACAGTACATGGACCACACCGGCACGTTAAAGAGGGAGCAGCGCTCCTTTTGGCTATTAATTTGCCTCGGGTGGCAGCACTCGAGTGCTATGCGGAGCAACCCGTGCTGCATCTCTTTTGCGAGGTAGGCTGTGGGGACTGCGAACTCTAGAAGTAAGAGAGGAGAGCTCCGCGTATCGTCTTGGAGGCAAAAACTCACTCGACCTTTCCTGTAACCAAAAAAGGTGCCGGTTACGCTGGTGGAAGTGGAGGTGGTGGAAGCTGACGGAGATGCGTAATGATCATCCGTATCACCAGCAAGAGAATCTGTAGATGCTTGAAAGCCACAACAGGCAGGGACCATACATTCCACAAGAGACCTAAAGGACCTCCGGAACCTCACTTCCCGCCCGCAGTCTACGGAGGTTGGGGTGTCCATTATAGGGACCATCCCTCTTTGACTGCCCAAATCTATCATCATCCTCATCTTCTACGTATATATCTATCAATCTATATGTACACCGCTGCCACAAGGCAATTATATAAGCAGTAGGAAGCTAGAAATGAAGAAGATATATGAGTGAGGGAGAAGAGGGAATTAATTCAACAAAGAATCAAAAATAAGTTAATGTGTTTTATTATGAATAGGTAGGTAGGTTGATACCTGCGGCTGCTGCAAGAGCATGTTATTATTATTATTCGTACTAGTAGAGTAGACTCATGAAGTACATTAAGCTAGGAAAGTTCAAAGTAGGCAATGAAAGAGGCAGTAGTAGGTGGTAGCTAAAGGAAGGAAGGGAATAATTATGAAGAGGGGAAGCAGTTGTAAAGCCAATAAATACGCAAAAGCAGTGGGAGAAGCATTGAAGAGAGAGAGAGAGAGAGGCAAAAAGGACGGTGTTGCGTGGGTGGGCCTGGGAATCGGGGGCAATAATTCTGCCCACGAGGGCATGTGGGGTCTCCTCTTGGAAGCATTTGCGAAGGTGGTGCGCGTGATACGACTTCTTGGATTGTGAAACAAAGAACCAAACAATACAGATTTTCCTTTTCCTTCTAACGAATAATATCGCAACACCAATATTCATCCTTTCATTTCTTATTTTTCATGCATGCAGATTATTTTTTCAAGAAAATAAATAAAGAAAAGAGGTTACAGTCTGGGACTGCAAAGTAATAGCGTTAGGATCGCATGCACGAGGCAATGATTAGACCCAATCAGTCTTGCCGTGTCTCAACCTTTACCTGTTCAAAGATATCGACCTGACCTGATGCATGTTCGATGTTCGCCTCCCCGGTCCAGCCCCACTCTTCTTACTTACGGTAATTCCTAGAAAATTTTATCCCTGGATGCATAGCACGATATTAATTCACTTATATCGCTATTAGGGTTAATGAATCAATCAACTCCACGGTAAGTGCCTCCTCGTTACCTCCTAACTGCTACTTACAGAGCAATTATTGTGCCATTCCCTATGCATTTTCTTTTTATTATCTAATTGATTGACTTTTACGACTTATCTTTCACTTTTTTAACTTAAAAAAAGTTATATTATCTAGTAATTCAAAATTCCCTCTTCCGCGAAAGTTTTTTCTTCATAGGTTATCTACTTTTAGCTACAAGTCTAGGGCAGGGCTTTTTTTCCTTTGAGGATTGTTTTTGCATTTTAAATAATCGACCAACGATCAGTGATGGCAATTTTTCCCGCCTCAATGGAGCCCACCCCGCCCTGTGTTAATTTTTTCTGATCAACGTGTAGATTCTCTGCGTTAATCAGGAAACGGGGTAGGGTGCGGGTGAGGATGAGATTTGTCTGTCCGTCTCATTTGTCTTAATTTTTTTAATTAAAATTAAAATTATATTTCATATAAAATTTATAATTAATTACTTTTAGTGTTTATTTTGTATATAAATTATCATTTTTTTGTTATAATTTAAAATTAAATAAAATGAGATGAAAAAAAAATTCATGCTTGCTCCGTGGGAATTCCTATCCTCGTTTGATGCATGAATGATACGAGAAATTTTGTCCTATTCGAAGCACAAGGCGGGAACAGAAAAAATTTTTCAGGTGCAAGGCGGGGCCGGGCATTGCCATCCCTACCAAAGGTACATATGACCTTGCATTGCATGATTAATTGCTTCAAACTTTCTCTGCAAGCTTAATGGAGTTTTTTTTTATGATTGCCATTCTACGATAATGAGAATCATTGGTGTGTGTGTGTGTTAACTCACAAGTAATCCAGAACTGATGGCATCACGAAAAGGTCCCTTGGAGGCATCAACAATCTAAGAGTTCCTCGAATCAAGCTGCCAACTTTCTTTTTTTAATAATGATTTTTTTATCCAATAAAAGATGGAAAGTGTAAGGTTTTTAATTAAATACAGGATGCAAAATGTAATAATTAGTATATAAAGTACAGGATAGTAGAAGTAATTATTTAAAAAACAAAAACAATTAAGAAGAAGAAGTAAATAATAACTACTGCTACTAATCATTGATGCAGGCATACATAATCATGGCTATAATTAGGATTTTTCTGTGATTGTGTGTGTTAATACGAGCTTATAGCTTCTTTTGGTTTGTCACTACACATGATAGTTTAGAACCTTACGGTTATCATGTAATCAAAACTAAACAATGTTTTGATGCCACAGAAAATTAAAAGAAGGTGGTAAAGCTAGTTTTCGTTGTGAGCATGTACTTGGTAGAGCTAGCTGAGTCCTCAGAAATTAGAGAAGAGAGTGTGAGAAAAAACAAATCCATTGCAATCATATCCGGAGCATTTTGGCCCTGGGTTTCTGCACGCTTTGGTACCCTTTTAGCTTAATTATTCAATAATTCAAGGCTTCCCCCACCACTATCTAATTTCCCCTCCACTATGGAAAATAATACAAATTATTATAGCATACATAAAATGCGAGCGCACACACACACGGTATATAATTAATAAACAAATTCAACATGCATTTTTCTCTGATCTCTCTCTTGAAAGAAAACATGCAAGACAAACGGTCATTAGCTAAAGAAAACGTGAGTCAGTTAGTTGTAGGCAAATTTTTGAGGTATAAAGGATTATGTATAGCAATTGGATTTCAGGTCCTGCCGGATTTTTATTTATTTATTCTGACGAGTGCATTGTAGAAATGATAGCAAGTGTTTTTGGTTTTGGTATAAATTATATATTAATTTTTCTAATTTTTTAAAATGAATTAAATATTTAGTCTGGTTTCTAAAATTAATGGTTTGTAATTTGACCATTTTTATTTTTTCAGTTCATTTTTTTAAGACATGTAGAAAGGAAAACAAGTAAAAAAATATTAAAAGATCAATTATAATTTTTTTTGAAATAAAATAATATTAAATTAATCTTAATCAATATGATTAATTAATTAATTAATTCTTTAAACAATAGCTATTATTTAATTCGTTATGCAAAAGTAAATGATTAGCTTATAATCTACTCTGGTTTCCACTTACTGGGATGATTATTCCGGCTTTTGGATCAATGAATTTTGTATCGATTTTTTTTTTAAAAAAATTGTATTGTTTTTATCGAAATTTTCCTTCTAGTTAAGTATGGATTATATATATATATAAACGTACGCATTCTCTTCTGCACGCTGATCTGAAAGAAACAATTAATTATAAAAAATACAATGCTGCTGTTATGAAAAAACAAAAATTTCTCAACTTTCAATGGAACGAACAGCGGCGGGAAAGGCCATCAATACTTTTATGTCGACTGATCGCAGCAACAAAACAAAATGTTATACAGGATCTTCCCACATAATATATTCCTCTTTCCTTTATGCAAAGCAAGGCCTGCCTTTAGGCTATTTTTAATAATGGGTTGCAATCATATCATTGCCTGTGGCCCGATTCAAGTATGCATGCTGGCTACAGTAAATTATAAATTAGTCGCTCTTGTTTCATAAAATGAATTAATTAATGCTTCTTATTTTAAAAATTATTATTTAATTTTTTTTTATCGATGTTGATCATATTTAATTTAATATTATTTTTATTTCATCAATATTTGATAATTTTTTTATTTTTTAAAATAAAAATAAAAAAAATTAATTTTTAAAATAAAAAAAATAATTAATTTATTTATCAAAACAAAAGAGATTAATTTGTAATTTACTCCTGCTGGGTGCTAGCTGCTGGTACGATGGATAGCATGACTATATTCACATTGGTGGCAGAATGAGGTGGCTCTACCTCATCATTATTCTACTACTTTGTCTTCATCTATGGGTTTCATAAATCACTATTATTAAAAGGAAAAATAAATTCCAATAGAGTAATCAATTTTGTTATTATATTTATATAATTAATTCAACTTATCGGGAATTAATATATTTTTCAAACGAACAGCTTTACACTCCATTTCCACCACATAATATATGTATATATATACACTTTTCAGTGCCTCTCTTTTATTTTGTATGTATATACTATAATTGATTAGGGCTTAGGAGCAAAATTTAGCGCTTGCACCTATAATTAGTGGAGGACGGAATCTCTCTTCGGCTTGCACATTTTATTTTGAATTTAAATAATCTATTACTTCATTATATAATATTATATATATTAATTTTTATTGATATGGAATTTAGATACAATCAAGTAATATATATATGTGTGTGTAAATAACAAGATATTTTCGTATTATTTTTTTGTATTAATGGAGAATATACTTTTTAAGAAAAAGTACTAAATAAGGCTTGCGGCCAGGCTGTAAATTTGACTAGTGTGTTTACTTTACCGACCAGAGTGGTGTAATAATTTCCCAAAAAAGTTTGTCACGAGAAGAGAGTGACAAATGTGGATGCAGTTAGGTAGAAGCTTTTACATGGGGGAGGGGAACAAGCACAGTTTTTGCTGTTAAAGTAGAGGTTTCTATCTCAACAGGCCACGTAATAAGGAAGGATTAGTGGCAAACTTGTGGGGACAGATCTTTGCATCCTGTTCTGCTTTAAAGTGAATGATAATATTCATTGAAATTTACGCATAAAATTTGACTCTTGCATTAGCTCCGATCCAAATATTTCTCCTCGATCACTTTTGCATTTGACCCAGGCCCCCCTTTCTTTGTTGTTTGTGATGTAGCCCGTAGCACGCAGGCAGTAGCTTTTTGCCTTTTCCTCAACCTCATCCCCTTTCCTTTTTTTCGTCGGCGATTCCAATGAAAAACAATTTTGGGCTTAGCCTCCTAAAAGATAACTTATGGGTTTGAACTATTAACAGGCCGAAACAATTTTTGTACCTTTGAGGCCAGCTCAACTTATCTGGAACCCCAAACTTCATTGCTTCAAATACCCCCCACCCCCCGGTCTCCTCCTCCAGAGATCACGTCTTTGATTCCAAATATTTCAAGTTGCTATTGGATTTGATCTATGTAATAGACCTCCTCTTATTCATAAAGTTTTTCCCTTTTTTTTTCTCTTCAAACTTGAGTGAGTAAGAAATTGGTTCCTTTATTAATAGGGTTTTTGACTATATTTGATTCATGTACACTTCAAATTGTTTTGATTGAAATTTTATTTATATATTTTTTTCATATGAATTGAGTATTCTCTTCTTAATTTTATTTCCGTTATATCACTATTAGTTGTTTTGTTTTCATGATAAATTTCCATTAAAACCTCAATTTGATGTGCAACAGATTATGTGTAGAAATTTAATAAAAAGACTCAATTGATGGGAAAAATAGCATGAGATTTTCGATGAAAAAAATTCAGAGAGTTAAAAATGTCGGCATCGTCTTCTGTCCCTCGAGTTGTCAAACATTTATTAAAGAAATTTAATCACGGCACTGACCATATATTATTAAGGAAATTAATTAGTAGTGGCTAGAGATCAAGATCAATGCAACAAATTTCCACGCATAATTCGAAGGATTGACTTCAAGAGCTCTCTATCCTCATCTCTGGGACAACTTGTTTATGACTGACTTCAATCATCGCGCTGCAATTGTTTACTATATATCAGTTCTTATGAAAAGTCTGGAGGGCACCTAATCTGATCCCTAATGCATGCATGATTCTTCCTTTAAATATGAATGCAAATATCATTGACGTCATGACGACGTGTATATATATCCAATTAAGTCTTTACAAGTTTTATGTTTACGTAATCGTAGTTGAGTAGCCAAAAAAAAGACAAAAAAACAGAAAGAAAAAAACGCTAGTCTGAAACCATATAATTGGAGCTTTGAAAATGCAAAAACAAGTATTCGTCAAGTACGACGGAGGTGTTGCGTTCAATTTAAATCGTTAGATCAGGACCAGACACACATGGCAGGGAATGTTGATCTTCATCAATTGATTTTGACCAGGTTAAATCAATAGTTGCTAGCTGCATGATTTTTGGTGCAAAGAAAATTGAAGTACGGTTTCCACCAGCGTAATTAACTGTTTTCCTCTTTGTTCAGACTTATATTAAAAGAAGGTTGACCTTGGAGGAGCATAAGAAGCTACACTTGAAGTTATTAATATTTATGGCGGCAGAGGCAGACAGAGCAGACGCGGGATAGTGGATGGACTAGCAATAGTCAACTTTTTTTTTAATGCCCTCAATCACGAATGACTAGGAGAGATATCTTATTCAAAATGATAAATCAGAGCATGATCGGCAGCGTAATTAATTAAGCTCCTAGACTGTATTATTATAGGTCTACCAAGCAGTTGTAATTTTTTCTTTTCAGACTATATTAAAAATAATATTTATTTTTATATGTAAGTTTTTTTGCGTATAGATCCAACACGAATAAAGAGATTCATGCATCTCTTTTATAAATTATATTATAAGGAATTCATGTATACATATTGTTTTGACTTTTATTTTAGATGAGAAAAAAAATAATATAGCTTAGCCTCTTGTATTTATATTTCGAAGGTCGTTAATAAAGTGACTGGTCATGAGGTTAGTTTGCTATTACTGCGGAAGCAGTAGGTAGACAAACCAACAGATTAATATTTTTGTTGTATAAATGGGTCCCCAAAATTAAGGTTACGCAAGAGGATTATAGACGGTTTGAATAACTAGGATGGATGAAAGATAAGGTTGCCTTGCCTGCACCTACATTTGACTTTCCAAGCAAGGACGGCTAGCTCAATCCGGTTCCCCGTGTGAAAGTTTTGCCAAATAAAAATGCCGGTTTCTTTATCCACGAAGTTTCTCAAGACACGTGACAAGAAAAATAAGGACATTAGCTGGACTTGGTACCTTAACTTGCTGTCCAAGCTTAATTTGTGGCTGTCGTTTTTGAACATGGAGTTCCCGGCTGACCTTATCCTTTTGGCTTTCGCATCTTCCCTCCTCTCTGTTTCCTCACAAGAGCCTTTTTCTTTTATTCCTCAGTCCGGACAAAACCGTTTTTAAACTCGAAATATCTTTTTCCTTATATTTTCATTTTTTTTTTATGAATAAGTCGAAAGAACTGTACTCAAAAGCCAATAAAATTAAGCGTCATCAACATTTATAATAAACGTACAATCAAAGCCATATATGCACCTGTACATGTATCTCTTTTACATGGAGAGTACATAGTTATATCTTACAAATTAAAAGGTTATAACTTACAAATTAAAAGGCAAAATAATGGAGTATATATGTAATTAACAAAAATGATTTTTTTTCCCTTCAAAATGGGATTGTATTCATAAATAAGGAAGAAATGAAGCTTTAATCAAAGAGCAGTCCCTTCATAAATGGTGGTTAATCTGAGCTTAAAAGACCGAACAGCTAATTTTGCTCGTCTGGAAGTATATTTTTGAAATCTTCTGACAGAAGCTGATCTGGAAATCCCAATGGGAACAGCTGGTTGTTGTTTCACCTGTGGATTTGCAGCTGGCTTTGGCTTCGGATCAAAACTGATATTCTTGACAGCATTATGTTCCTGGTAGTCATGGTCCGGATTAACTAACAAAACAGGAGAAATCCGGGCATTCTTGCCGCGACGGGAGCCCTTCTTGGAGGAGTTTTTAAGGGCTAAGCTAGCTTTGACAGCCAAAGCTGCCATATCTGAAGAGGTTAGCTTGTGCTGAAGCTTTGATTTAGGAAGCACAAAATAGATCTGATCAGATTGGAGAGGGACATCCGAATTCAAGACAGGAATGTATTCATTGTAGAATAGAAGGTCGGAGTTGCAGAGAAACCAAGATGAAGAGGACGAAGATGAAGATGAGGACGCAATTTCAGCCTGAAGAACTTGAGAAACGAAGGCAGGAAGATAGTATTCGCGAAGATCACCGTGAATAGAAATAACTTTGGCCGTTTGGTGACGAACTTGTTCATGAGATTCACTACCCAACGAAGAACAAAAACAACCAGCCATCTGTTCTTCTTTCAATAAATATGTGAAATACTGGAAATGGAAATGGTTGTTGATTCGTCAGTGCTAGAAGATTTGAGAAGAGGAGGAATTAAGAAAGAAGAAGAGAAACAGGCTTGATACAGGCTGTGTGTGTCCTCTACGAGAGATTATGAAGGGAAATTGTGGAACCTTTGCTATTAATAAATATATATAAAAGAAAAGGGTAACGGTATTGGAGTACGTGATTGACGAGGTAGCATTTTGATGTATAGATACACGTAAGCAAATCCGTCATGAATGAAAATAATTTCTGTTGGCATAACAAAACTTTACTTGCCAAACAAACAGTTGACTAGCAATTTCTTTGTGAGCCCGGGAAAAAAACAATAGAATTCCAATTTCCCACCTTATTTCCTATGAGTAAATTTTAAATTAGTCCTTTTATTTTGATAAATGAATTATTTAATCTTTTTAATTGAAAAAATTATCTATTTAGTCTCTTAACTAGTATTGATTATATTTAATTTGCTATTTGTTATTTTTCTCATCATTTTTTTCATTTTTTCACTTAATTTATTTTTATTTATTAAAAAATAAAAATAAATTTAAAAAAATGATTCTGTTGTAATAAAATTTAAAAATATAAGGAGACTAATAAATTCGTTCCTCAAACTTATAGGAACTAATCTGTAATTTACTCTATTTCCCTTGGAACATCCTATGTGTTGGTGACTGATAGCACTCTAGTCAGCAATGACGTGGTACGCTGCTGGTAGACCAACAAGTCAACAAATGTGTCTGGCCCACAGGACAAGACAGGACAGGAATAAGAAGGTTGAGTTGAGCCGCCAATGCCAATGCCTATGCCTTTTTGACCATCTTATTGTACGGCTACTACTAGTTTTCCTTAGCCCACAGAATTTTTAAGCCGAGCATGGTTTTCAGGTTGTTTATAACGGGCCTTGTAGTGTTAAAGCCCAACATTGTCCCATTTTTTGTTTCTACAGCATATAACTAGATTTTTTACCTATGCCATGTGTTGCGTATGAAATAAAATATGTACAATTATTTTTAAAAAATTATTTTATTTTAATATTTCTTGTTATATTATTTATCTATAAAAATATATTAAATTAAAAATGAATAAAAATTCATTCAATTTTATAATTTTTAATTAAAAATTTGTATTTAACCGATTATTCTTTATTTTTTTATAAATTTTTTATCAAATAAATTATTTGATAGTATAAAAAATGTTAAAACAAATAGATTCTTAGTTAAAAACTTATTTTGTATGTTTTTTAAACACTTTTTTACCTTAAAATCTTTTATTAAAAAAATCGGAGAAAAAAGGACCAAAGTGATTAAAATAAAACAAAAACGAGGGATCAATATCAAACAAAAAATATTTGCAAACTAAAAAAAAATATTTGAAAAAAAGAATTAAAATGTAATGTCACAATAATTTTCATAATAAATGTTTTTAAAATGTTTGAGAATTACAAAAACATCACTAATTTTTAAATATATTATTATATGATTAAAAAAATAATACATCTCAGCCTGTATAAATAATATTTCAAATAATAAATAAATTATTTTACTTTAGTTTTATTGATAATAATATATCCTGTATTCTTTGATGGTAAATAATTTCTCTCTATCCTAATGAATCAATTCAATGTACAGGAACATGAATACCACTTTATATATTTAGTGCCAGTAACACAGATATTTTTATTCTATTAAAAAAATCTGTTTTATTTGTCACCAAGCATATGCTTCTTTTCATATCTATGTTCTGATTTTACAAATATCTTAGAGTGCAGATGTGTGCACCAAGTTTCAAATATTTCAATAATAATAAAGCGGTTTGAAATATTCGTCGAGAATATATATACATATTCCTTCCCCCAACATGATTTTCAAGGAACGAGCAACAGCCAAATGGATTGATCCGTATTTTGACATGTGGCTTTGGTTTGAAGATATTTTATAATATTCAAATTAGTATATTGAAAATTTTTTTATCACTTTTCATGAGTTTAAATATAATATTTTTTTATTTATCTATTTTTTAAAAAAACAAATTCATAAAATAACTATGATAAATCTACATTAATTATTTTTAAATATTATAAAATTTCTCTTTCGTTTGCATCCAAATACAAGGAGGAATAAAATATTCACGAGTCATGCCAACAGCCAATTGAATATTCCACCACAAGCCTTAACTTTGCATTATTATTTTGTCGTGACATGCAGAATACATACAAATACACGAAGGAGTAAATCTATATTAATTATCTATTTTTTTTGAAAAAAAAATCCATAAAATAACTCCAGTAAATCTATATTAATTATTTTTAAATATTATAAAATTTCATCCAAATACACGAACGAGTAAAATATTCACCGGTCATGCCAACAGCCATGCATGACCACTGATTGAATATTCCACCACAAGCCTTAACTTACTCTGCATTATTGTTTTGTTGTGACATGCAGAATACATACAAAAGGGCACACCTGACCAGGCTGTCACAAAAAAAGAACAAACAAGAAAGAAAAGACCTTTCTTTCCAATGGGTCAGCCCTCAGGCCAAGCCCACACAAAACGATCATTCGCTATTGAACCATTCTCAAGTCTCAACGGAGTCAAAAACTACCAGGCACAGTCGCACACCGCGGTTTCAAACTCGACTGTCCTCAAAGACTGCTCTCAAAATGTCAGACAACGAGATGTTGAATCTACTTCACCCCATATTTCGAACCTTATATTATATTTGCAATTCCAAAACACAAAAATAAAATAAAATAAAATAAACAACAACGACAACAATAAGAATAACATTAAATTTATGTCCAACGATTTCCATTTCTTTTGTCAAACGGTGAATTTTTATTATTATTGTTTATCTTTCAAGTCCTTTATTTTTTTGGTTCAAATATTGTCAAATGAATGCTTTCAATAACATAAGCTTTAAAAAATCCAAAGCAATTTGGACTCAAAAACAATTCGTTGAAATTTGGAAATACGCAGACGTCTATAATAGAGCCCAGTAGTTGAATCTTGAAGAAAAAGTTTGTCGTGAGAAAATTGTTTAGCTCTCTGGCTGGCTCCCTTGCTCTCGGACTGTGATAACGGTTAGACCAGTCCGATGGAAAACGGGCCATGAAGGCCCATGTGGTCTACGGAGCTTTTTAGACAGAGGAAACAATCTCACAGCAATAGTTTTTAGTGATGGGAAAATGGAAATACTAGATAAAGGCCTGGACAACAAATTGGGCTGTTACTACTAATAATTAAAGGGCTTGTTGCTGTAAAGATTTTTAAAAATGGTTATTTTTTAAGAAAAATATCCTAAAATTGATCAACATATTGAAATTTTTATGTGAAAATATTTTAATTTAGCATAAATATAATGAACATGATATGTTTTTCTCCCGCCCCCCTTTTTTTTTTAATCGTGAAAGGAATATACTATACTGAGACCTTTCGAAATTTCTGTTAAAAATTAAAACAACTCTATGGGCTTCATTGGTATTATCGTACTGTGATTATTGTATTTTGTTGTGCTACAGCAAAAAAGTAGTGTTTATTGATTAATTGATTGATATGTTGTGCTTACAAATATTTAAAATAATTAAATAATTTTGATTAAATTTTATTGCTATGTTTTTTAAATATAAAATGACCAATAAATAGTGTAACATACTAAAAATATTTCAACAAATATATTTTATTTATATTAAATGATTTGTAACTTATTAAACTTACATGACCTGTGAGCAATTGTTAAATTTTTTTTTTAAAAAAAACAATAAAAATCAAGGAAGAAAGTTAAATAGAGCTATAATATGCGTGTGAGGGTTTATACACACATTTGCACGTCGTTTTAATAAAATAAATAAATAAAATTGAGTTACATAAAATCCTGGCATCTTTGGTATGTCTAATTTGAAAAAACATAATAATAAAGAAAGTTGTTATTTTAAATAAAAGAATAGAATCCACAAAATTAGCAGTTGTGCTTTCAATTAAAAACACGAGACATCTTGCTTTGGTTTTTTTTTTTTTTTTTTTGAAAAATCTTGTAAAGCGAGACATGTTGTGATTTCAAGGCAAAATATGTATTACTCAGACACTGCTTTTCAATGAAAAGTAGCTTAGGTTTTCGGTTTTAAAAGTACAAAAATACCAAACTGACAGTAAATCTCATATCTTTCAGACTAAAGGAATAGAGGTCGTTGTAACTAGATCAAACTTCCATAGAAATAAAATAGAATATTGATTGCTTTATCTCTCTTTGCCAATCAAGATGAAATTCACTGCCGATACATGCAAATGACAATATATACCCAAACATAGAGAATTTTTTAAGGTGAATCTAATATTTAAAAAAAATGAAAGATAAATTATCGGTTATTATATATTATACTATTTAAAATATTATTCATTCATATTCATTAACAAAAAAAAACTAAAGTAAAACGATTGATTATTATTCACTACATTATTTAAAACAATATTCATTAAAGCTCATTCGTATTATTAGTCGAGATTCAAACATATTATTTTTTTCATTATACAATGTTATTTTTACGAGTTTTCAAACATTTTAAAATCATTTTATTATAAAAGTTTACGTGACATTATATTTTAATTTCTTTTTTTAAAAACATTTTTTAGTCTATAAATATTTTTTGTTTTATTTTTGTTCTTTTTTATCTCATTTTGATTACTTTGATCATTTTTTGATTTTTTATTTAAAAATTTTAAGACAAAAAAATGTAGAAAAAACCTATTTACAAAATAAGCTTTTAGCTAAGAATTAATTGATTTTGACTTTTTTTTACACCATTATAGATTTTCTAGTTAAAAATGTTGAAAGAAATAAATAAATAATGTTTTTTAATTAAAACATTTATGAAAAATATAAAAATAATAAATCAAATATAATATTTTGATTATAAATTATAAAATTGAATGAATTTTAATTTAATATATTTTGATACATACACAATATAATATAAAATATCAAATTAAAATAATTTTATATGTTATGCTTGATTTGCAATATAACATAGATAAAAAGACTAGCATACACCAGTTGAAATCCCATGCACGGATGTATGGTTCAGATTTCAAATTAGATCATGATTTATATATATTTGAGAAATTATTTATTAACATGAAAAAAGACTTATTGAAACCTTTAAATTTAATGCCGAAGCAACTCGAAACAAAAATTTGTTCGTACGAAACCATATGGAACTCTCTATAAAAGTAATTAATTTGATAATTGTCAATGGAAGGGTCTCATTGCCACCCGCACGATACCAACACAGCACTCTAAAAGTACAAATATATATTTATATATATATGTTACGGTGGAGGTTGACAGCAGAGTTTACCAAAGAGACAAAAGGTGAAAGACAACACAACAAAATAGAAAGCAACATTTATGGATATTAGATAGATAGATAGAGAGAGAGAGAGAGAGAGAGAGGAATTAAGGTAATAGAGTGGGGTTGATTGTAAATTCACTTAAAAAGAGTGCTTCATAGAAAATGAGTAATGACGACATGTCTGATGCCAAAGCCAACACCACCACCTAAGAGCCTTATCAACAAGTCTCATGATAGCCATTAGTTTATTCCGTTATGTTTTAATTTGATGATGATGATGAAGGATCAGTCACTCATATTTATAAAAACAAGAAACAGAGGAGAGAGAAGGAATAAAGCCAATTTCCATTATCCACAGTGACACCCATTAGTAAAATGCCAACTCGAAACATCATTTCAGTTGAGTAAATTATAAACTAGTCCCTTTAATCCTTACGAAGCAAAACAAATATTGACTTCAGTTTCATAAACTAATTAATTAATTCTATTTTAATCATGTTTAATTTAATATTAATTTGTTTTTTTTTTAAATGTCTTCTTTTCTCATCAAGATTTCCATAATATCTACTTATTTTTTATTTCTTAAAAAACAAATAAATTAAAAAAGAACAAGAATGAAAAGGACACGTTGATAGTTTTTGAAACTGTAAAGACTATTTAATTAGTTTTAAAAAACTAGAAGGACTAATTTATAATTTACTCCTTTTAGTTAGTTTCTAGACAGAGATAAGCAAGCAGTACTGAAACCGAATTGATGAGATTAGTTGATACTTCTGGTTCACCTTCTGGGATAAAAATGGACCCATGGCCCAAAGGATGGGGTAGGCATACGTGTCCAGCCGAACCATGCATTGAACAAAACGTGTCACTCCTTTAGACAACTAACGACTTACTGTACGCAGGAACAAGCTCGCAAAAAGACAAAGCAGCCTCATTCTGGCCTTTGCGAACAAGTTTGAGCTGATTTTCTTGGAAAGTTTCCACTTTGTAAACGTCACCAATACCTCCATGCCCATGCTTCTACAATACCAGCTGCGACCGTCTTTTGCCCCAATAATTCACTAAACAATCGATTTTCAATCGATTTTCACTCAGCATTATTAGGAAAAAAGGTACTATTTAGCAGTACTGCTACTGAGCTAAAAATACAGTAGTAATTGAAGAAGGGATAAGGAGGGGAAAGCACAAATTGATGAGTGGAAAGGGCAGACGGAGAGTGCACTCACTGATCACGCAGCCTTCCAGATTCCTCACGGCTCTCATCCACTTGTTTTTTATTTTAATAGAGGAGAACAGTGAGAGGAGACAGCGAAAGATTGGGATTTTAGGAGCATCTGGAGAGGGACGTCCTTGTCCTTGTGGGGATTTCGTGTCCCCTAAGCTTTTCTCTGATTTGAACTCTATCCCCATCCCATCTAGAAATTTAGACTACTAATTCATCCGCTTTTAATTTTTATCCTAGCTATGGCACAGTAGCACTAGCAACTTGCAATTATCTACAATTAATTCCCTTGAAAACCTCCTTGATTTCCCGGCCTCAAGACTCTGTCTCTATCGCTACTCATAAATCTTGACAAACAATACTATAGCAAATTGGCCTGACGACATTATCCCATTTGGGAATATCATCCATCAAGAGTCCAATCCTAGTTTTAATCCGGTTAACAACTCCATGTTAGAAAAGAGAAGGGAAAAAAACACAACAAACAAGAGAAGAAACACATTACCAAGCCACACATAACTGGATTCACTAAAAAACGAGATAGATGCGCCTATCTGAGGAAATAGAAATTGAGGCGTGCGCGAAAACAAAGTTAGCATTTGGAACAGACAAAGTTTATACCAATCAAAAAGTTGATTGTTATCGAGAGGGGGTTTATAGTTTATACCTTCCTATAGGAAGAAACTAAAGCATAAAATCAGTCAACAACCAAGAACCCCTGACCATCTTTTATCTTCAGGAATGGCATATTATTATTATTTTTATTGAGAATAGGAATGGTATATTATTTTTTTCTCAAAAAAAAAGAAAAAGAGAGAAAAAAAAAGGTTGTTAATGTGGTCCGCATTACATTGTGAGAATCTCTATCTATAACTTATTTTACATTTCTAGCTACAAATTCACAATGGACACATTCATGACCAAAATAAGAAGCTGGAGAAAACCCAACTCCCCATGTACATAGAGTAAAGGTGCCTCATAATAGACACAGAATATGAAATAAACGATCACAAAGATGCCAGAGCACAAGGTATAACTTTAAATACCTACAAGAAGAAAACGCATTGCTCTGTTCTGTACACATGCCATCATAATGCCACAATATTCCATTATTGCTACCTTTCCAACAATCTAAAACCGCACATTTTACATATACATATACATAATATATATATATTTCATGATCTGTACATGCATGGATATGGTATTCCATATATCCTAAAATTTCTGACTTTGAAACTAAATCCCAACAGTAATTGCTAAATGTATATGAAGGGACCATTTCTTTACTCCAAAGCTAGTAAAAACACACCATCTAGTATCCTATTCTATACTAGTGGAGACGTATATACACAAGAAACTTGAGAATGTAACTCCTTCCCAGCATCATTTTTAGAACCTAATTTTATTTTTCTTTTTCTTTTTTAACATCATTAGATGCTATGCTAAACATACTGGAAATCCTTTTTTTTTTTTTTTTGGCGGGGGGTTATGAAATCTTAAAATGGGGCACGTTGAGGTATACCCTTTCTTCTCCTTGCATTACGATGATTGAAAATGGGATGAGTAGCCGGAGAAATGTTGGTAGCTGCGTCATCACCGGAGCTCTCCGCACCATCATTATTAGAGGAATAGATTGAGAGTCCGTCCATCAAACGATTGAAAGCATGTGTCCTGCGAATCTTCTTAGGGGTTGACGACTCGTCTGATTCAGACCCACCAAAGAAGGGATCCCTATTGTGCTTCGATTTTAGCGCAAATGTGAGGTCTGGGTCATCACCCCGCTTCATGCCTCCCAGCTGACAAAACGTAAAGCAACGGATATTGTATTAAGCTGCTACCAAATAAAACAGAGCAGTACAAGAGAGCAGAGCAGAGGAACCATTAATAATCAAGAAATGATCATCATAATTAACCTAGATACCTTGCATCCAATAGAACAGAATCTGAAAGAATCAAGGAGGCTTCGACAACAAATTTCGCAAGTGTTGGTGACCCCCTTTCCAGGCCTTGGCTGCGGGCGCTCATTGAGGAACACAATCTTGGCGCTATTGATGATGTACGTCTGCACGCATGATATGTCTATGTACTTCTGTATCTCATTTACTCTCACCACGTTATGGTATGAGGATCGCCTTATCTGCACAAATCCAAGCGGTAATCCAATCAATCAAACAATGCTTATCAATGCTTTAAGATTGAAGATAAGATACACTAGAAGTAGTGGATGTAAAACTAAGAAAGTGTTAATTTGGAGACAAACCTGAACAACACGGTGATCTTTATGATAAATGAGACAATAAGAACAGAAAGCCTTTCCCATACAATCTAAGCAGAACATATTGCATTCGCTTTTATTCGATTCGCCATGAACTGCACAGGGAATGAAATAGCTTGCTCTAAGCATGGGTATCAACCACGGTGGACCCATGTCGTGTTTTCCCATTTGCCCAAAGGGACTCACCTGCCATCAATCATCAAAGACTTAAATGAGTAAACCCCAAAAACACAAAAAATTTCCAAAAAAAAAAAAAAAAATAGCAGTAGAAATAGAGAGATGCAGAAATGAACATACCATGACTTTATTATTACTATTAGTCTTGATAAAAATCCAATCTTCAACAACCTCTGCTCCTGTTAATTACAGAAAATAAACAGCAGCCATTAAAGCCATCAAAAACTCATCAGCAACCCGTACTGCAAATTATGGACATGAAAAAGATCAATTCATCTCACTGAAACACAAACCTCGACGAAGAAACCGCCACACCGGACAAAGAAATCAAAGATTAAGATGGAAGAATGTGCAGAGATATTTTTATTTTTATATAGTAACCTGTATGTATGCTCTTCGAGGGAAACACTAGAAGAAGAAAGATACTCTAAGATGGAAAATGAATATATAATACGAAATTATAAGGAGGTCACAAAACCAGCGCATAAATTTATTTTTTTTGGTTTAATAATATACAATAAAATTAAATAATAAAAAAATGAAAAAGGCTAAATGGAAACGTGCCCACATTTTATAACAGTAGTGTATATCTACGGACTTGAAGAGGGACAGCAACTTCCAGATTCCCATTTGCTTTATTAGTACACGTCCGATCACTTTTATATTTATTATTATTAAATTCGAGGTTACGGTTGATCAACCTGTGATCTCCAAGCCCGACCGTGTGATTTGAGTGGGGCCACTTTTGATCTTACAAACACACGAGTCAACAGCCGCTTTTTACTTGTACTTTTCTCAAATCCCACGTGTGAAACTATAGAGGAGGATACGTCGACCAACCTGCTGTTTTTTTTTTCCCCAACAAGAAAAGCTTTGAACTTGCAAGAAAGAGTGTACAATATCGATTTTTCCTTAGGACAGACTCCCGCTACATCAAGTGTCCTTTCTCAAGATTTTTTTCGTTTTCTTGAAAAAATCAATGGATATATAAAATTGGCAACAATAAATTTTTTGCAAATTAGTAATTAATATAGAAAATAATATTTAATGATAGCACTTGCCATAATATGATATCATCCTGTTAAATCTGTTTCCAAGATTTTTTCCATAATCTTCTTTTATATTTTGTCTGCTCAGAGATTAAAAATAAAAAAAATAAAGGAAAACTACCTAAGTTTGCTATTAAAAGTTAAAACTTTGCCATGTGTCCCGGCCCAGATTGTCCTTTTCTTAGTTTGAGTTCGAGATTGAACTTGAAATCAATAATAGTGTTTTTTTTTTTTTAAGTAGTAAAAGGGCATTTTTAATTTATGGTATAAATAGATTGTGTTCATCAAAATGTGCATGATTACGTTCATGAATCATCGGTTCATCAATAAATACACAATCTATAATAACAATCCCAAGATTTGGCATTTAAATTTTAGAACGAGTTGATGAAATTGGAAAAAAAAAAACCCATAACACGTAACAACTATCAACAACACCCATTAAATAAGATGAGCGATTTATGGGCTTACAAATGGAAAGACAGTTAGGTCGATCAATGAAAGAGAATATACTTAATTTGGTAAGAATTTTCAAAACACAATCGAATGAAATGATTGTGTCACTTGCTTGCTGGATTGACAGGTACTGATGTAGCTGGTTTAGTTAAATATACCTTAAGCATGGTGATAAAAAATGGGGGCAGCAACAACAAAACTTGACACCGCTAAGCTATATTGTTTAAGATGTAGTCTTTTTGGACCTGCCCTGCAGGGAACGTTAAGCATATAGAACTCCATGTGTCTGCCCGTGGCCGGGCCTAGACAGATGGCTTTGAGGCAGAACGCCATGCTCAAGCCACGCCCCCCTGTAATATTTAGAAGAGTTGGTCTTCCATGAATGATACCAACAATTTTTTGTTTATTGTCACCACTCGGCGGATTTTTGCACGCAAATTAACAAAACAAATGCATGTGTATCCTTCCCATAACCTTGGGATTCAACCTTCAAACTATATATATCGTCATTAGTGGATTGGTTCGACACTTGTCCTTTTGACCCAACCATAAGTGGACTCGTAGGCTCGAGATTTCCATCCATTGGGCCCATAGATTTTAGTCCATACAAGATGCCTACGTGCTGACGTGATCAAAGTAATCAACGCACTTCAAATATACCATCAAACCCCGCAATTGTTGGAGAGGAAGTTTAGCCCCTAGTAAGCTACTAATCCACGAGACAAATGAGTCTAGAGCAGAGTGGAAGACCCAACTTTACTTCCACTAACACAGGACAAGACAAAAGCAGTCCAAGCCAGCGGCACTTGGGTCTTAAAGAACCTCTCATCATTCAACATGGTGCATCTTGCCGTTGTCCTCTTTAAAGTAGTTATATTATAAAGTTATCTCAACATCTTTATTCTTAAAAATAAATAACAATAGTAATAGATAAAAGTTTCGATGCTTATCTCTCACTCTCTAATCTCTCTCCGTCTTCATCCCAGACAGAGCAAGCATGAATTTAATCAGCTCATGTCCATTGGATCCTCCTTAATTAGTTTTAGATTAATTTGGAAATCAAGGAGTAGAGAGAGACCATGGAAGAAAGAACTGTTTGACTATACACGTGAAGTTTGATTAATGTTCGCATCCATTTATGTCTTTAATGACACCAACAAAACTGAAAAATAAAAAGAACCAAATAGCGGTAAAACTGTGAATTTCATTTGCTAGACGTTAAAGACTCGACTCTTATCTTGTGTTTAGATAGAGTGATAAGTTAGAGAGAGGAAAGAAAATTTTAACTTGTTTGATTTTCAAAGAAAACCCAAAAAAAATAATAATAATAAACAAATTTAAAGGTGGTGAGATCTACTTTCCTCTCAGAATTAGGAGGAAAGTAAGAGAAAATCATGTCAAAATATAATAAAAAATTAAAAATAAAGGGTATTGTCATTTTTGTCATTCAAAGTATTTAATTATATAAATGTAATAATAGGAGTATCATAATAAATATACAATAATATTTTTTTCTCTCTCTTTCTACAATTATTCAAACAATAAAAAAAAATATATTTTTTTCTTTCATTTTTATTCTTAACTACATAATAAGTGAAAATTAATTTTGTTCTCACTTTTTTCTCTCTCTTTTCTTTCCTCCAGTAGGAAATATCCAAACACAGAGCTAATTTTGTTTGGGATGAAAAATATCATAAAACTTAAAGAGTAATTTTGTTCTCACTTTTTTCTCTCTCTTTTCTAATTTTGTAATTTTTATTTTCTAAATCATTAATTTAACCATTTTTTCATATAAATCACAAAAAGTATTTGAAATATAGATGCAATTTAGTTAATAGGTAAACTAAAAGAGATTATTTGCATGATTGGTTGACAGCCAAAAGAATTTAGTCTTTGTCATTTTAATAGACAACTCAATGAAAAAGATATTTGGATTTTATTAATTATGGAAGTTGTTTATTTTGTTGGATAATGATAAAGTAACAATAACCATATAAATGAAAGTTGAACTCATATTGAAAATAATGTATGCTAATAATAATTTCATTGATTATCAAACATAAATAAATTAGATACTTAAAGCACAAGCATTGTCTAAAAGATACTTGAAAAGAAGCCAAAATAGTTGACAAAAATAAGGAAAAATTTTGAAATTCAAAAATATAAATTAGATCGAGTATAAATGCATATTCTCCATGAATAAGACCTAAAGAGCAATTTTGCAAGAAATCTCAAGACCAAATTTAAACCCCACATTTACATATATGTGTACATTTTATCTCATAATAAGGATTAAAAAAATATATTAAATTCTCAAGTCATTTTCTTCCCTTCTTTTTCACAAGTACCTCTTAACACTTCTACTACTTGAATTAATAAACACTAACCTAAACTTAACCACATGTTATCCTTTCAAACCCACAAACCTTCTTTTGCCCAACCCTAACCTAAACTTAAACCACATATTATCCTTTCAACCCCACAAACCTTAAACCTTCTTTAGCCCAACACATCATATTCATTGTTGCTATAGATATCCATCCTTTCAAACCCACAAACCTCAAACCTTCTTTTGCCCAGCACATCATATTCATCGTTGTTATAGATATCTAACCTACCTTATCTATAGGCATATCGATCGGGACATGTTGGGGTTTTATTTCGGAAACCACATGTTTTAGTGTGGGTAAATCTGCTTGGGACTAAAGAACAAATTAACTTTTTTTAAAACAATTTACTGATCTTAACTTGATCATAAAGCAAAATGCAAATGGCCCAACTATAGCATGAAAATTCGGGTACATCTAAGCACATGACCGTCCGCAATGTGTATTATATATATTATCATGTTTAGATGAAAGGCCAAGCAAGCAAGCATGGAGCATGGGGCCAAAGGAAAGAAGAGCCACCTATGCTTAGCAAGGACTCAAAGAGAAACTACTCTCTCTATCATTGCAATTCTTTCCTCGACCCATTTCTTGGCTAGGCTGGTTTCCAAAATCAATCATTACAACCACCCTACGAAAACACATACATAGGCATCTTAATTGCCAGTTTTATGATGGAAGCCACCTGTGTTGTGTAGTGAAATGCATTTCTCTTTTGACAGTTGTTGACTCAGGCACACCAGTACTAGTAGGCAACCCCCCAAAAAAAAAAAAAAAAAAAACAGAAGAAGATAAAACTGCTCTCTTTCATTCATTTCAATCCTCCTCGGCCCATTGTTTGGCTTGTCTATCAGCCGAAGGGCCGGTTGATCATCTGTATTATTTACTCTCTTCAATCTCACGATCGGTTGAAGGGTCTCCATCATTCATTCAAGAAGCATCTTTTCTTAATAATTCAAGTATTTAACTAGCTACTCAGATCAATATTGTAAAAAATAAGAAGCTTTCTATAAGCGTCTATACAACCACCCCACAAAGGAGGTTAAAGAGCATTATCCCATTGTTATCTTTACAGAATTCCTTTGGACTAGCAATGCTCGAATGAAATAAAGGTAATCATAAAGAATAACAAAAGAAAGAAGCAAGTAATTCACTCACTTTTTTTTTCCACATACAAATCAAAAGTAACACTGAGCCCTCTTCTTTTCCTGCATTAGTTGATGATCACCACTCATTGGGGTGGATGTAATCCCCACAGGACAGCAAAATATGAGTGAATTTTGAGCAATCCCAACCAGTGGAGGTGAATGAATCACGAAAATGGAGACCAGGCGTGAACAGTGGAATAAAGCACGCATGTGAACTATTGCTCAAACAATCATGAGTAAGCCTGTACAGGTCCAATCGTATTGCGCTCGAACTCCTTGATGGTTGTGGCCAGCTTCTTCATGCTATCATCATACACGTAAGGGAGCTTATCATACCAAGTCACATTGTTCTTGGCTGATAGAGGAAGGAATTTCCTGCACAGCTCGCCTAGTACTTGTATTGAATTGTGGTAGTGATAATATCGAATCTTGGTTTCAGTCTGGTGCAAGGTTTTGCCAATTACATTCTCCGACATGTGCACTCCTGTAGCATATGCATTCTTAGCCTGTATTGCGTACTTCCGGTCCCTTCGAATCCCAGTTCTTGATTCTCTGAATAATAGTTTTTCGAATCCCCATTGCCTGCATTGTACGACGCCCCAAAGATACATCAGTGCCTCAGCTGAATTACACCACATATATATAGTGACACGACTTTAAACTATCAAATCTAAATCGAAATCAATCTAAATTTCAAATTTTAAAGCAAAAGGAAGTGTATTCAGTGCTGCAGATCTCTGCTGAGGATATTCCAAAATTTCGAAAAAATGCAAGAAACTTCGTCTCCTGGTTTCATACATTCCCCTTGTCAAACACAGTACAGGCAAATGAGACGCAGTAAAAGAATGTAGAACATGTACCTGGGATAGTCCTGAGTAGGATCGTTGAAGCAGAGCTCACTGGACATTGGGTTCTGCTCAATGGTGAACTGGGTATAATTAGAGAAGTCCTTTAAAACAGATTCTAAGGTACTATTCCTCTCAGGCAAATAGATATATTCATCCACGTCGAAGTAAAATGTCCAATTAGCAGAGTATCTGTAGCGATGCAAGCAGTCATTCACCACCAGAAATTGGTTATGGTAATACCCATCAAACTCAGCTTGCCCTCTTATATCCTGAACAGTAACCCTCCCAGCACGAACCCAAGGCTCGAACGCGGCCCTCACCTCAGGGGATACACCACCAGCATCATGAAACACGAAATGAGAGCTTGGTCCAAAGAACCAGGCATGGTAAGCCATCCATTCTCTAATCCTCGAAGCACTCAAATTCCCGTACAAAGAAGACCCACAGTAAACATACTCGTATGGATAAGGAGGGTGGTACTTAGACTCATTGTAAGAGCCAGGTGGTTCCTCCAATGCAGTGAACTTCTCGTACTTCCTCTGAGACTCACCGTAATAGGCATTGACCATGAGCCTTCCACCCGCATTGGCTTGATTTGGATTGACACTGAAGGTGCAATTCACAACCACCACTGTGTAGACTCGACCGTAGCCCCAGTCAGGAAGAATCTTATAAGCCTTGGCCCTTATAGAAGAGCCATTGTTAGAGATCCACTCGCATTTGTACCAGGGACGGCCGAACACGTGAATTGGCTTCGAAGCAAGGCCAACCACAGCAAAGGTGGTCGGCCCGCCTCGGTATGCGCCCATCAGAACAAAGAGAGCGGCGGCGTTACCATAGGCCTGGAAGATCCGCTTGTTTGGGTCGGCGTTGGGAGAGGACGATGACGAGGATAAGTACTTTTGGTCAGATAATGAGGTACTGGTGAATGAGGAGGAACCATTTGATAAAGACACAGTAGTTTCTGGGGCTGAGCAAGTGGAGCGTGTGGTGGTGGAGAGGAGGTTTTGATAGTAAGGAGGGAGGCTCCAAAGGAGCATGACTAAGGTCAAGGCTAGTAACGTGGCCACTAAGGGCTTTGTCTCGAGGCATGCTGGTACTTTGCTCGCTGTGGCACCGGTTAACACGGAGGACGGAGGCTGGCAGTCCTTTCTCATTTGCTGTGTCGGAGACTGCTGTCGGTGGCAGCGAAACGTCAAAGTACAGTCATAGCCACATAGACCGACACAAAAGAAACTTCTGGACTGCCTTTATTTTATCTTCCGATTTTTGAGGTTTTAATTGATCTTGGAAATGGAATATTTATTGGGGGCAGAATACTTGTACTTCTTTGGGTATTGATCCTCTCTTTATTACTAATGATACCTAATTGTCTATTGGTGTCTCTCTGTTATTCTAACCAGTTTTAATATGACTAGTTTTTTCTACTAAAAAGCATGCAAAATTATGTAAATTAGATAATTATTTATAAACAACAGTAGTATATAAAAATTATAAATAGTTTGAAATTTTTTTTATTTTCTTATATTTATATATAATGAAATATTTTTAAACTAATTTTTATATGAATCAAGATAAAAGTTATTATTTTTTTAGTTAAACCAACATCAAAACAAAACAGATTTAGTTTTCATCATCATCCTCGCTGTCGTGGTCATCGTCATGATAGGTGGTTTTTCCTTATTTTGCACCCATCAATAAAAAGTTTTCTTGCGGCGAGCTAATATCATATTCTATGGATTCTTATCTCTTTGAATTGTCGTTGTCTGGATATAATATACACATATTCTAACATTCAAATAAAATAATTATTTTTACCTTTTATTTTTAATTAAAAGTGTTGGGAGTTCAACAAAAATAATTCTAATAAGAGCAAGGAAATTTTTGGTACATTCTGAAACAGAATCTTCTTTTGCTAATACCAGCTACTGATCATTACATGTTTCTTCCTCTTTCGTTTTTTTTTTTTTTCTCTCTTGATAATAAGAGTACATGTTTCACCAATGATACACGTAGATCTAGCCAGATAATTTGTCTTGTTTGCTGGATGTCTTATGATTGAAAAGCTTTGATGATGAGAGAACATCTAAATAACGGTGTTTTTACCTTTTTTTGACCTCTAATAATTAATAACGGTGTCTGTGTTTTGAAAATTTGCTAGATACCAAACGAGAAGCCCTTGTAGCCAATACCTTTTTTATGGCTACCTGCGTCTTGTACCGTAGTTCTCAGTCTACTAAAAGATGGTGTGCGAAAAAAAAAAAAAACTGTCATTGAACCAAAAATTCAGGTATAAATCATCAATGGAAAAAAGAAGTAAATTTCAATAAACAACATTTTTCATATTACATGGACTTTTAAAAAGTTTGAAGATTCCATAAAAAAACCTCTCTTTATATTTAAAAAATTATAACAGTGGGTCCTCTGTTTTTTTTTTAAATCTAAACCGCCTTCAATGTTTTAAAAACATTTTGTTTCAAATTTAAGGAATTTTAAAATATTTAAAATATTTCCGGTAAAAATAAAATTTTATAATATTTTTAAACTTTAGAATAATGTCTAAACTACATAATACTATAAAAAAGTTATTGTAATTTATTCTAAGTATTATTTGCGGTATACATGCATTAGTGTTGTTGCTCTTCTTTAGCCCTAGGGATCGGTTTAATGGCTAAAGAAATTTGTTGATTTTTAACCAAAAAATATATGGACTTAAATCTCTAAATTGGTATTTTAAAAAAATTATTTGAATAAGCTAATTAGCCTATATGAAAAAATGTTTTTTTGAAGATCGTTCAATTCAAATAAGTACTACTTCCCATTGATTTATAAACTGACTCCATAAATAAATAAATAAAATTTAATTTTTCTCTAAAATTTAATCTATTTAAAATTTAATTTTTTAATTTTTAATTTTGAGTTTGATATTTCTTGAACTTTATCTAACATATGAGCAAAACACAAAATTAAAATTTTAAAAGAAAAGAATAATAGCAGAAAATCATAAAACAAATTCATTTTTTTTAAAAAATAATATTTAAGGAATGTCAAAAATAAAATTAAAAGTTTAGAGATTAACGGTGGAAATATTGTTATTCCTTGGTCCTCGTATTTATACAAGTTAGTGATAAAATTTGTCCAAGTGAAGACAGGATGAGTGAGGTTTCAAAACTCTTATTAAGTAATGATTAGATTCCATGTAACCGGGAGAATATATATAAAATGTGTCGGTGGTTACACTCTGTTTGGTTTCGTTGGTCTTGGAAATGATTCTCTCCATCCGGTAATTTAAAGTCAAACAATGGAGAAGCTTAAATTTGGGGGTTAATCCAGCCAATCAAGTCAAGTTAATCAAACTTGATTGGGCAAGACCAGACAGACATATATCCCAAATCACTTTTAATCCATCCAATTATCTATCTTTCATGGTTACTTTAATCTTACTCCCTCGAGGAAGAACAATCCCTGTTTTAATGTTAAATAGAGTATGGCATACAAAAACAGCTATACTTTACCTTAATTTGTTTGTTCTTTTCTGGTTTGTGAGTCAGCCTGGAGGGGCCAGCTCAAATCGCAACATTATTTCTCATCTTTCCTTTTAAAACGCAAATATTTTTTTCAAAAAAAGAAGAAGCATCGCATCGGAAATATATATATATATATATATATATATACAGCAAACATACCTGTTTATTATTTAAAATGTTAGTATTTTTATGTTTAATAACACATTAATAATGATAATATGAATAATTACCAATGTATTTATTAAAATAATATAAATAAATTTAATTGTATATAAAAATTCTATTGATTTAATAGTGTGGGGACAGTCAAGCTTGCACCGTCGTAGGACAGAATTGATGTTTGGTAAGGAGTTCTGGAGGCCTAAGATTGCTGCAAGCTCAGTTTTTGTCTTCTGTTCAGGACCGTCGGTAGAGAAACGTCCTCAATTTCTTTTCATCTGTTTTCTGAGAAGGTTGGCAGTATTCTCTGATTTTTTTTTCAAAAAATATATTATCAATCATGTAAAGGAAAAAAAAACACTAAAAAAAAAACAGGTAGAAAAAATCAGCCATCCAGCGATTAATTGTCATGTGAGTAAATTATAAATTAATCCCTCTAGTTGTGAGAAATGAATGAATAAATTATTTTTATTTAAAAAATGAATAAGCCAATATTTTTACTTTTCCATTTCAAAGAAGAAGGTAGCAATATATATATATATATATATATAAGAAGATAATGCTGTCATGGGGCTCTTGTAACATGATGACAATTACTAATACTGGACCATGGCACATGAAGGTCCAGCCCAACATATTGTGGAATATGGACTACTAATTCATTCATCATTCATAATATGGACTGACTTTCTCTAAATGTCTGTTTCATGCCAAAGCCCAAAGTATTTGTTCTTTGCAAAAACAAGCCCGGACGTGGCATCATTGATCATTCATACAGTACTATTCCTTCTTTTTTGTTTGGTGTACGTTATATATAACATAACTTTTTTTTTTTTTTTTTGACTCACACACCATCTATATTGATTTGGACCCATCCCGAATGTGGTTTTACCCATCCAATCAGAGTTTCAGTCTTTCTATCATATACCTTGTTTAATAAAAAAGTCATCTCAAAACTAACAGCAATGTTACCAGTAAAGGCATGAATGATTTTAACTGGCCCATTAGGTATAATAAAATTTTCATCAAAAATATATTTGTTTCTCCCAGACCAAATAAACCATGTGCTCCAAGAATTGTCTTTGGATTAGCAGATTTGGCTTTTGCCGAGTTTGTATAAGTCCATTCCTTAAGGTCAAGAGAAAAGAAATAATGAAACATATTGTCTGCTCTAACTTCATTCCATATAGCAGCTGCAGTAGGACAATCCTTCAGACCATGAATGATTGTTTTCGGACTATTATGGCAGGAGGAACAAAAAGGGATGGAGGTCAGACTCCTTCGCATTCTTTGCATATTGGTGAGAAGTTGACCATGGATTGTAAGCCATAAGAAGGAATAGATGCGTTGCCACACCAAATCCCATATGTTCAAACTATCAACAAACCCTAACGAAGAAGAGTCAAACTTTGTGGAGAACAGGCCATTATCGATAAGGGTCCATAAAGGCATGTCTTCTTATTGGTTTGCAGCTGGAGGTGGCACAGCTTATAATTTTCAAAAATATTACATTGGGAAGTAAATTATCAAAACTCTCCCACATCCATTACCTCATATTCGAGACTTACTCTCCCACCTTGCTCATAATGATCTCGACTAGGATAGGTACTAAAGCATGATCTTTGAGTGGACCAAGAGATGGGATCCAAATGTCTGTCCAAAAACCAATCTTCTATTCATTACCAAGAGAGCGGCCTATAAATTTCCCAACATCATTCCAGACCTTGGAAATACCTCTCCGTATATTAGAGCATCCAACACGCAAGATCGAAAAAGGGATTTGTTAAAGATCAACCTTATACTTGTTGCACAAAATTCAAACCCAGTAGGAAGATATGCTAGAAACGATTTCCCATCCTATTTTCATAAGCAAAGCATTATTTACTGCTAGAAATTTATGTAGCCCAACTCCACCATGCTTTTTAAACTGAAATATATTTTCTCAAGAGACAAGATGGGTTTTATGGTGACTGTCTGAACTATCCCAAACAAAATCTCTGTTTGGTAGTCATCGCTAGAAGAAGAATGGTCTGCATGCTGTAGATGGAAATGATTGCAAGAATAGATTAATATAGAGTCACTCTACTTGTAAGTGTTAAGTACTTAACCTTCCAGCTCGACAACATCTTGTAAACTTTATCAACAACATGTTCATAAGTGTTCTTGCTGAATCAACTATGATAGAGAGTCATGCCTAAGTACTTTCCCAAGTCATCTGTTAGGTGCAATCCTGATCGGTTGCTAATAAGTCTACCCTTTTCCTTTCGGAACATTACGGCTATAAAATAGCTGTGTTTTAGAAACATTTACCTTCTGACCAGACACTAAGAAAAATTTATTAAGAGCCTCTAGAATGACATTCAACTGGTCATACACAACCTCTGCATAAAAAATCTAGTCGTCCGTAAAGAACAATTATGTAATAGACGACCCACCTTTATTTAAGTAAATCGACCTCTATTTTTTATCTTGAACAACATTTTGAATTAAATGACTTAATCTTTCCATGCATAGAACAAACAGAAAGGGTGATGATAAATCCCCTTGTCGAATGCTTTTGGTTGGTTTGAAACCATGAGCAATCAGACCGTTCAATCAATTTCTAACTCAAATGAGGAAAGATATTTCATAATTATCGAGCACAAGGGGCAATGCCACTGCAAATCAAGTAAAATGTCTAAAAAACAACTCTCACTGAAGCCTATCGTAGGCTTTTTCGAGGTTTATGTTTATTGCCATCCATCCTTTTTTCCTTTTCCTTTTGTTCATAGAATGGAAACTTCTTGATTAATGATGATGTTGTTTGTAATTTTCCTTCCAAAATGAAGCTCACCTGAGTGGGTGTAATGACCAAAAGGAGGATAGGTTTCAATCTATTAATCTATTGACAATGACCTTTGTCAGTACCTTGTAAGAGAAATTGTATAGACCTATTGGATGAAATTGATTAGCCATCTTTTGGATATCTACTTTCAAAATCAAAACTAACAAAGCTTTATTTATAGCAGGGTCCTAAATTTCAAGCTTGAAAATTTATCAGACGTACATGTAAAGAGACTTTCCAATCGTATGCCACTGTGACTGACAGAAAGCTGCATGCATTCTATTCAACCCAGGGCCCTTATAATGCTGTATGCTAACAAGGCTTCTTTGATTTTAGAGTCTGAAATTGGAATATACAACTATTGCCTAAGATTATAAGGAATACAGGGGAATGATCTATGTTTTAAAGGATATTTGGTAGCGACTTATTATTTCATAAACAGTCTCTTATAGTAAAAAAAATATGAGGGAGCACATTTGGTTATTGTCACTATATCAAATGCCTCGATCATCTCGTAATCCTCCCACCTTAGTTGTCCTCCTCTTTACCACAGTCGTAACATGGTAATATTTTGTATTACGATCCCCATATGCCAGCTAATCACACTTTGTGTTTTGAAACCAACATAGCTCCTCTCTTAATAAGATATTTTCATATTCATACCGTAACTAATTCTCTAAATGGATAAGGAAAAGATTAGGATTAGTTGTGATAGCTTGTTCTATACTAGTTAATCGAGCAAGAAGACACCTTTTGAGCTTAAAAATGTTACCAAAGGATTCAATATTCTATCATTTGATAGCTTTTACAAAACTCTCTATAGCTTTTGTGAATGGCGCAATAGGGTGCCAGGCTTCTTTAACAAAATCACCAAAGTCTGGTCCTGTCAACCAAACAGCCTAGAACCTAAACTTCCTGGTATTAGGGTAGGGTAAAGTTTGTTGTTAAGTTGCAAGAGAATTGGCCTATGATTCGACGTAATACGAGAGAGGTGGCATACCTTTACATTAAGGAAGTGAATTTGCCAATCTGTTTTGCAAATTACTATGTCAATACATTCCTTAATAAAACCTCTATTGTAAGTGTAAGCTGGCCTTATGAATCCCAAATCTAAAGGTTCACAATCATTCATACAAGACGAGAAAACATGATTTTTGTAGCTAATGAAATCTCTCCCCCCCCCCCCCCTTTTTTTTTTTTTCTCTCATTTCAAAACATCATAACAATGAAGTCTCCTTTTAATAGGCATTTTAAAAAATTTAGTTTTTTATCATGTTATGCTTCTATGCTTATTTAAATGAGTTATATTTTATTAAAATATAAAAACAGAATAGTTTGGGGATTTATATGTAAAATAGAGTAGTTTAGGAGTTCAAGCTAGTTTAAAACCGATACCCTTACTCAAAGGGAAAAGATAGAAGAAGTTAGAATTTTGACTAGTCTTTAGTGAACACAACTTATTACCGATAAATAGATGAGTTTCTAAAGATAGATAGCCTTTTATTAGTATGAGCAACAAGCCATCAACGACTCCACTCACATAAGTAGGAAGCCACTAACGACTTCGAGTCATGAATTTGGAATGCTACTGAAAACTTCATCACACGAGTGAAAAGTTATCGATAACTTCATTTTTACTCGAGCAAGGAGTAGATAACTAGTTCGAAGCTATTGACGACTTCGTAACTTAAGTAAGAAGCTACGGACGACTTTGTTTTAGATAAGCGAGACAATCAAATAAAATAATCTCAAAACCACTAGTGATTTTATCACATGAGTAATAAACCACCGATAACTTCGTTTTAGCAATTCAAAATTAAGCAAAACTCGGTTGGGAAGCCATCGATGACTCCATCCACATAAGTGGAAAGCCACCGGTGGCTTCATTTCATTTCGAGCAATCAAAAAATAAGTAAAATTATTTTGAAACCACCGACGGCTTCGTCACGGAAGTAGGAAGCCATCAAAAGGCTTTATTGCAACATTATAATCGAGCATAGTAAGTCAATCAAACCATAAAAACAAGCACAAATTTCACTTTAAGCATGTAGGAGTAAAACATGATTTGTCTATAATAGCCGTTATAGCAATATTCACTTCAATTATATTTAAATAATGAATATTTAAACAAAATACAACATGTTTCATTCACGTTTTTAAGGAGTACAATCATTTTTTTATTCCTATTTTCAAAGAGTGTAGTGATTCTAGAGTTTTTACCCAAAACATTCCGTAGTCCAAATGTTTAATTCGAAGATCAGTTCTACTTTTTTCATCTCGGATGATAATTGATTATTCAATTAGCTAAGAAAGGAGAGCAACTATACATTATCAAAATATGGTACATGTCTCGTCAAAATGATAAAAAAATCTCTTCAAAGTTGATGCAAAAAGCCAAGGTTGCTACTATTGTCAAAGTTACCGTAAATTTTCAAAATCTCTCTAACTTGGAGGACTTGACAACAAATTTATTGTTATGTTTTTCCTATCAAAAATTAATATAAATGCAATCTACAATATTACGTTGTTCCTGCCAAACATAATCCAATAGCAAACTCCTTTTCTTTTCTTTCTCTTCTTCTTTTTTAAGCAACTAATGAGGGGTCGATGCAGTAGGCTACAACTAGGCTTTGGTTGGGTTGCTGCAAGCTAGTTGGCTTGCTGATTACCTACAAACATAGGTGGGAGCTTATAGTTAGAGGCCTGCGGGCATAGGCGTAAGCGTGTTGTTGGAGGCTTGCTATGGGGCTACATGCTGCTGCAACTAGCCCCCTTTCTAGAATTAATCTAAACTAATCATTTTAATTGATTTATTTTTTTATATCTTATTTTTATATACTTGAAATTTTGTTTTGTTTTATTATTTTTTGGTATTTTTATGAAAATAAAAAATAGGAGCAAAGATTAGGTGCTAACAATAATTAATCCCGATAATGTTGCCAATCATATTTCCCATAGCCATTGGTATTTAAGGGCAATACCAATCTAAAGGCAGATCCAGAAAACAAACCTAAACAACTGCACATTTAATCCTATTTTCAGAGGCTCTGAATTTGTGATCCCATAGTTGGATCGTCAGGCAGTGTCCAATTATAGCTCGAGAACCCCTCATCAAAGCATGTAAATAGTCAGATTGGGTTGAAAACTGAACTAAACAAAAGTCAATTTTTATGTCTATTACTTTGAAAGGTTTAGGAGCATTCCAAATAGTTTTGAGATGAATACATAGAGCCTTATATCCCACAGTCTTGCTAATAACCTTAATCACCATAGAGAGCTCTCATAGTTTCTTTAGTCGTTACTTGAAAGGACCATAAAGTGTTATGGTTTGGCCTTGGTCTTTTTCTTCAACTCTAATGCCATCATCTTCCACCATGAAAAGCTCTCATGGTTTCTTTAGTCCTTCCGAATAGTAGGCAAGCGATTGCCATTCAATAGTTTATGGATTGTCCACATCTTTTCCATTCGTCACATCACTATCTTCTTGAAATTCAATCTTCAATTGCGGTTCATGTTCCATAGCGTCTTTCTATTCCTCATCTTGTCTCTTAGATAAAACTTTTTAGTACTTTGCTCCGATTCAAAGTTCTCAGGTTTTTCAGACTCTCCAGCGAAGAGAGAATTTGGGTGGCTAGTTGAGAGCTTTTTTTATTGATATTTATGATATCGTTTAATGATAAAGATATTGCACCATCTGAAAGTTTTTTTTAACCAACACATGCAATATTACACAAGAAAGAAGTTGATATTTCTTTGACCTTTTTTTTTAACGCAATTTCCTTGAGAGAGAGAGCAACGAAAAGAGAGGGAAGATAGAGTTTTTATTTTTGTTTTTTTTTTTGGAATTGCTTTACGAGATATTGAAGTTTTTTTTAACTGAATTTTGAGTACTACAATAAAAAAAAACATGAATATTTTGAAGATTTTAGATTTTCGTTGTGAGACAAATATTCTTAGATAGATAATTTGTATTATCGTTAATATTTTTACTTCGTAAGTTTACGAATAACTTAATTGAGTGACTGTAATGCTTTATTATTATTATTATTATTATTATTATTATTATAGTTGATTATTTTAAAATTGTTTATGTGATTTTTTTTCTATAATAAAATATATTTTCTACATAAATTTGAGGTTTTTGTAGTTATACTCTTATAATTGATTTATTTTATACTACTAATGATTCCTTGTGCGCTTGATTTGATAATTATTTTCCATTAAATTCCCAACATTCGCTCCTACTATTCCAAAAGCTCGTAAAAATCCCACAAATCTAAAATTTAATTACACCACTAACAGGACTGCTGCCCTCTAACTGATCAAATAGTAACTGAACCTACATCGCTACACTCCTTGGTCGTGGAATATCCTCGACTAAAAATGCTCAGAATTCCCTGCGGATGCATGATATCGTCTTAGCAGCATTTTTAAGTGTAAACCAATTTGAAAACATCCTCTTGTACTTCTGCATGCATCCATCCACTTATAATAAGAATGTTGGATTTCAAATGGCATGACCGTGGCCAGTTGAAGAAAAGTAACTAGCTAGCTGGCCCTGGTACGTAATTAAATGCATTGATTTGCGTGATTTGATTTCTAAAATAAAAGAATTTGGGTGCAATGGGCCGTGGCCAAAATGTGAGATAGCTAGACATACGATAATGCATGACTATATATCTAAAATAAATACTGCTAGCTAGCAGTACCACTACTACTGCTACTTCCCTCCCCATTAATTTGTAGAGGGAATCCTTGTTAATTTATATACATATGTGGTCAGTGTATGTATATATATATATATATCTGCTAGTAATTGGTTTGTGTTATAATTGCTTAATGTTTATGAAAGGAATCACTTGCAAAACACAAAACAAGAATGATTGGGTGTAAGCAACACTAAGTCAAGCGATTAGAAAGGTTCGTGTACTAAAAGATTAAATATTTCCGAATATGCTCTGAAAATACACACATAATATTGTATATAAATAAAGGAGGGATTAAGTGCACATCCCTATCAATATCATCAAGTGAATCTGATGATGAAGAGCAAATATTTCAATAATATATATATATATATATATATATATAATATTGAGATGGATTAATCATACAGTGGGAAATTAATTTAAGAGGAAGGATAGGGTTGCAATATATATAAATATAAAGTTTTCTTTCTTCACAAGTTAAAATCGAATATTAGAAGTACTGGGGGATTTTGATTCGGGGGCAAGGTGCTCCGAGCCTGTAAAGCCGAAGAAAATCATGAGTGGAGAAAACTGAAAAGTTGGTTACGTTTCACTCGGCCATATATTATTTATTAAAGCAAGAAAAGAACCTGGACTTTGCTGCATTCATTGGTATCCATTTCTTTCGCTCATTGAGTGTGCAATTTTCTTCCCTACAGAGAATCAACACTGTTTCTGGGTCCTATATGAATTTGCATTGTCGCCTTCCTCAGCAGCATAACCCCCCAATGCATGCATCATATAAATATATTAATTGGAATTTTCTTTTCTTTTCTACGTACCTCCTTAATTAATCCTCATGTGTCATACCACTTATATGTTTAATTTCCTGATTAATTTTTTTTTTACTATTGTACACATGTTTATTAGTTTTTAATTAATTCTGATTTTTAATTGATTAGGTTTTTGGCACGTGCTCCACACTTGTCTTATTCAACTATTTAATTTATAGTATTTTTTTTATAATCTTTAATAACTTATTTTGAATTATTTATAACTATTTTTTTTTAGAATTTATTAATTTGAATTTTTTTTTATAAAGTTTGGTGATTTTTAATTAATTTAGTTTGTTGGGTTTTTATAATATAGAAATAAACTTTAATTGAATTCAAATAAAAACTATTAACAAAAAATATTTAGTGGCTACAATATATATATATGTGTGTGTGTATGTGTGTGCGCGCGCGCGCGCGCGCACTCGCTTATAGTTTGATCGTTTAAAAATAATAATGATAAAAAAAACTGCTCCAATTTATTTATCGGCATATTTATAAATTAAAAAAATTATTTTTTCTTATCATATGTTTTTGTAAAAAAACTACACTTATTGCTTGCAAAAATTGAAGAAATTAGAAGAGAAAATCCATTGTGGATTATAATGCGTGTGTGTGTGTGTGTGTGTAGTTTTTTTAAGTAAAAGTTTTTTTTTTTCATTTTAAAATTTAATTAGTTAGTTTAGATGATATAATGAGAATAAGAATGATTAAACTATCAAAATATAAATATGATATATTGGGATCTCTTATACGTAACAAATATAATTATACATTAAGATATAACTATAATAATATTTAATAATCTAATATTGTACTCCTTAAAGCGTGATTTTGATAATATATATTTAGTAAATATCTATAGTTGAAAATATTTTCAAAATACATAACACAAATTTTGTGTATCATTTTTTCCAAATAAGTAAATAGTAATATAACGCAATAACAAAAAATTCCCTATATAAAAAAAAAGGATCAAATTTACTAATTTTTAGTTTTATTATTTTCATATTTTAATAGTATTGGTGTTTTGAGGCTTGTAATTTGTGAATCTTATTTTATATTATTTTGGGTTTTATGTGTTAATAAATAGAAAAAAAACATTATTAACCTATATTTAGGTTTTAATAATTTATTTTTAAGATTTTCTTCATTGTTGGCATTTTCTCCTTAATTAGAGGTGATGTGAAATTTACATATTTGTATAAGGAGTATGTCATAATATTAGTATTGTATTAAGAATATAATTATCAACCAACGGTTCTTAAAAGAGTTCATACTTTTATATATAGATATGGATTGTTTTTAATTAATTTTGACGTTTTTTTTTATAAATAGTAAAATATTTTCAGATTAATTTTTGTATTAATTGAGATTAAATTCACTATTCTAAATTAGATCAGTATTGAATCAAGTCCAACTTTAGATCGATTTTAAACATCAAACTCTTTGAGCCTTCCAGCAACATTAGTATGTAAATACTGACAGTCGAGAAGTGTCCTGTATATCTAAATAAATTGTAATTAATGCTAATAGTTAACCAAATAAAAGATTAATGGAACATTAATCTATTAACAATATTGCTAATTAAGTAAATACTTTAAATTAACATATAAATTAAGCCTTTTCTTTTCATATACCTTTATTCCTTTTATTGATTTATATTTAATTTAGCTAATTTGTTGCACATGTATCTTCATGGCATCTTCCACTTAATTTCTTCTGCATGGCCTCCTCAAATAGTGTCAACTTTTCAGCTTAAATATTCGCCACATCCCCTTTGCAACTTGCACCAAAACTGCAATCTAGTACTAGAGGCATACTCCTCCTCCAATGAGATCTTCATTAAGCAACAACCGATCAATGAAGAGGACCAGTTCATTTCTCCCGAATAAGCCTCCTAATCCTTATAATTCAATGGAACTCCCAAATCGAAATCCTCCTCCTCCTCCTCCTCCTTTACCCAAAATCGAATACCCCTCCTGTCCTCATATTATATTGGGAGAAAAATCTCCTCGCCATTCTAGTCACCCCCAACACCCTTTATCTTTAGTTGATGTGCCTGACCTCTTTACCTGCTCAGGTTGCAAGGAGTATGGGTCAGGCTTAAGGTTTAGCTGCCAAGAATGCGAGTTCCAGTTACACGAGTTCTGTGCCCTAGCCCCTCCAGTTCTCAAGGCTCATCCTTTTCACATGCAGCACCGACTTTCCCTTCATTCTAAACCAGGCGAGTTCGATTACTTAATTATCTCTCACACACATTTGGATTGCATTAATTTCTGATCCAATTAACTGGGATTATATATATACGTGAGTGTGATTTATAACTTAAATTTGGTTTTGTTATTATATAGCTAAAGGTGGAATTTTAAAATCCAAGTGTGATGTTTGTTGGAAGCCCTCGAAAGGATTCACTTTCAGATGCAATGCTTGCAGCTATCAGATGCACCCTTGCTGTGCTATACTCTCCAACCAGCTTGACATTTCGGTACATCCACACCCTTTAAAGCTCTTGCCAGCTAACCCAAAAAATTCACCAAACGGAGACTCTGCTTCTGGTTTTGTGTGTGGTGAGTGCAAAAGGAAGAGATCAGGCCGAGTGTACCGTTGCACGGTTTGTGAATACCATCTGCACGCTGTGTGTGCTAAGAACATGGTTAATGGTCTTCAAGCTAACGGTATAAAGGGCCCTGAAAAGCCCAGCATGCTAGGAACTGCGGCTCGACTTGCTTCTCATGTCGTCGTCGAATTCGTTGGAGGCATCATTGAAGGGCTTGGAGAAGGTGTAGGAGAATGGTTCATCCAAAGTCTTACCAGAGGAAGGCGCCCTGTTGCAAATATTAATGGAAATTGATTTATTAAGCTGCTGCTACAGCTAGCTGGCTATGCTGATATGCGCTTAAGATGAAGGTTTGAATTGATATATTTATATGTTTGTGTGTGTAAGTGTAATCATGTATGTATGTATTGATTAGTTTTTCATTGGTTTGTAGCCTCTACGTACATTGTGGCTAACTGTCTAGCTACGCATATATCTATACATATATGTTTGCCAAGATGTATTTGTATTTTGTCATTAGCTAGAGCTAGCTGTTAATTATAGAAAAAACTATTTATTAGTTGAAAGCTTCCCATGTTTTCATCTTCTCTGCTTATGAGTTGAGGTAATTAATAACTATGATGAATTTTCTATCTTCATCTATTGATGTTTGTGTTTGATCGAAATTCCAATTGCTTGAATTTCTTGCTCCAATTAATTAAGATGTTGCTGCTTTTCGACGCTCGAACAAGTTAATTACTGGTTCCGAGTGACAATGGAGTCATGGTTAAACAGAAAAGAGAGAGAGTGTGTGTGTTTTAAGGAATTTTGTCAGATAATCATTAGAATTAGTTTGATAGCTAGCAATCCAACTCTTAGAAACTAGTTTGAAACAACAGTATTATGACACAAACAAGTATAGTCTAACGGTTATGTATCCAGTAGCTTCTTTTATGAAACATGTTCTAGTTTTAATGATTCTAGTTGATCATTATCCTCTGCTAATTAAAATTTTTGATATTATTCACCATCAAGATAAATGGCCTTAAGAAATAGGATTTGGGTTCTTATAATTGCTTCAATTCTTCTGTTTGTGAATAATTGTGATCTGAAATACTATATCACACATCACAGACCTGATGGAATATCCTGAATTAAGATTCTCTCCCCTGCAATGAAATCGGAAATGCTCTCTCATACCTCTGCACGACATGTCATTCCATATAGCAGATGACAATCTAGTTAGGCTCGTCATATAAAAATCAACCAGTGGATTACCCAATTTGTGTGTGGGGTTAAACACAATATATATACACATCGGGAGCATTTTCTAATTTATGATAACAAAGAATAAAGGGCTTTAAGAATCCCTCTGAAAAAGGCAGAACCATTTTTTTCTTTGCTATGGTCAATCATTGGTATTGTCTTTCAGTCTCATCAGGGCCAGCGTCCTCTGATGGGGTGAATCCAGCTGCCTGACAAATGTCAAACAAGCATATAGCATAGGTATAACCTCGTTTCCTAGCTTTGCTGTAACCTTTAAAATTCCCACATTTGTTCGCTAGGTCCAAATAGAAAAATTTCAAAAAAAAAAAAAAAAAGAGCTGCAAGACTATCCTTTCCTCCAGCAGCAACAACGCAGGGGGAAAAGCAGAAAAATTGCGTGTTATTTTAAATATGATTCAACAAATATTTGGCTATGCAATCATACAATATTCTACTTCTGTGATCGATCCTAGTGATCAACTTTACAGTAAACAGTTCAGATACAGTCAGTAAAATACCTCAAACTTAGTAAGCTCTTTCAATATTATATATATTAAGAGAGAGAAAAAAGTTCAAAAAATAAAAAGAAGAAACCACCACATAAATTAACTGAATTAAATATCCATCGACGGTATAATTGCTAGCATCTTCTTTTTTCTCCCTGCCCCTCCCTGAATTAAATGATCTTGGCCTACTGCTCTCAGAGAGGTGTCTCCCAACCTTATGTACCACCTGCCATCTTCACTCAGCAAAAGCATTCTTGAAGATCTTAAAGAGCCAAAAACTTTCTGCGATCACAAAACTTCGTGTATTTGTCAAAAACAAATGGGCCAAGAAAAGGGCACAACCTGTAATAACCTTGCAGCACTCCAGTTTGCAAATGGCAACAAGAATAACATGCAGCATCTGAATCACGCTATCCTAGTAGCAGATTGTTTCCTCCTCTCCCTAGAGAAAAAAGGCATCTTCTCGCCCAAACCGCGCTTATATACCCTTATTAAGGAGTCTAACCATCTACCTGAATTCCCAGAACTGAAATCACTGAATAATTAGAAACAATCATCTGGATTTTGTGCACTCCACTGCCCCTTTGTTATTTCTTAACTTGCTTTCCATTACTCAGCACAACCATAAAATGTGTGCTATCATCTAAATGGTTCCATAATCCAAATTCTCCCATTTGAAAGGAGCAACTAAGCCAATGTCTGGTGCACCTCGGAAGAACAGGCAGACACAAACACAAACAGCAGCAATAGCAAGCATTGAATGAACGTAGGGACGCTGAAGCAAGCCCTGTGAACCCGGAACCCTCTTGTGGAACTTAGCCGCCACAATTGCACACTTAGCACAGGATTTACGCCCTTGCTGAAACTGTGAAATTGCACCATGTTCTTGCTCCATCGCTGGCTGTTCTATCTCATTTCCAATTGTCACAGAAACTTGACCATTTCTTTTGTCAGCAAGTTTACGAGCCACCAATAAGTTATAAGAGTGGTTTTTTGTCATGACAGCATAGGCATACGGAGACTGGCTATTTGCATCCAGAAGAGAATTCCAACAGGATAGCCCAATCTGCAGAAGGGAGCCAATGGCACAAGAAATTCATTAAAAAGTAGATGTATTGGTAAAAAAAAACAAAAAACACGCACAAAGAACCCAGCTTAATAATAATCTCTGTCCTCACTGCTATCCATGAACCCAACCTTCCCCTCCACCTCAACAAGGCCAAAAAATAAAAATACAAAATCACAGTTTGGTTCCCATATAATTGCTGTTTCGAAAAGGAAGCATTTATTAAGTGCAAAATTCCAGTCTATAATGACTAAAAACTTAGTAGCATGGAAGGTTACAACGTACAATCCAATTAGGATAATTGTGCAGGGGAAAAAAAAAGAAATAGCATATTTACAAATGGGAGAGGGATTTTGTAGGTCCGTCAAGCCAGATATAAAAAAGTGCAGATGCAAGGAAAAACTAAAAAACAGAAAGAAACATTACCTCGTGTGGGTCATTTGTCAGGGCATCAACCAAACTATCTGAACCTGATGCACAAGCAGCCAAATGTAAAGGTGTGATACCTCCAGGTCCCCCAACATTTGGTGGGAAAATATATGTTCTAGAGGAATTATCATGGCTAGTTATAAAATAATGAATAAGCAAGTCCGCCATTTTCCTGCACCTCCTTTTCACTGACCGGCTCAAGAGCTGAACCTCAGACAGCATCTCTGATGACTCCTTAGATAGCTCATCCCTACACATATTCCTTTCTACCAGCATGTCCAAAATTGTTTTGACCAACACACAATAATCTCTTTCAACTGAGAAAATGAGCAAAAACTTGAAGCGGCCAAGTGAATAATCTGGAACCTCAAGCATAGCAGGCACCCTATTCCTTTGGAATAGCCATCCAAGTTCATTTAAATAATGCAGAACTTCCTCCCTTGAACTAGGTCGCCCCAAGTCACGAGCCTGTTCTTCTGAAACAATATCACCTACTTTAGCCTTTTCATCAAACTCCGATTCAAGCAGTCTCAATTCTTTACAGATGGGAGCATCAGCTATTATTACAGGAAAACTGTTGCCCTTGAAACCATTTTCTACCTGTTTATAGCATTGGCAAACGTCACATAATGTCTTTCTCTAGGATCCATTTGCATATCTAAACTTCAAGGGCATACAAACAGGTGAAGAGTCTTACCTCAATGAAACAACGACCTAAAATACTAGGAGATGGACCGTGGATTTTGAAACTCCCCACATTTATCTCATCATATATGGATCTGGGAGAAGTTGAGCACGTGATTTCCTTTGTTGTGTATCCTCCCATATACGTGCAATGAATCCTACACAGATTATGTAAGAAAATTACTTAATACAGCAAGACAAGGTCGATCAAAAAGCACTTTAGGGGACTAACTAATTGCTTACTTGGTGCCCGGATTAGTCAGATTTCTTCCCTTTAACTGAAGTGAGGTTTCTTGCCCACCAACAACTGCCACGGGGGAGACCGATATCAACTCTGGGGAACTCCATGTTCTCCAGGATTTGCACAAACGAACCTTTCCTGAATATTGGTGTGAACAAACAGGAAAAAAAAAACAATTAAGTTATTACAAAATTGTTTCACAATTCAAATAAACATTGTAGCCAAATATTTTCACAAAATCCATAAAAAGATTATAATAAGGCCATTTAAATTTTCAGTCGCATGGAGGAACCCCTGAGAAAGGGCAAGGTTAAAACTAGACAAATGCAAATGACAAAAAGTCCAAAAAAGAGAGGGCATGGGAAACCCAGCACTTATCCACACACCATCTTTATGTGATGCTAGCTCCCTGCCTGTATTTAATAAAAACCTTCCACTCCTCCATAAATCAGAATCTGAATCTTGAACCAAAGAATCGACTAGCTGAAGCAGGTTCCTTTCAAGCTGCAAAAAACAACAAATATACCCTGCAAGTGGTCAGCATAAGGTTAGATTTATAATTCCTAAGGTTCATCAGACCAGTTCACTCACTCGCTCCCAGGCAGCAGGCGACATTGACAGATAGACTGATAGAACCACACAGCCAGGCCTTATGTAGCTCTCCATTTCTGAAGGACTGTTAGAAAGCCAATTGTATACCTGAAAGAGAAATGATGCAATACTGTATTAGATTCCCTCACAATAAAACTGTCAGTAAGCAATTGTAGGTCTGAAAGAAAAAAGTTATAATCATTATTAGAATAGAATTCTGCAAAAAACTGCAATTTCTGTGTCTCCATGCAAATTTACTAAAAACACACACGAATACACATAAAATCAAAATATACCCTAAACTCACCTGTGCGCGCAATGTCCCAGGGAAATGACTAGGATCCTTGTCAAATAGTTTAAAAATTATTCGCCCCGTTCGATCCTGCAGATGAACAATTTATGGCACCAATTCAACAAGTTAAGCGCATGGAAGCATGAAAGGAGATTGAAGCAGAAAAAAAAATCTAGAACTCATTCTAATGCCAGGCTACCTGAGAATCAGAGTTCTGACTAGAAGGTGAATGATCAGACCCAGAGGAAGACGTATATCCTCCTTGATAAGGGAAACTTTGAAATGAACCATGGTCAGGCTCTCTGTTTGGACCTCTAAAGAGCTCAAACGGCAAAACACAGCCATGACTCCTGCTACCTTCAACATTTGCATTGACCTCTCTGCTAATTGACATCTTCTCAGACTTCATTGTTTCTGCAGTGCTCTGCAATGGGAACAACTTCTGCACCACAGGAGGAGATGATGATGGAGACCTCTCTTCGATGGGATTACTGCTGTCAGAAGAAAAATATTTCCTAGAAGATGCTAGTTTTAGAGGGCTATCATTCTCAGGTGACGAGCTAAACAGCTGCAATGGTAAGTTAGGCCGAGATTCTTGAATCTGGTAATCTGAATCTTCAACAGGAGACTCGTAACAGTGACTAATTCTCTCACCGCCCACAGAAGGAAATTCTACATTAGATCTCTTCTGCAGATTGGGACCAGTGACTTGAGTGGGGCCAGTCAACTTAGACTTCTCACTGTCACTGCTCTGACTGCTCCTCTGAGATAAAATTGCAAGAGCATCTGGAGCAGATGTAGCCAAAGTGGCTGAAAGTACAGTCAGTAAGTCCATGGTAGATGAAGAAGATGCAGTTCCCTGCAATCTGTTTTGATGCGCTGATGAAGGTTGGTCAGCATTTTTCCCATTTAAACTTGCAATATTGGACAATTTTGCAGCAAGATCCATTGGCAGAGGCAGAGAATTTATTTTGCTAAGAATATGAATAAGTTGGTCTTTATCTGGTACTGCTGCGCAGTTGGTACCTTTATCCTCATTCCTCCCTATAATTTTCAAGGTAAAGATTTCAGCACAGCACAATGGGTGGAACATAAAAGTCAATCATTGGAAGATTGTTTTACCTTGAGAGCGAGCCAAAGCAGTTAACAAGTTTACAATATCCAAGTTTCCATTACTGTTTATATCCCGGTTTCCAGGGAGTAGCAGCCGTGAGGTAACATCCTCAGGCTGGGTTTTCCTCCTCCGTCGGTTGTGCCCTGCAAGCCTACGCCTACAACTTCTCTTTCCCTCATCAAACTCAGTGAGAGGATGAAACCTACATATTGCAGAGAAGGAGGCTTCATATAAGCTCACAGTGGAAGAACATAACAAAGGGAAAGCACTAGAGATTGAAACATTATTAAAACTAAGAGAAGGGCACAAGGCTGGTTGAACAGTCAGGCATGAAATATGCACAACAAAGTAAAGACAACCTGCTGCACTGCTGACAAAACCTCTGCATCTGTTTTCCCACTAGCGCTTTCGTGGCTTTACTATGAACTTCGCACACTTTATGCCGGCGATGATAGTCTTTAGCACTAGTGAGATCTTCCTTGCAGTTATCGACCTGACACATTGGATAACTACCATTGCCAGGGGATCCAGACCTGACCCTCTTGTTGGGTCTTGATACAGGCTCGTCAACAGAAGTCAAACTCCCACCTAGATTCAAGCCAAGACCATCATCTTCGTTAGCAGAATTGGATTTGGTCTTGAAATCACTCTCATCTTTCTTCTTAGGCTCCCTAGATGCAGTTCCCAGACGTAAAGTTTCAGCAGCATCAGACGGTTTAGCAACAAAACCGACACTATCCCAATCCCAAGCCTTAGAATTCCAGTTTTTTTCCCTGGAGGTCTGAAGAAAGTGCTGTTGTTGGAGCTGAAAATTGGGCGTCTGGTATGAAAGGTCGCGTTTTTTTGCCATGGAACTCAAATCACAATATCTACTAGAAAGTGCTTGATGAATGAATACGGGAGCAGCTACTTGCGCACCCACCTCTTCCATGTCTTTGAAAACTCCTCACCCTCACAGATAATACAACCTAAATAAATAAATAAAACCCAAAATCCAAATGGTTTACTATCAGAATTAGAATTGCACAGAAAATAAAAAACACATACTGCTAGTCAGCAAATTAAGATCACCACAAATTGAAAATAACCCCCCCCCCCAAAAAAAAAAAGTACTTATCTGGTTTATATACTCGAATAATTTTTATTTAAAAAATAAAAATTAAGTTATAAATAGAATTTTCGACAAAAATAGAAAATTTGGAGTTGAAACAAAACAGTTAGAGAGTCCGTCAGTGATGATATGCTAAATAATTAATAGATAAATATAATTGATTAACTTTAACAAAATTAGTGACTTGAAAGAATCACAATCTAATCCACTACACACATACCTTCCCTTGTTCTTCAAAGAATCGTGAAGCAGGAGAAGGACCGCATCATCTCCCTTTGCCTGTGATATAACCAAATTTTAATGCTTCGGACAAAAGCTTCCGACAAAAACCTCTCGTCGACCTCAGATCTGAAAGTTAAATCCTCCAAAATAAAAACAAAAGAAGACACTACAACGTTGTTTGGCGGCAAATCAGCTGAAAAACACCTGCTGTAAGTGAATCAGTTAATAGTAAAAATGATCCATCTGCGAATCAGAGGAAGATGGCTGGATAGATGGATGCTTGGCGAATTGAAGTACTTTCGGGTTTTCCCTTCTCTTGACTTTTTCCTGTCCTTGCCTTGTAGAAGTTGTATAACAAACTTCTTTTTCTTTTTTTTTTCGGTGTTTCTGGCACAAACTGTAAATTCGAGCATTTGTTGGGTTATAGTTTGGGCCGCCCATGGACTTACTAACGAAGCATCCAAGACTCTTCCTTCTTCTTGTTGGGGAATGCTTTGCTGCTTTTATTTTTCACCTGAGTAATTATTAAATATACTAGTAAATTATAAATGAATCCCTCTAGTTTTTCAAAAAGAATTAAATAATCCTTTTACTTTTAATAAATAATTAATTGGTTCTTATGCTTTTAAATATATTTGTAATTTAACTTTTTTTCATTCTTTTTCAATTTTTTTTGTTTTAATAAATAGAAAAAGGAAAAAAAGAAAAAAATGATAAGATTAATAAAAAGAGACATTTTTTAAAAAATAATATTAAATTAATCACAATCAATACTAATTAAAGGACTAATTAATTAATTTTTAAAATAAAAAATATTGTTTAATTCGTTTTGCAAAACTAAAGGGACTAATTTATAATTTTCTTTTAAATATACTCCATGTGTTTGTTAAACTTATTTTGTAAACTCAAACCTTGGTGACTTTAACAATTCCAAATAAATATATTGTATTTTTTTTTCAAATTAATGACATTAAAAGCAACTAAAAATCTGACAGGTCATATTATTAACTGCTGGTTGTTTAATATAACGCATCCATTAATACATGTTTAGGAAAATACTAACGTATCTATGTATGGTAGGACTGAAATTATAATTATTTATTAAAGAGGATGATGTGGATCAATGTGGTAGATGCTAGATTTCCTTATCGTACCACTAGAAAATGATGCCTTTTCTTTACCACTGCCTGCTCTCTTTTCCAAAAATAACCTTCTAAGCACTCATTCTCTTGGTTTTTTTCCTTTAATTCGCTGCTGAGTGCCACCCTCTCCTTACCACTGCCTGCTTTATTTTCCAAAAATAACCTTCTAAACACTCATTCTCTTGTTTTTTATTCCTTTAATTCGCTGCGGAGGGCCACCCTCTACATATATTCTTCCCCTTTTCGAACTCTACTTTTCTGGTAAAAAATTTACTCACTTCCTTCCGTCATGTTACTGCTTTTGGTAAAATTTTCTCAAGTAATTTAATGGTCATTTGATTTCTATATGATTAGAAAAATAAAATAAAAATTATAAAATAAATCCGTTAGCTTCTTTAGTGTCTACTTTATGTATTGCCAATTCAAGTTAAGCCAATTATACGTAGGTAGTGCGTTTCTTTCCCTTTTGATTGAGAAATAACAGAAGGGGCAAGCCCAGCAGTTCCCGTCCTTTTATTTTTTCGTAGGTTGATTGTGATCCGATGTCTTGACTTTCTCTGCCTGAGACTAGGAGAACAATCATTTGCACTTTTTTAATTGCCTGCAATGGTCAGCAAACATTAATTATTTGATTTTTTTCTTTTCTGATGTGGGAGATAATTAATTATTTAAGGCTACCTGAAGAAAATTATTATTATTAGCACAAGATTTTCCAACGCCATTGTAAAGATTATGGAACTAGAAATATATCACAAAAGCAGCTCTAGCTCAAAGTTAACTATCCGATCATATTGTTTTTTTTCATAAATCAAAAACATTATTAATTATTATACTATAACAGTACTTTTGTTAATATTTTTTTAATTGCATTTGAATAATTTTTTATAAAATAAACTTTAACTGATAGTATTTTAAGAAAATATACCACTTAAAATTTTGACCAACAAAAATTTTGAAAATTACTATATATCTTTTCAAAAAAAAAAAATCAAAGAATTGCAACTTACTAAACCAAACTCTCAACTGTAATAACCACCAAAATATTATTATTATAAGTGCAGACAGCCGGGCTGCAATCTGTAGGAAAAGAGAAGAGAGAGGCATTTTCGTCAAAGCCTAAGAAAGGAAGATGAATAGTTTTTTTTTTTGGGTATGAAAAGAAAAGATTAATAGTTGATGATGATGCGATATATATATTTTTTTTCAATTTTATCCTTGTATAATAAAAAAATCAATCAATCATGCATAATTTTACGTTTATTCAAGAGCATGTAAAAAGAAATAAGTACAAGTTGTTGAGAAGAAAAAAATTTGATGAAATAAATCAACAAACATATATACTAAAAAAACACAAATAAATTAAACTGATGATTATAATTAACTCAATTTTGTTTGTTTTTTTTTTTTTTGGTACAAAAATACTTCTCCAAGGTTGCACAGGAGACACGTTGTGTGTCGTTTTTTAAATGCGTCTTCAAAACGCGATTGACGGAATGTAATCATTGAAAATATGATATTTGTGTTCGGGTAAAAATAAAAATATTATTAATATTTCTTTCTCGTGTTTGGTTTTTTTAAAAAAATTTATGAGAAATGCAAATAAATTTCTCACTTTACTATTAAAATTTAAAATATTTATTTGATAATAAGATAATAATCTTTTTAATATAACTCTCGTATTAATTAGTGTTTAAAACTAATTAATATAATAAAATAAATCCAAAATAAATTTAATTTTATAAAATCACCATTATCTAGTGGAGTGATATATTTACCAGACAATTTTATAACGTAGATAATATGTTAATTATTTTATACTAAATTAAAGTTACTCAAACAAATATTAATTGTTTAGATTTATATTCTAGTAAATACATGTACACACGCTGATCACTTAAAACATTTGTCTAATTATTAGTAAAAAAAAATGAATTAAACAACTTAATATAAAAAATGGAGTTAAAAAAAATATATTCAGCCAAATCCGTTCACATCTCAAACTCTTGTAATCTTAAAAGAGAATCGAACCTTTGATTTGCTAGCAATTTAACGTCCTACACGTGAGATTTTTTTAAACATGAATGTCTTGTTTTATCAAATACAGAAATGATTAGTAAGTGTCTCAAATAACTTTCCAAGAAATTTCAAACATTTCTATACGAAACACCTTCAATAATATATGAAGATAGATCTATACATTACCCCACTCCTGTGTTATTTACGCAAAAAAAAGAAAAAAGAAAAGGAAGTTCCGGGAGTGGTGTTATTTTGTACTACGGCACTACCCCTACTCCTGTGTGTTTTTCTTATCGGTACGAAAGAAATCAGCGTCGTGACTGACAGGACAGACCGCGTGCAAACGCAATGTATAAACACGAAAAGAATGCAGTGCCAGCTGTATGAATCGAGAACGTCCAAAATTGAATCGTCAATCAAATCAAATAATAGACAAAACTGTATATAAAGTAGTATATTCCTAGTCTTTGTACACAAAAGAAATACTCTTACCATTTGACAGCAAGAAACCGTACGATTCCACGGAAGCCGATAATAACGAGCCGTCCCGCTCCCGTCCCATCCCCACTTTCATTATTACCTAGAAACCGTCCACTGTCTGTACGGTCATTCAGCGTGCACCTAATTATTACACCGTTTACTCACCTTAATTATTTGTTTCTCTTTTCTTTTCTTTTTTCTTTTTGATAAGTAAGGGTCTGTTTGCTGTATTTATTTCATATATTGTAAGTCTGATATATATATATATATATATATATATATATATATATATATATATAGACAAGGTAGAACCAAACACAGTCGAAATTGGCTATGTTTAATATTTCTTTTGGAACAACTTTGAAGAAGCACATAGCTTACATGAATCTTATGATTTTATCTTTCTAAAAAGCTAGTCAATTACATGTTTTTTTTTTTTTATGGTTCATTAAGTATGTAAGATCATTATGTTATTGTTGTATTGTGTTTTGACTAATGTTGTTATGAATAGTTAATGAACTACTTTTTTTAATTGTATTGAATCCTTGGGGAAAAAAATCCAAGGGGGAAAAAACAGAAATCATGGCAGATGCATTGAATCCTTCGCATGCCAGCGCCCCCACCCTTGGTTGAACGTCGCTATCAAGATGGCCTGGTCCAACCAACCAACTAGGCCTTCGAGAGTTTAGCTGGTCCGATCCTCAAGTGGACCAAAATCGTACCGAAGCAACCCATGTGCAAATTCCTGTACGGACTTCCATTACGTTGACGATAAAGATTTTTAGTGCTTGTTAACAATGCTAATCCCATATTTATCACTAGCTTGTCTAATATCGATATATTAAAATTAGAACGGATGATAAAAGTCGGCAATCCTACGAGAGCATGACACGTGGATGGCTTATTTGGCAGTTACAAATTTCCATAAACGCATGGATGCCCGTTTCAATGAATAAATTATATATTAGTCCCTTTAGTTTCAAGATACGCATTAATTAGTCTTTTATTTTAAAGAATTAGTTTTTTATTTTAAAATAATTATTTAACCTTTAAAGCGTAACTTAATTCTTTTTTTTTTAATTATTTTAACTTTTTTTAAAAATAAAAATCATGAAAAGATTGATGAAAAAAATGATTTTGTCTGAAATACAACACTAATTAAATTATACATAATTAACAATAGTCGGGAAATTAAATAATTAATTTTTATAGGAAAAAATAACTAATTAATTCGTTTACAGAAAATAAAAGTACTAGTTTATAATGTACTCCTATTTCAATAGTACTCTAATCCTGAAAAAAATAAAATTGTATTTCCCATTTAAATCTCACTATACTTAATGATTTTTTTCGGTAATTTTTTTTAATCTCCAGTCTCATCATTCTTTCTTTCTTTCTTCTCCCAGTTGTAATGTTTATCATATTTTCAATTTCAAAATTGCTTAATTCGATATTTAATTAGATTTAACACAAATCTACAAATATTAATTAATTTTTAAAACTAGAAAAAGACTATTTAAATCGCATTGCAAAATTAAAGAAATTAATTTATAGTTTACCTTTTAAAATCTTCTTCAATTTTGACCCGCTTACTAAATTTTTGGCTTGATCATAGTATAGAAATAACTATTGAAAGTTACTCTACAGAGAAAGATAAAAAAAAATAAATAAATAAAAATAAGAGAGAAATTAAAAAAAAAATTTAAGTCAAAGCGTAAATCTTCTTATCATTTTTAATGATCCGAATGTTATTCTTCTTTTTATGTGTACATATCTTCAAAAGTAAACCTATGAAAGAACTATTATACATCTACTCTAGTTACTCTTAAGAATTATAAAACCTCTTTATAGAGTATCTTCCATTAGTTACTTCGTTTCAAGAAATTTTATAATATTCAAAGAGCAACTACCACTGTTATATTTACAGTGGCCAACCATGGTGTTGTTGCACCGCAATTTATCATCTAAACAAGCAAGACGGTTACCAATTCAACTGGGCAATAGGTTTTCCCACAAAAATTTCCAATGGAACTGATTTGCATGTTAACTAACCTAAAGAATATTTACAGCAACTTAAGGGTGGAAAGCAGATTATTGTGAAGTGGATCAGATATGTGCTCCAGCAGATTCTGAATAGGGCCTTTTCCAGTCAAAGCTGCCTGGCTGTAAAAGCCTAGCCAGGCAACCATTGCCAGGCGCCCATTTTTAATTTCTTTTACCTTCAACTCCTCAAAAGATACAGGGTCTTTGGAGAGGTTCAAGGGATCGAACAGTATTCCTCCTGGGTAATTGATATCACCAGGCAAGTAAATTCCCAGAGGCTCCAAAGCCTCTATTCCACAATATCTTGCATACTCCGGTCCAACCTGTTTATTTGCAACCAGTGACCAGAAAGTTACATTCCTAATTGATTATCAAATATATATCACCAGCGGATAATCATGACATTAATAGAGGATGAACGTGCAAGATGAAATTAAAGTGCTGCTTGATATGGTGGTTACCATTAGTATGGCTTGACAAAAAGCAATTACAATCACTCCTTGGCTTCCGGCTAAGTGGAGTCCGGGGATGCCAAGGTAGTCCAGTGTATCTCCCTGGCAATAATTTGAAAAGGCAATGAGCAAAGGAAATCAATCAGCATCCCACGACGCTGAACATATGGCTCTTCAGAGAAAGATAGCAAAGAAGTGGATGGTAGACTGTGTTCTTAGCATCAAAACTGACTAGAAGTAGCAGATTAGGAATATCTTTAAACACGAATAGATATCTCTTGATGATTGATGTAATGAGGAAAGAATATACTAGCCTTAAGCTTTGAATAGCCAACTCGCCACCATACAGGCTCGATGAAATGAAAGGCACCCGACAAATCTAATACTTCTGGAATCAGAGCACCAAGAGCAGCAAGCATAGCCCAACGAGCATGAAGTATTTCAAAGCTGCACAAAAATGGAGATTAAACTGAGCATTTGGCTATTCAATATTTGAAAAGAGAACTTTTTTTTACTAATTTAATGAAAGAAAAAAAGCACATGCATGGTAAACATTAATGTAGAAACACGTCGAACCAAATAAACCATTATAGGCATCCATATAATGCTGAAGAATTGATTGCATATGCTAGATCGTTTCCTATATTCTGATAGCAATCTTCAGCATATATCAAACTATGCCCTACTCCAAAAACATAAAGGGTAAAATCTACACCGTTCCCTTGTACTTTACATGGATAGAAGGGTTAAAATTGATAATACTGAATAGTACAAGTACACAAAATGTATTTCATAAATGTTGTATCCTAGACTTGCTATAGATGTAACTTTGACTTGCATCTCAGATTGCTAATTGTGAAGGACATTGTCCAGTGCAATAGAGTAAGAATGACATGGGAATTAGCTCAACATGCACATGACTGAGGATATAGAAGGACAGCAATGACATACTTGAAGTATCTCTGGAAAGCAACTGGATCCTTCGCCAGACCTGCAACATCAAAGCCATAATCCCCAGGTAGTTCTCCACTAAGATACGTTGGGTACTGGTACGAAATAGGGCCAAGCCACCGAGGACGCTCCTCTCCATACCAGACGCTGAAAGTAAAAAATTCTTCTTGTCATTGCAAATTCGAATGAATGAAATTCCGCATGAACGAAAAGAAAGAAAAATGCTTACCCCTATCGAAATTACCTCTCTTTACGGGCCTTTTGGGCTAAAGCTTTGAAATTGGAAGATTGTTGAACAGCAAGTCTCTTCCTCTCTTCCAATCTCCGCTGGAGAGACTCTCCAAGTGGGCTATTGGCGATGGCTTTCACAGCCGTGAATGGAATTGCTGAGAATATCACCACTCCAGCAAGCTAATTCAAACAGTTATATATATATATATATATATATATATATATCGAATTAAAGTTAAAGAAAAAGAATTATATATATCTGTGCTTAGATTGAAAACAAAAATAATTTAAGGATGGAACAGCTACCTCTTGCCATGAAGCTTTGCAGATGGAAGCTGGTAGGTTGGTACTGTTATTGGAAAGGATGTTCTTGCTTCGAGATTTCAATAACAAGATGTTGGAGACTCTTTGATTTGCGAAGAAAGACGAGGAAGACGCAGAAAAGGCAGCCTGTGGATGGGGGACTGTCACGGCCATGACCATCAGTAGTCTTGCTCTTCAGCTCTCGGAATTGGAATTCGTATGGATGGATGGATTATAATAATATATAAATTAAGGAAAAAATAAAATAAAATACTAATGATGATGGACAGACTTACACGTGGTCCGTACTAAACTGGTCCACGTAGCAAAATAACGAATCGGTAATCTAGGATCGCCTTAAGAAAGACGGTGTCGTTCAACCAAACGAATGGTGTTTTAATAGGTAAAATAATAATTTAGTCCCTCTAGTTTCAAGAAATAAACGCATTAGTTTCATTTTAAAAAACTAATTATTTAGTCCCTTTTCTTTTCTTTGGGGTGCCAGGCTCTTGGCCCTGGTACTTGGCTATCAAGCTCAGGTACTTTTAACTTTCTTGTTTTCTAGATTTTCTTTTGGCCTTGATGACGAGACATTGAGAAAAGCAAATTGTGATGAAACAGGGCAAATTACAGAAGGACCATCGAACGTTTTAAATTGTTTGTGTCAGGGTCCAAATTCAGAGATCCAAGCATGTGTGATGTTGCCTATAAAGACACCATCAAAGTAAAATCACTCCATTTTATAGGGAGCCAATGATGGCGTCGAAAGAACCTTCAGAGGTCCTTGACCCTGCCTTTGACAACCCTCTCCTCATAAGACATCCACAAGCCCACACTGTCCCTAGGTTCGGCCGGTCATGCTACTTATAGTTCTAATTAATTTTTTTTCCAGTTTTTTGAAACATCCTGCTGCATTATTATGGTTGCAATTTTTGGTTGCGTGATCAATTATTTATCTTACAACACAGACATTCTCAATATCAATGGCAATGACAACGTTTTGAATGATAAACATGAATTAGAGAATGGAGAAACTAAAGTGGATGAGGAAGCAAAGCCAGAATAGGTCTTCGACAAGATCGATATTACTCTAAAATCTGCTGGATGGAAATGGCAAAAAACTAAAGACAGAAGTTGAAGATGTTGAAGGCTGAAGGCATCAAAAGCACAAACAGTATGCATCGAAAGGGCAAACCATGTTAGCCCAGTAACGGTTACAGATTTAATCAGGCACGAATTATTTTGGCACTTTTTATGATCCAACTAAACAGAAAAATGTGAATAAAATTGTCAAAAAACATCCTCAATCTGTGTTTTTTCATATATTGTCTTTTGAATCTAAGTTTTCTTCCTTTCAATTATAAATAAATAAAAATGATTATGGAAAGTCATTTGCACCATGACTTTCACGATAAATTTAATGCTGAAGTGATTGAGGACAATAGAGTTATGTCAGAATCACAGGATGCTGTATAGGAGGCTCCCTCAGAATTCAAACAGCTAAAGTTGAAAAGCATAAATATGAGATTGTTATTGTAAAAATGTTGTTGCTGCCTTAGCATTTACCAGCGGAGATGGGGGGTTGTAATTTACAAGGAGGCGATCAGGGGAATAATTAAGATAAAGAAGCAAAAAAGCTCCACAATTATTATAACAAGTTGAGAAAGAAGAGGAAAGTGATGATCAAGTCGGTGCTGACGAAGATGGTGGCGGTGATGAGACGTAGCTGCACAATCAATCTTCGTAGACGCGACACTCGTCTGTCTCAGGATTGTCTTGACAATAATACTCGAGAGGATCCTCCTTCTCCAACCTGCGCCTGAGATCGGCCTTTGCTTGGCTCACCTCCTCCACCTCGTCCCATGCCACCTTGCACTCGTCTGATTTTTCGTCTCCCTCGCATGCTTCCTTTGCTTCTACCACTTTCTTCTCTATCAGCTCTGTCAGCTGCTCTTCCCTCATCTGCGTCCCTTTGAACTTTGCCACTCCTCCTCCTCCACCTCCACCTCCCATATTTGCTTTCACTCCGATCGCTTTCATAGCCGTCTGACTCCCGGTACCCTTTATAGCCAGAGATCTTATGCTCTGCAATTTGCTGCCAAAAGCATCAGATCTTAATGGGAGACTAGATGAAGACAGGATCATGGACAAGGATGCCATTGTTTCTCCTTCTTCTTCCTTTTCCTCCTCTAGCGATCAAAACCAAACAGAACAGTCCTTATCCAACTACTTTGGCCTCTTCTCTGTTTTTAACCATACGAATGATTAGGGTTATGAATGTAATTTCGAGGGGTTGGGTTAGCCGTTGACGAACTTGATAAGGCGCTTGGATGGAACGTTTTATTGCTGGATTTACCAAAACAGCCCTCCCTCCACTGGCATGACGATCCTCCACCGTCCGTAGTCAGTAATAATGGTGGCCTTTTTACTTTCCACCAATGGCGTGGATTACATGAGGGCCTTTTTGCCTGCCTTGAAGATGAAAGAAGGTGGAAGGAAAGTGGTGGATTTGCAGTTGCTTGCACGTGAACGGTATAGATTTGTTTGGACATTTCGAAGTGAGTTTTTATTGTTTTGCTGAATTTAGAGAAAGAAACTCAGCAAGTAGCTTTCAAACATCATCCACAGCCAACCAACTTCTTCATGGGAGGGATAAGTTTAAGACAAAAGTAACCCCCCGCGTTATTATCACCATTTCATTTTTCAACCTTGCTTCCTATTGTTTGTTTGTTTGTTTGTTTATTTGCATTCTTGAAATATCTCAATTACAAAGTTTCAGACTACTCTTTATGCGAACACATGCGTACCACAATTCAAATATTTTTTATATATATATATATATACCAGAATTCAAATTCAAAACTAACTGTTTTAAATAAACAATATATTAATTGCATTTAAAAATAAAAAAATTATAAATTAGTTTCTTTATATCAACCATACTTAATTTAATATTATTTTATTTTAAAATATTTTTTCATCAATATTTTCATAATATTTATATATGTGTGTGTGAAAAGAACATAAAAATAATAAATAATGAAATAATTAATTTTTAAAATAAAGATTAATTAATTCGTTTGTTAAAACCAGAGAGACTAATTTATAATTTACTCTTTCAAAAGTTGGTGGTGGTTTAGGGGATGGATGTTCATAATGGATAGCCCAACCCATAACGACGCTCTCCTCTTTTAAATTTTTGGTGCGGTTGGAGCTCCACTAGCTTTAGTGGCCCAAGCCCATGCACGCTCTCCTTTCTTTTGCAATATTTCGAAAGAGTAAATTTCAATTTGTACCACTAAAGTTTATAAAATTTATGTATTGTCTCAAATTTTATCTATAAATGTTTATTTATTTTCAAAAATTAAAGAAATATCTTAATATAATCCAAAAGATAAGAATAAAAAAATTTTAATTGAAAAAAAATATTTTTTTATCAATATTACGTAGCAGTCATTTGACAATCAAAAAAATTAACTTAAATTAAAGACAAATAATATATCAATGAACTTGGACCAAAGGTAAAGGTTTTTTTTTTTAATTGAAATTGATATGATTTGAAATTTTTTTGATAAACTAAATCTGTCAAATTTTATTATTATATTTGTTTTAATGAAAAAATAGAATAAAACTGAAAAATATGAAGACTGATTGGAACAAAAATGAATAATTGGAAAGCTGATTAGACAAATCAAAGGTTTTGAATAAAATTGAAATACATAAAACTAAGTATAGTAAATTGAAATTTATCTTATTTCAAAAGAAACAGTGGACCTGGACCGGCTCTTTTTTAAGTAGTATTTCAAATTTTTCGAGAGGACAGGGGAGTCTAAAATGGCAGGGCCCGCAGTACGGGCACAGATTTCCAGTACCCTCCGCTCCCAAATCAGTTTTTCATATATATAACTAACGGCTAGTTTTTGATTTCAAACATTCATTTGCAGTCTCTTTCTCTATCTGAAGGTTGAAGAAGAAGAAGAAGAAGAAGAGTAATTGACGGAGCAGATGGAGAAGTTGGATCCAGAGACGGCGTTTCTTGCGTCAAAACAAGAGACGGGTAACGAGTGGGAACTGTTCAAAGAAAATGTAAGACCCTTGAAAAGAGGACGAAACGTTGGGCTCTTGAATCAAGCCCTCAAATCTCACACAGATAATCAACTCAAGAAATCTCTTCTTGAAACCCGAAGGTCTTTCTTCATCTCCCTTTTTCTTCTTTCTTTAAAATTTATCATTTCGTCTTTGTTGTTCTGATTGATTTGATTTCCTTTTGCTTTCTAATTTCCATGGATCTAGGAAGTTTATCGAAGCGATTGATGAGTATAAAGGGGACGATCCTCTCTTGCCATGGATTCAGTGAGTAAATTCATATGATTAGAATTAGATTCTTTTTATTTTTATTATATTGGAATAATATCAAAGCGGTGGCAAAACTAATGGTGAATTTTGAAGGTGTATTAAATGGGTTCAAGAGGCATTCCCACCAGGAGGAGACGGCTCAGGCCTCATACTGATATACGAACAATGTGTGCGTGCCTTTTGGCATTCTGACCGATACAAGGATGATCTCCGTTATCTCAAAGTTTGGTTAGAATATGTGGGTTCTTACTTCTTATTGATTTCGATTTTTTAGAGATTCTTTGTCGTGATAAAAATGGTGCTTCTCTTTTCTGTCAGGCTGAAAACTGTGTTGATGCTGAAGTTATTTACAATTTTCTTGATGCAAATGAAATTGGCAAGTCACATTCTGCCTATTACCTAGCATATGCTTTGCATATGGAATCCAAGTCTAAGATGAAAATTGCAAATGACATTTTCAATCTTGGGATTTCTAGGTAAGTCTCTCTCCAATACTTGTGTTCTATATTGCGTTGATTTCTCAAGGGCATCGAGTTGTTATCTAAGGTTTTGAAAGGATTTATGACACTAACTCCCAATCAAGACTGATGTTTTGAACTACTCAATTAGGTTGCATAAGTAGTAGCATTCGCCTGCTACAGTATTTCAAGCACATGAAACAGCAAACTAATCAAACATTATATATATCGCATGATGAAACTGCCGTATAGCTGCAGTTATTGTGAGCTCTCTGTGTGATAAGATTTGTTGCAGTTCAGAAGCATTTAAATCATCTTGACAACTCGAGAGCATTTAAGGTTGTTTAGATATATGTTTGGAAACAATAACAATTACACTTTTGAAAGCAATGAGAATGAGAATCCCACACATCCCGCACATAACCGACTTCATTATGTTAGTGTAATTCAATACATGGAAAAGTTCTATAGTACGTGCTGGATGTTGAGGAGACGATTTTGTTTTTTGTGTTGTTATCATCTGCTAAACCTTTTCCTGGTCTGATATCTCAACTCAAGTCATTTCTTGTTTAAATTCTATTGCGTTCCACCCAGAACGAAACAACCCCCCCCACAAAAAAAAAAAAAAACAAAAAAAAAACAAAACCAACTACATGGAAGTTACTTATCTTTTAGTTTGATATTGGATTTATTGGTGCTTATCATGCAGTGCTAGACTTGGTTTACACAATTGAAATTTATTTTTCAATGACCGCTTACTTTTATAGGGATGCTCAACCAATTGAAAAGCTGAAGGATGCCTATAGGAAGTTTTTAATTAGATCAATGAGAAAACCAAAAATTGTGGAGGTATGTGAGTTCGGTAAATTATTTGGTTTAGACAATATTTTTGGGGTTTGAACACACGCTAGCTCAATTGTCCGGATAAACTCAACTAACGGGATTACAATAGGATGTCTCACCAATATGGTGGCTTTTTAATGATTGACTCTGATCGCTAGAGCACTATATAGAGATCAATATCCTAAAATTTCATCTTAACTGGGCTTAAAATCACCATCTTATGAGCAGCTCACTCTCAAAACTCTCTTATGTTTCTTGACCTCTCGTATTTTGCTTTCACTTCTCTCTTTTCTTGCACTCTCTGCAATGCTTTTGCACTTTCTCTTGCTGCAACTTTCATCAATCTCTGTATGTAGGCATTTCCATGTTTTCTGCATGCATTAATCTTTTTTTGTTAACAAATGCAGCACCATCTTTTTATTTTTAGGATATTGATCTTTGTATAGTGCTCTACTTAGCGAATGGAGTCGATCATAGGAAAGCCACCAAATTGAAGAGATCCTATTGTAATCTCATTATTTGATATTTGTTTGAGTGAATTGCAATCCTGTGGCTTTTCTCCTTCATTCAAAAGGAGTTTTCCATGTAAAATTTTCGGTGTCTTATGTGCTTGCTCTTGTGTATATTGTGTATATATTTTATTCTTATCCCACTTTTATTACACAAAAGGAGATTGAGTTTATCTGGACAATTGGGCTAGTGTGTGTTCCGATCCAACAAATATATGATCAAACAAATGGAAGTAGTTTATCGTTCTATTTGTCTTTTTACTAGGACGACTCTGGAGAAAGTCATTTACCAGTCCGAAGCTTTGGAACCGTGCTGTCCCGGGCAGATAATCGTAAGTTTCTACTGCACAGTATCTGCCATTTTGAATTTGTTGCTAAAACTCATGAATATTGCAGGGAGGCAAAATATGGAGAGATCCGAACTTGCAAGGAAACAAATGAAGCCAGACAGGTATGGATGTGGTTTTAGCATTCCTACCGTTATTTTATCTCCTATACCCCCTTTCCTTTCCAATTCTAGGATTTGCCTTCTGAAGAATGAAAAATGAGAAATTCCATAACTTGGTTATTTTGTTATCTAACTGTGATGACTGATGAGCACATCCATGTAGAAGCTGTGCATAGGCTCCACTTGTGGTCCCTTTTGCATTGTACTCAAGGTTGATTCGATGTAAAACAGTTATAGAAGGTCTTTTACAAATCTTCCACGGCAGCAATAATTGTAGTAACTGGAATTTCATATATATGTATTTAGAAAATGTATTGAAAATGACTGGAAAGGTGGAAACAAGTCCAGATATAATTTGATACCAAAGTTTACAGATTTCTAAAGGAATAGTTTCCTATGGCGTGATAGATTCACATGAATTTCAGCTCGTTGCTTCCTTTATGTTCCTCCTAAATACCTCCTTGGAGATGTACAAACATCTACGATGCCATCATCTTTGCTTAAAAGTGACAGTTGATGACTGGTTCATTTAGCATTTCAGGAATAGAAGAGAACGTTGAGAGGTGATTATGGCTATGATTGAGATGCTTAAATTCATCTTTTCCAGTAGTTTATGCTCATTTGTTTGCTGATATTAAAGAATCTGTGCCATGCTTCCTCTTCTTGCCATATGTTGTATGTAGCAAAGTGTTTCAACTGAATATGCATATTGGTATGTGGTTTATTTTCAAACATTTGTTATTTGTTGATGGTGCATCAACAAATTCTTTCTGCATTATCATGTGGATTCAGTTCTAACTTCTAACACACTTTCTTCGGATTCCATTTTATAGGACTCAAAAGATTCCCCTTTCTATTTTCAAAGACACAACAAATATTGATACTATGTCAGGACATCAATCAGGCAAGTCCAAGCCAGAGTCGAATCCTTGGAGCACTCTTGGAGCTCGAGAAGAGAGAAACAAAGAAAATAGTGCGCTGCCTACCAAATGGACAACATACAAGGTGGATTCATCTCTTAAAAAAATTTTCTCAATACCAATTTTCATCAGAATCCCTTTTTCAATAGGCCTTTGACTTTAAGAATATGCCTTCTGTCAGATTCCACAGAGACCTGGGGGTAGAACTGGAGGGGGGTAACTGCAAGTGCCTCCATTGAAGTGTTTGTTGACGAAGAATGTCCAGAGTGAGTAATACCATTGTTCTAAGGGATAAATGGCAATCTTTAATTGATGGAGGGGATTGCATCAATTCTTCAGTAACTATGTAGTGCTTGTTTATAAGTTAAGTCTCCTTGTTCTGTTGTTAAATTGTTACCATGTCTTATCAGAATGGATAGAGCACGTGATCACGATGGCAAGTCTTCAACTTTGAAGCTGAGACGGGGGGATGGCCTAGACATTAAGAAGTAAGTGCTTGTTGCTTGACTGACTATATTTGTTGCCGACTCCAGGATGTGCTTTATGGTTCATAAAGGATATATTTTCTGAGTTGAGAACTAATCAGTTTTATTGGTCTCCAACAAGCAGGGAAACAGACCTCTTAAGGGAGAACCCATTAAGGAATTTTCCTTTGCGCAGCCTTCCTCGATGATTCCCATTGTTATTTTAGTTTTCTTTCAGTGTTGTATGATCTCAGGCATGGATCAGCTTTTATCTCTGAAGCCTGATCCATATGTGTATGATCTCAGGCACAAATGATATCCACAAATCAAGTTCAAGCCATGCTGAGATTTTAGATTGTTTTTTTTTGCATCGAAACATTGACTCTGAAATTATTGCTTGGTGAGCTATGTGTCCGTTTGTTAGTGTTTGCTTATCGGAATCTGAAAATTCAAAAAAGAAGCTAGCTTGTGCAAATGCTGAAAATATTTACAGTGTCTTTTACATGTCTTCTATTACATGTTAGATCCCAGACTATGAGGGCATTCCTGAAATGTGACCTAGGATCCCCGTCCTTAGTCGTTTAATTCTAGGCGAAGCAGCACATGAGAGATCCTGATGTATTATTGTCGTGTTTGTTTAAATACAAAAATCACTTATTAGGGAAAATCCTGACCTGCAATTTGATGAAGGTTAGCAAGAATTTAGATAAATAATTATTTAATTTTTAAATTTTTTTTGGTTTAATGTTTTTCTGTTCCTTTTAATTTATTATGATCTTTTGTTTTACAAAATAAAAAATATAGAATGGTTTATGAAAAAAGATGATATTTTATGAAATAAAATATTATAAGATTAAACATAATTAATACTAATTAAAAAAATGAATTTTAAAATAAAAACCCGTGTTTTGAAAACAAAAGGATCAATTTATAATTTATTCAAAGCTGATCTCAAGGAAATTAAAAAAAAAATTACCGTGGTGATTCCACGCAAGCAGACACGCACATTTAAATGTTACGTGCAGTCCTCTTACTGTCACAGAGACAGAGAGACTAGAACCTTCCACAGCCCAAGTCAGAGACGACAGAGAGTCCTCTGGCTCTAAATTCCCTAAATTTCCAAAATTAGGGTTTCTTTTTCTTACTATTTCTTTCTTTCCATGAAATAGGGCTTTCTCAAACCCTAGCTAACAAAACCTCAAATCCCATTATCAAACAAAACCATGGCGGAGCACTTAGCTTCAATTTTCGGTACCGAGAAAGACCGAGTTAATTGTCCTTTCTACTTCAAGATTGGGGCATGCCGTCACGGCGATCGCTGCTCGCGCCTCCACAATCGCCCCACTATCTCTCCCACTCTATTATTATCCAACATGTACCAGCGCCCTGACATGATTACTCCTGGTGTCGATGCTCAAGGTCAGCCACTTGACCCACACAAGATCCAGGAACATTTTGAAGAATTTTATGAGGATATTTTCGAAGAACTCGGCAAATTTGGTGAGATCGAGAGCCTTAATGTTTGTGATAATCTCGCCGATCACATGATCGGTAACGTTTATGTTCAGTTCAAGGAGGAGGACCAAGCTGCTGCCGCTTTGCAAGCTCTTCAGGGACGATTTTACTCTGGTCGCCCTATTATTGCTGATTTCTCTCCTGTCACTGATTTTCGTGAAGCTACCTGCAGACAGTTTGAGGAGAATAACTGCAACCGTGGTGGTTATTGTAATTTTATGCATGTGAAACTGATTGGGAGGGATTTGCGGAGAAAGTTGTTTGGAAGATATCGTGGATATAGGGTTAGTAGGAGTAGAAGTAGGAGTGTGAGTCCGAGGAGGAGGGATAGAGATTATGATAGACGCGAGAAGGATTACAGAGACCGTGATTATCGTGGAAATGGGAGGAGGCATGACAAGTATGACAGAGAGGGAGGAAGGAAAAGACACGGGAGTCCGAGGAGGAGCAGGACCAGGAGCAGGAGCCCAGTCAGGGGTGGCAGCGAGGAACGAAGGGCTAGGATTGAGCAGTGGAATAGAGAGAGGGAGGAGAAACAGTAATTTGAAGAGGGAGAGTGTTGTTTTGGTTGGACTAGGACTGGAGATGTATGATGGCATTTATCTCTTATTGGTAACGATTCTAGGCTCTAATGTTTGGTTTTCATGTTTTCTTAAACTTTAAATATTTGACTCTATGTGGTGTCCTTGTGAAAGATTCGAACTATTTTAGTTGGTACTGTAGTTTGTTAGTAATTATTTCCGTTCAAAATATTTAGTGCTAATTCTTCTTGCTATTAAATTGGTTTTATGAATTCTATGCTGTTTCTGGCTCTCTGTTATTTGGGATTGGGTTTGCTTACTAATTTGACTGGCTATTCTAAAAGTGATTTGTTCAAATTCATTTCCTATAATAATGATCATTTGTGATGTATGGACGTTGTATATTATGAATATGCTTGAATGCTTACTTGGGGTTTGTTAGGTTAGCTTTAAGTTACCTGCTGTATGTTATTTGTTATAGACCACTGTCTCCATCGCAAATTATTTAAAAACATGCAATAATAGGCTTATTCATTAGCAAAGACCCATTTGATTACAGCCTACATCATGCTCTAACGGCTTCTCTTTACCTTCTATTTAGGCGGCTGAGAACCTGGGTATGGGAAATATAATAGTTTTAGCGTTTAAATAAGAAAGCTCTGGCAGATTGCTGGTCACATAAATAAATTCTGCATCTTTGATTGCTGCTGCTGGGCTTGGCATCAGGTAATAATCGTGATTATTGGCGAAAATCTGTGGTAGCTATTGGAGTTTGTTATTCCTGAGTTATGAGTTGGATGAAGCATTGCTCATCTCGATGAAATTTGTTGCTGATCAAACAAAGCCTTATTTAGAATACTGAGTATTTAGTATGGATTTTGTTGTCCTGCGAAAATCTTTCTAATAATCTGAAGTAAAAGTCATGTTTTGGTTTTCATATAGTGGAAATGTATTTAGGCCACTATGATGGGTTCAAGGAACTGGAATGATATTTAGATCATTTTGGAAGATTGGTTCTTGTATTTTTATTTGATTACCATGCATTAGATGTCCTTTAGAGTTATGGATGTCTGTTAACTCTTGGCTGGACCAAGCTCTAGAGCTGTCTAGGATGCTGAAGTCTTGAAGTGGCAAGAGCAAGTTTAGTTAACCAAACTGTCATGGTGGGGTTGAGACCTAGCCAAACTTGCAACATTTTACGCGTCTAACAACTTGCATGGATGTGCATGTTCAGCATAACATAGCGCCTTTGAAGGTTTTTTGATAATCTCTGGTCAATATCTTCAAGCTTGGGTTGATAATATATTATGTTGACTGTAGGTAGTGTTATGAGATGCATGAAACTTGTCAAGTATGTCCGTTATAGGATGAGATTGGATGCTTTTCATCTTCCTCAGGACTTAATTTAACAGCAGTTTTTGTCCATGCTACTATATGCATGTATGTATATTCCCCCTGAGAAGTTCGATGATGGAGTATGGACTAGACTATTTTAAATGGGTTTTTCGTTGGCTGTCTACTTTTTGTATGGGGATTTCCATTTTCGGTTGTGGTTGGGTTTGCTAGGGACAAGGTTTTAGTTAAGGGGGCAATTGGTTAACTTCATGATCCAAAAATACTTTACATTGGTGTTCAGAAGGCTAAAGCATTGCATTCATGTCTATAAAGGCCATTTGATACTAAATTTATTTGCCAACTTTGATGTTGTTATTGGACTTGAAATCACAACTTCTTTAGCAGCTTGTAGGTATAGGGATTGCTCGTGCCAGCAGATACATCACAGCGGTAGGGTGACCTGGGGCCCAAGAGTTTTGTGTTCTACATGAGTATGGTCAAATTCCAATGATTTTTTTCCCCTGTTGTTTAAAGGCAATTTAGCATTGTTTGTTTTTCTAATCATTTGTCCAACTGTCTTTAGGTTAGGGTCAGGATCTCTGAATTGGGCCAGTTGAACACGAAGTTGGCTGGAAAGGGCATGGTTTCCATGCCCAGCTAGTGTATTGAACGTGTACTAGCATTATATCCTCCAAAAAGGGATAAATATTTCCCGGCATAGCTTCTGATTATCATATTCTTTTGCTGCTATTCATAGCAACATGGCTTATAATCTCAAAAGGCTTGTTATGATACAGCATGGTCAGCATCTTTGATTGCTAGCCAAGGTAACTGTGGTTAGTAGGAAGAAGGCCATGCACCAAATGACCGAGTTTTAGATATGATGATGACTGTAAATTTTCGAATAGGAGCAGCAGGTTGTGATTGTGAGTCGTAGACCTTGATGTGCAGAAGAGGCAAACCAGGATCATTAAGATTTCTTGTGCGTGAACAGTGAGGGGATATGATTATTCTGAATGGACAAAAAAAAATTACTGTTTAGATGAGGTTGCATTTGCCAGTTTTTAAAGCATTGGAGATTTGGAAGAGGTAGCTGCCCGAATGCTATTGGATTTAATGCATTAGTATGATAACTTAATTTGTCTTCCCGACCAAAATGCCTTTGCTGAATACCTATTATAAAAGTTGATTCTCAGTTACTTGCCTGGCAAATGCTATAAGGTGTTAAGAGTTGCGAAATGATATCCTTTTTACATTTCCTACGGTTTCCTGTGACGAATTACTTTTCAATGACAACGAATTCTAAACCTGTAAGTTTTACTTGCATTTTCTCCTTAGCGCAAGAAGCAAATATGTGTTGGGTGGGCAATGGCAAGTTCGTCATCAACATGTGTTTAAAAGGAGGAAACCTCCGTGCCGACCTTGAAAATGCAGGAGCAGGTTTAGTGAAATTAGTCATCCTCCGGCGTTGTTGTGAACTAGGGGGCTTGTTTCGTTTGAATTGTCGTCCTGTGCAGGGCAGTCTGCTTGCTTTCGAGGACTTTCGCCCCTATAACCATTCCAAAAAAAAAACAAAAAAACAAAAGAAAGCAAAAGAAATACAATATATCTTTGTAATATTTCCCAATCAGTTGAGACATTGCATTTCACACATCCTTTGCGAAGGTTATGCTGATTTCTTGACTCGTTTATGCTCAAACTAACATGGTTTAAAACTAGATTCGGAATGATACTCCTAGCTTAACCGATGCTAGTTAAACGGATATTCATGGTGTTAGCATTTTTTTCCTTATCATATATATAATTAATAAATAAATAAGGGGTAAGAGGTTGTTTGAAGTTCAATGGTATTGGGACCAATAAACTCATAATTTCTTAATATTGTCATAAACATTATTTTCTTTCAACTGAAATCTATAAATGGTGAATCATGATTTGGTATGCATCCTCACGAATTATGGGTTTATATCTTCAAATTCTTTTGTTTTATGAAGAAATCCCATGCATTTTTAGAGTTTCAAAGTTAAATCTCGTTACATTTTTTTTATATATATAGAGAAATAACTAGTTTTTTTTACCTGTAGTATACAAAATATATACAATTATTTAAAAAAAATTATTTTATTTTAATATCTCGTGTTATATTATGCATCTATTAAAATATATCAAATCAAAACTGAATAAAAATTCATTTAATTTTATCATTTTTAAATCAAAATTTTATATTTAACTCATTAAAAAAATTAAAGAAAAAAGTAAAGACCAAAATGATCAAAATAAATAAAATAGGATTAAAATCAAATAAAGAATTTTATGGCTTAAAAAAAAATAATTTAAAAAAAGAAACAAAGAGTAATGTCATAAAATTTTTTATAATAAATGTCTTAAAAATGTTTTATAATTATTGTATAGTGAAAGAAATAATATATTAGACTCTAGGTGAATAGTGAGAATAAATATAGATGAATAATATTTTAAATATTATAATAAATGATAACCAATACTTTTTAGTTTTATTTTTTATTTTTGTAATGTATACAGCGAACGGAATAGCATTTTTAGACGCCAAGTTTTTTTTGTTACGCATTCCTTAAAATTGCGTGCAAATTTAATTTAAGAAAATATCTAGTTAGTGTTTGATAATCGGGAATAAAGTGATGAGAATGAGAATTTAAGAATCGGAATGAAAATTAAGGAATCGAAATGGTATTTGTATTCCAATATTCCGTTTGAAATACTAATAAGGAATCCGAATGCAATTTAAATTTTTTAATATCTTATTTTATATACAAATATAAATAATGATTAAAAAATGATTTTATTAAACTATAATAGTTATAAAAGTAATAAAGATGATGGTAGTGATTGTGGTGGTTCTAATGATGGCGGTGGCGGTGACGGTAATGATTGCGATAGTGATGATTGTGATAATGATGGTTATGGTGGTGGTGGTTGTGGTGGTGATAGTAGTGGTGGTAATGATGGTAGTGATGGTGATGAAAATGGTGGTGGTGATGGTTGTGATGGTGGTGGGGTGGTAGTTATGATGGTGGCAAAAGTATTTAACGGATAATAAATAAATAAAATATATTATTATTTTGAAAAAAAAATTCATTTACATTCCTTGTTTTTTATTTCCACATCTTATATGAGAATGAAATTGTATGTAAATTTTCATTCTCATTCTCATTCTTTATTTTCATTTCCACTTTATTCATTTTAACAAAACAGCTATAATATAAGAATAAAAAATTTATTTTCATTCTCATTATTCTATTTCTTATTATCAACAGCACCCTAATTTATTAGGCTAAAATACAAGTAAAAGGAAGGGAAAGGGCCCAACTCCACTTTTTTGTCTTGAATATCCACGTGGAATAGCACAGTGCCTCTAATTGGCCACTAAGCGTGTTCCTATTGGTCGGGTGATGGCAACACCTTCCTAAAAATCACGTGCTAGTCGATTCTGCTACAACTTGTGCAACCAGTATTTTAATAAGGCCACGTCAAGGCATCTGGCCAAGATATCGGTCCCTTGACTCCCTTGTTTGAATTTCGTGGGTCCATCAACACGTGTACGGTCGATCGTCATTCTAGAACCATGTCACCGATGCTTTTCCTTGTTCACTAAGAAAGCGACTAACGCGGTTAGAATTGAAATGCAACACCCCAAAGAAGTTGCCACGAAGCACGAACTTCCCAACGCTACCCTTCCCTTTCCAATATATACACGCAGAAGAAAACAACTTCTTCTTCAATGTTTTCCTTCTTCTTTTTTCCCCTTTTAATTTAATTTTGTGAATAAAAATCAGGAGTTTTTTCTTTCGTTTTGCTTACTGTTAAATGGAATTTTTAGAAGAAGATGATGTATTAGGGCAAATCGATTGGGATAATTTGTTTGATGGATTGCCGGATTCGGATAACAACATCTTCGAATTAGAACCTCCTTTGACCGCAGACTCGCAACCTATCGACGATTCTTCGAAACCTTCATCACCTGTTAAGATGTCGTCTTGGATCGGCGATATTGAGACCTTGTTGATGCAAGATGACGACGATAAAGTTGATCAATTGGAGAACTGCAACGCTTTTTTGGAAGATATTTTAGTTGATTCGCCTTCAGCTCACGAGTCTGGTGGGGAGCTACTTGATGCTTCAACTGACAAGGATTTCACTTCTTCCGATGATGCTGACGGCGGCCCGAAGGAGAAAGACGATGGAGCGGAGGAGAAGAACAACAACGATGAGGAGGAAGATCCTGATGATTCCGTCTCCAAGAAACGGAGAAGGTACCTGTAATTTATAAATTAGACTTTTAAATGTAGTAGAAGCTATGCACATTTAAACTATGTATGTTTTGATCGTAATCTGGTACTGTTTCTTGCCGGTTTTTATGTTAAGCCTTGTTGTTTTGATTATTGTGATGTTTATTATGCGTGAGTCTATATCTGTTGGAGAAAGTGAGTGTGGTTGTGGTTGCTGTATGTAATGATTGAGCTGATTTTTCAGGCAATTGAGAAATAAGGATGCAGCACTGAGATCAAGGGAAAGGAAGAAGATGTATGTGAAGGATCTTGAGATAAAGAGTAGGTATTTGGAAGGGGAATGCAGGAGGCTGGACAGGTTGCTTCAGTGTTTTATCGCGGAGAACCATGCTCTACGCCTTAGTTTACAGAGGGGCAATGCATTTGGTGTTACTTCGGCCAAGCAGGAGTCTGCTGTGCTCTTATTGGGTATTTTTGACAATCCATACTGCTCATTCTTTTTCTCTTATCATTGCCAGTTTTTAATATGGGAATTGATGTTCTTCATAAGCCATTTAAATTTTAAATGGGAGGAGGGAGTTTGTGTGTATTTTCTGAATGAAGTGACTGACTATTGAAATGTTGATGACCTCTGCAATTGGCTTCTATGTATTTCCTCGCTGAATTTGACAAAAGACTGTGTCAATAGTACATCCCTAAACCCAGTAACAATGAATATCCAAACTTGTGGTTTGCTCTAGAACAGAGCTTTGAAACAAGTCAATTTGCTATCCTAATATTTGTTGTCAAGGATCTGACAAATGCTACTCGGTGCCTTTGCATCAAACTGGTTACCTTCGTGGATCCTCCCTCTTATTTTGACTGGATGTAGCCTTTTTTCTCCTTGCTTTATATAGGGCTCCAATAGAAGCAAATTTATTTGTTTCTTTTCGCAGTGCTCTGCTCGTTATGTTGAATTGCTTAACCTTAAGCTACTTTTATCATTGCTTTCTTGCAGAATCCCTGCTGTTGGGTTCCCTGCTTTGGTTCCTGGGCATCATGTGCCTATTCCCCCTGCCTGCAATGCCCCAGTCAACTCTGGTGAAAGTTCTACTAGAAACCATGGAAAACAAAGCACCAGAAAACGCAGCTCTAAGAGGAGCAGGAAGTAAGACATTCACATCCATGGCAAACAGTAGGAGATGCAAAGCTTCGAGGCCAAGGATGAAATTGACTGATGTGTATCTTTCCTTCTCTAAATTTGGTTTTGTAATTAAGGTCTAGAACTCTTTTGTCTAAGCCTGCTGTTGGAATGTTTCAATGAGCACACAGATGAACGCAGTTCCATGAACTCTTTTATCATGTTCATCTTTGAATTTTGTCCCATATCTTTGTAATATGTTTTAACTTCGATCAATAACGAAAAAATCATATTGAAATGGACGTGTTCGTTTATGAGGTTCCTTTTCTGTTGTTTATCATGTTCATCTTTGAATTTTGTCCCATATCCATCATCCTTGATGGAGACGCTATGCTGTATGGATGATTGTCCGATTGGGAATCACATAATTCAAGAGCTCTTGTAAGCATATGGTATTTCTCTAGCATCCATAATCGGTGATCTGTAATTAGATTCCAATTCTAGTCTCTAATATCAAACTGAGTTTCATGCTTTTCAGATGTAACCATTTCTTCTCAGAAGTGGGAAGAGAAACCCAGCCGCCGTGCTTTCGGTGAATTATTCTTCTTTGGAGAAGCAAGTAAAGGGGCGATGTCAAAAGAGGTCAAGCCGTGGCCCATTGCTTGGGGTTCAAGCCGCTTAATGGGCCTACAAAGTAAAGTCCTACCCTACTTTTCTTATCGTTCTCTTTTGGAAGGAAGAATAAAAGATAAGAACGGAAAATTTAAAAGAGGAGTTGAGTGTTAGGTGAGTGATACGTTACCAATACCAACAACAGACTTGCATTGTTTGCTTAACAAGTCAGTGGGCTAGTTTTGAAATTACCAGAATATCCTCTTGGCATATTCCCAGTGAATATTATTGCCGCATCATTTTTGAGATACTACGCTACTATCAGTGTCACAGCTACTCCCTTGCAGTTGGCCCCAAGCCAACGAAATTGGGACGAATGAAGGGCAATCTTGCAACGGTACAGATAAATGAAGAGAAGGGGCGCATCGTAATAAACCCTAGAAACAAAAGGCGGAAGAATCTATACAAGAGGCGAAAACAAGTGGGCTTTATAGTTGGTAGTATCGCCCCGGTCCTTTTTTTTCTATCACATATCCTCTTTTCTTTTCCATTTCCCCCTATAAAACGGTCTTTTGAAGAAACGACGGGAAAATAAAGAGAAAAACGCACGACCAACACACCACTCCTATTTCTACTTGTAACTTCCCTACCGAACAACAAAGACAAGAGAAAAGCGGCATGGATTCCGATTTCGGCATTCCTAGAGAACTTTCTGATCTTCAAATACTCCGATCTCTTTACCAACCGGAACTTCCTCCCTGTCTTCAGGTCTCTCTCCCTCTCCCTCCTCGCCACAGAGTTCTCTGCTCTATCTATTTACAACAACAACAACAACATATTTTTATAGTAGCAGTTTTGTTTTCTAGATTTTTTATTTTATTGCAATCGATGTTAATCGATCTTTTTCGCTTAATTGGTTACTTAATTTGCGTTATATTTTTTCCGGCAATTAGATCTAATTCAATACAGAGATGAGATGATTTTTTTCGTTTTAACGAACAGATCTACCTTCAGTATTTATGCTTGATAGTGTGATTTCTTTCTTTTCATCTTTAGTTTAATGATTAGCGACGGAAAATCTTAAAAAAAATAAATTGAAAATTGAAGCAAAATACGATACCGATATTAGATTATAATGTGTCTTACTGTCACTGATTTCACCTCAATTGTTTCTGTTCTGTTAGTAGCACGATTCTTTTAATATCAGTAATTGTTTTATCGTGCTAGTTGTTTTATGCACTTCAGTGTAAACTTTATTGAATTTGTTGTTGTTTTAAATTATTCTGTATTGAAATTGACCTATTATTGACTTGGAATTTTATTGATATGATTGGGATCTGTGCATTTTGAAGGGAACTACGGTGAGGGTAGAATTTGGTGATACAACCACTGCCTCAGACCCGGCCGATGTACAGAACATAAGCCGATCCTTTCCCCACACTTATGGTCAGCCTTTGGCTCACTTCCTCAGGGCAACTGCTAAAGTACCTGATGCTCATATTATAACTGACCATCCAGCTGTCAGGTTTGCATTTCGTTTTCTTTCAATTATCATCTACCATTTTGTATCACTGTTCTCCAAAACCCTCACATTTACATTTTGAATAATTGATCAATCCTCTCTCTGTACCACTGGTGCTGCCCTTTTTGAAATTCAGTACTATCCTGAAGGATGATTTGCAACCTAGTTGCTCGTCAAATCTTCTCTCTGTGTTTTTGTTTGTGCATGTGCATGTGTTTATGCGCTTGCGTGTGTTTTCTGTGAAAAGTTAAGAGACTGCAATTTGCTTGTCATGGGCGGGTGCTTAATAAACTCATATTTGGCTGATCTATTTATTATCTCTCAACAGGGTAGGAATAGTGTTTTGTGGGAGACAATCTCCTGGAGGACATAATGTCATATGGGGTCTTCACAACGCTCTTAAAATCCATAACCCTAAAAACACTTTATTTGGATTTCTAGGTAAGCATAAGCAGCAGCATCTCATCCAAGTTTTTCATCTTTGGGTTTGATTGTCTCCTTGCATTTTTACTTCTTTGACAGCATATATCGTGAACTTGTTTGTTTCGTTAATATTACCAGTTGTTTTCTCTTTAAAGCAAATGACATCTACTGTATACAATGCTTTTATCTATCAACAGGAGGTTCTGAAGGTTTATTCGCTCAGAAAACACTGGAAATTACAGATGACATTCTTTCGACCTACAAAAATCAAGGTATGTATTTCATGATGGGATCTTCAATTGTCACTTGGCCATGAGATTTGTCTGATTCATTATTTTGTTATGCTTGGTAAGGTGGTTATGATTTGCTGGGACGGACAAAAGATCAAATAAGAACAACTGAACAGGTAAATGCTGCACTAACTGCATGCAAAGATCTGAAATTGGATGGCCTTGTTATCATTGGAGGTAAGTTTGACTCTTTAGTATTTACAAAATGATACATATGCATTTTTGCAACAAGTACTAAATACGGAAGCTATTCGCTTTTGAAGGAGTTACATCAAATACAGATGCTGCTCAGCTTGCTGAAACATTTGCTGTGGCAAAATGCCCAACAAAGGTACTTCTGTATGTCGTCTGATCTAGGATTAACAACAGTCTCAAATAGTTCATGCTTGCATGCCTAGCAGCCTTTGCAACTTCTCTTGAGCGTATTTTTGTGCTACCAACCTCTGAAATTTACTAGATACGCTTTTTGAATTTTTCAGGTGGTTGGAGTTCCTGTTACTTTAAATGGAGATCTCAAAAATCAATTTGTTGAAACCAATGTTGGTTTTGATACCATATGCAAGGTATGAATCAAATGACACCATGCAGTTCCCTGTTAATCAATACCTTGAGGAAGTTCTCCTACTAAAATGGAATTAAAAAAAAAAAAAAGGCTGGTTTAGGTGGCATCAAAGTTAATTGAAGAAGGAGCTATTGCTGCCTATGTTAAATTTTTTGTATATTTATGAGACTGTTTGCATTGAATCGTGTTAGCATATATCAAAGGAGAACTTAATAGAATTAGTCTATTCTGCCATTCGAATTTTCCTATATGATAATGTATGAAACTCTGTTGCATATGGTGTCAGCAATGCAATATAATGAAAGTGCTTGGGTTCATGATCAAAGAAGAAACCATTAGCCTTAATTAATTTTTGGTATTTTTGGGGAACTCAGGTGTTTGGGTACTTGGTATAGCTAAATGTTTATGTTGTGAATTTGCATGATTAACCATTTGATTGAATTAAACAAAATCCCATGCTTTCCTCCCGTGCAGGTTAATTCCCAGCTCATCAGCAATGTCTGCACTGATGCTCTCTCTGCAGAGAAGGTGAGAAATTCATTAACTTTCAGAACAGAAAGCTACACGAAGAAGTATAAATTAGTGGGCTAGTGTAGCACTTTGTCTTGAAATTTGGTGGAATCTTTCTTCTGTAATTACGATTGAGATGGTAATAGATCAAGGAATATGATACACTATTCTTTACAGTGAAATTTGTCTTTGTGAAACTTTTAACGTATTCCCTTTTCCAGTATTATTATTTCATCCGGCTCATGGGCCGAAAGGCATCTCATGTTGCTTTGGAATGCACACTTCAGTCTCATCCAAATATGGTTAGTGTTCCATCAGTTTTGCAATTCCTTTATCTCTTTTCTTTTTTTTTTTTTTTTGAGCTTTAAATGCCACTTTTTTTGCAGGTTATTCTTGGTGAGGAGGTGGCTGCATCAAAGCTTACTCTTTTTGACTTGACAACACAAATTTGTGATGCAGTCCAAGCCCGGGCAGAGCAAGGTTTTAGACAATCTAAGTTGTTGTATATCATGCTTCGTGATAAATTCTAATATTGGTCATCTGACATGGTTAATTGCACCAGACAAGAATCATGGAGTTATTCTACTGCCAGAGGGACTCATAGAAAGCATTCCAGAGGTCTATGCTCTCTTGAAGGTAATTGCTTTTGTATCCCTCTGCCTACCCCCATGTGGGAATGTGGGTGTTGCCCCTCAAGTCTGCAGTCCTTTACAAACACGGTCTGGATGTTCTAAAATACATCCATACATGTGTATAAATATACCTAATGTTTCTGTGTTTGGCTTCTCTTTTCCCGTGAAAGGGAGTACTGATATTTTATGCACCGCTCAGGAAATACACAGTTTACTCAGGCAATGTGTTGCTCCTGACAACATTTCATCACAGCTTTCACCATGGGCATCTGCTTTGTTTGAATTTTTGCCACAATTTATTAAGAAACAGGTTTAGATTTCCCTTGCTGATTTGTATTTCAAGATACGTGTCAATCCATTTTAAGCAAATGACTATTTTACCCATCTAAAATATTAATATTTTTAATGGCACAGCTGCTTCTTCGTCCTGAATCAGATGACTCAGCACAATTATCCCAGGTAACGAGCATGCTATTCTTATTAAAAGGGACTATTAAAAGTTACATCAGTGATAAATTTATTTTTTGGTTTTACCGTAGATTGAAACAGAGAAACTTCTAGCACATCTTGTGGAGACAGAAATGAACAAGCGGCTGGTATGACATAGCTTTCATTTATCATTGTTGGTTCCCTAACCCTGATAATTTTATTATATTAACTTCTGTTTGGTGCTGAAATAATTTTACATTTTCTTTCTCATGAAATGATTGTATGAGATACTACAACTGTCATCATTGTTATGGTACATGTTCCATAATTGCTTTGCTATTTACTTCTGAATTTTGTGTCTAGCAGAATGGTCCTATTGTTGGTTTCTACTGTCTAATGACTGCTATGTTTGATTTAATTGACTTAGATTTTTACTGGTGTCTTTGGTATTTTGAGCAGAAAGAAGGCACATACAAGGGGAAAAAGTTCAATGCCATCTGCCACTTTTTTGGTTATCAGGCCCGAGGGTCTTTACCATCGAAATTCGATTGTGACTATGCATATGTATGTTATCAACTAGGGTTGATATGTATTCTCATCCTTTTAAAGTCGAATACCAGATCTTTTATTTAATACTGAGTTATATTTTTCATAGGTTCTTGGGCACATCAGCTACCATATTTTAGCAGCTGGTTTGAATGGCTACATGGCCACTGTAACTAACCTAAAGAATCCTTTGAACAAGTGGCGTTGTGGTGCTGCTCCAATTACAGTTGAGTTTTATTTCCGATTCTATCTTAAAAGACAGATTTCTTCTTTTACTTGGAAAGTTCTTTTTCCTTGCAAAAATTATGATGCATGCATTGGAATCCAGTTTTGGTTACTTTGTGACGCTTGTAGCGATACAGAATAATAGCTAATCTAGTTTATATTCTGTGAAATCCTAGGCAATGATGACAGTGAAGCGTTGGGCTCAAAGTCCTGGTGCATCTTCAATTGGAAAACCTGCTATTCATCCAGCCACTGTGGATTTGAAAGGCAAAGCATACGAGTAAGCTCTTTTTTCTGATCCATCAAATGTTTATGTTATTCAAATATCAGGAGAGAGTGTAGATTAGGAATAGTAATTCCACATGACGTCAGAAAAGCATGCAATAGTAATTTTCTGCATGGCTTAATTCCAGGCTGCTGAGACAAAATGCAGGGAGGTTTTGGATGGAAGATCTGTACAGAAATCCAGGTCCCCTTCAGTTTGATGGTCCTGGTTCGGATTCTAAGGCTGTATCTCTGTGTGTTGAAGACCAGGATTATATGGGGCGGATCAAGAAACTGCAGGAATACCTTGACAAGGTACTCGGTTGCTATTCTCTCAATTATGTATGCCACATTGTATTCTTGAGACAGTGTCGATAACTTTATATTATAGGAATGAAATCATTCTACATGTTGGTTCTCGAGTGCTATTCTTGAGATAGTGTTGATTGATTGATCGTTTTGCCTCAATTTCCCAGGTAAGGAACATCGTGAAACCAGGGTGCTCTCAGGATGTTCTGAAAGCTGCTTTGAGTGTCATGTCTTCTGTGACAGATGTTCTCTCTGTGATGTCTTCTGCTCCATCCAATGGCCAGTCTCCTCTTTAAGAGTACAACTTCAAATGTTCTATCGTCGACCTACCTTGGTGTTGTTGCGTGGTTTGACTACTTGCATACTCCCTTTGGCCACGTTTGTGCCATTTTTCAGAATTTTTAGTTTGAACTGTAGGTGCAGATTTTAATTAGAAGGTGTAATAAGCCAAATTTTCTCCTCCTTTAAATCAGCTGTAACTTTTTCCAGCGTGTGGATAATGAGCAAAGATGAAATTTTGTTTATTCTGGGTCGTATTTGACTAATCTGCATCGACGCCTCCTCTTTTGCATCTCTATCCAGCAAGTCGTATGAGTTAATCCTATTGTCGATGGGAATTTACATGTCTCGTGCGCTCCCTTGGACTACACATTAGACTGATCGCTTTGAAAACGTGGTGCTATTATTTATGTGGCATCTGGCAGTTGCAGAGATAAGGGATAGCAGGAGATCCAGGGAACACAGAGTCTACCATTCCTTATCTTTGTACAATATGAAAGAGCCGCAAAAAGAAAGATTGGAAAAAATATATATATATATCTCATAAGCGGACGAAATTTTTGTTTTTCTTCCCACTTTATAAATGGTAACGGTTATTAGTATAAATAAAGGTTAATGGCTTGATATATTTTTATAAAATAAGATAATTTTATTTATTTTGTATTTTTAATTGATTTAATTTTATTTATTTTTGAATATATGTTAAGTTGTTTTTCTTATCACTTTGTAAGCAGTAGCTAGTATTATTGTATATAAAGGTTAATGGTTTGATATATTTTTAATCAAATAAGATATTTTAATTCGTCTTTGTAATTTTAATTGAATTAATTTTATTTTTAAATACATTTTAAGTTTTAAATTTATTATTTTGTCAAGATTTTTAGGCTAAATTATTATTTATCATTTTGTTTAATATTTTTTAAGCCAAATCATCATAATTATTCATTGTAATTCTTGTATGATTAATTTTTATTAATGCAATGAGCTAGTTAAATGTAAATCATGTGACAAATTTAGATAATTTAGTTTGAAAGTTGTAAATATATATAATGTGTACTAAAAATAAAATTAGTTAAAAAATTTCACCACCTTGAGAGTGGGCTACGACAAGCATGAGAATAGGGAGAACTGTGAGACCCATCTACACTCAAGTAAGGCTCAAATACTTATATTATAATCTTCGAACTAATATCACCTTAATATCATTTCATTTTATAATATTCTTCAAGGCTCAAATACTTATATTATAATATTCTTCATTTTATAATATTCATGATTTAATGCTATTCTCACATTTCTCAAAAATCATATCTATAATTAATTTATAATACAACACTCGCAAGCTATAATTGCATAACTTTCAAAAATACAACAAGATAAAATATAGGTTTTAAGAAATTATAAGAAAATAAACCACACAATCAATATGCTCGAATTCAAAATAAACGAGCAAATGGAATCTAAAAGGCACTCTCACAAATTCTACAAAACCGAAATAGCGAGAGGGTAAGCAATCAACGACTTAGTGATTAGATACAATATAACACATCTAAAGGAAGGAAATGGACTAAGGACGATAACTTAAAATTTCAACTCAATATGCAATGCTAATTTCTCCGAAACGATGTATATTGTAAAATCAAATCATACATCACAAATTAAATTGTTCAAAACCATTTCATATCAAATAATCGAATTATATATATATATATGTGTGTGTGTGTGTGTGTGTGTGTGTGTGTGTGTGTCTAAATTTTTATTTAACCGTAGGGTGAAAACATATCATTGGATGCGAACACCCAAATGCTCCTTGTGATTAGGTTTTCGTATGTTGGTCAACACATAGGTTACCACTCTATCTCTTGATAGTTAGAACCTCGTATCATTCACCTTAAAGGTTATACCTCCCGTAACTAGGTTCCTAGGGTTTCGAAAATATTTCGAAAATAGTATAAGATTTATACATATTCAAATTAGCATTTAAATCCGTAAACACATATCAAACCAAGTAAAAAATGTATTCAAACATATACACAAATCTCTTTTTAAAACCCTATCAAACCATTTCGATACGAAATCATTTCAAATACATATAGAGTTCGTTCCCGTTTAAATTCTAAAGAATGTAATTAAATTGTACTTAAACCAATGATACATGATAGGCATAATCAAAGGAATTCAAAATGTATGATATATTATATAATATCCACTCACAATACAACGAATAATCAAACAGAATCAATATTGTTGAGATGGATTTGTCTTCTCGAGGAATTTAATAACATAAGATGGTGAAACAACTATCAATATCATATATCAAAGAATAATTCAAAACAATTGAATTATTCTAAAATTAGGAATATAAGATTATTTATAGGAATAGAATTGATCGAAAGACTCAAATAATTACTCTAACCAAACTCTATAACTTCTCTAACAATCCAATTATCTATTATCAATCTTCAATTCAATCAACCTTCATACATACCATCTTTTCTCAAATTCAATTTTCAATTAAATCACAGATTCCATTCTAGTTCACGCAATTCTCATTCCATTCACTTTTAATTGCATTTATATAACTTAATTCTCCATTTTCTCTTAATTTTTTTCAATTCAAAATCCGATTTTTAGATTTTTTACTATTTATCATATTCAACCTCTCAATTATTCAAATTCACTCAATTCCGTTTCAAATTAGCTTCATAAACCACTTACCCAAGCTATAATTGTTGTCAATGGCCGGCAATAGCTCGATACGAAAGTATTGGAGCTGTTGTTATGGTTGATCTCCACAACCCAAGCTATGATTCTTCAGGTAGGTGTGGATCCGAGGGCTCGAGTACTGGGGAGATTAAACCATCATTGACAAAACTCAAGTCCTTGATGACATCTAGACTTGAGCTTCAGCGCATTCAGTGGCACAATTCCTAATTTCATTTCCACTTTCGAGAATTTACAATATCTAAACCTATCAAATGCTGGGTTTTTTTTTTGCGCATTTATTTCCCTGTAAATTTTGGAAGCCTCTCTAACTTGCAATTTCTCGACGTCTCTTCCAACTTTCTTGGTTTAACTTAAACAATCTTGAATGGGTGACTGGTCTTCTGTCACTGAAATATATACCTGGAAAAGACCAAAAACTTTAGGGTAGTTATTAACTGTTAACAATATTTTTGAATGGGTTTAACTTTTTAGAATGATTTTTTGTTGATTGGAAGTTCAGTATAGCTTTTAACCAATTAGCCTTTCATTTAATTCTTTTCGAAACCTTCCACTCACGATCATGGAAAAGTTACTTCCGAATTTTGGTAATTTCTTATTGATTGAGGAATTCAAATGCTCACAAACAAATTACATATAGGAAATACGTTGGGTCCCGCCCACGCGAGCGGGTCATTTCTTATTGATTGAGAAAATTTAGAGAGAGCGGCGTGAAGAGGAGAGGAGGAGAAAGAAAAATTGAGCTGCCAAACTGTTCCCTTTTTATACCAACTCGAATATTTTTTTTAACTTAAATATTATTTTTAGTTCGGGTTATTACAAAAAATTATCTGACATTCAAATGTCCTTATTTAAGCTTGATGTATGTTTAAGGATGAAATGAATTTAATTAGAGATATAAATTTAGATCTGAGAATTCTAAATCTTTTAACACCAAGATATCAAACTCAAATGAAACAAAGCCATAAAGATAATTGCAGAGCAATCAAAGATATCAACCTTGTTAAACAAAGCAATGTACGCGAATTACAGAATTCAGTGAGCATCATGCAATACTCATATACTGCAGATGAATCACATTTATTTAGCCAAATATCCTCCTCTCAATAGAAAAAGTGGGAATAAGTTGAACTGTATGTTTTTGTTTTAATCCAAGAGTCCAGTTTTCTGATAGTTTTCGACGGAGTCGATCAGAGTTTCCTCCAATGGACGGAAACTCCAACCTAGCCTCTCTAACTTCTCCGAACTCATCAGTACTGCTTCCTGATCTTCTTCGGTGAAGCTGGCAGTGAACAAGCGGATGTGTTATCAAATTACCAAGACATCAGTGGACTTGACTGATCTTATTTGGTTGAGAAATTGATCAAACAACATACTTACCTTTTAGGATAGTTGTAGGAAGGATATATACTCCTCAATTTCTCCACTAGATCTTTAACTCTGATTGTGTAAGCCGTGCATATGTATCTACCTTCTGCCTTAGGCGTCTCATATGCCAAAAGCAGTGCTTCAGCCACATCACGAACATCTACTATCGGCCGAATCTTGTTTTGCAATGACTCACGTCCATCTGCAAGGGCATTTCATACAGAACACCAGCTAGTAATGAGAAGATAGTATAAAAATCTGATATCAAAAAGAGTTAAAGCTCTAAGGATCAATTACATGCCAATTTTATTACATGATGTCCAAACTTTCACAGAATTTCATCTGGACATCATCACAGATACGCTCATGAAAAAACGAATGCATTGCTTGTAAACTGAAGAAATTTTAAATGGGAGAATTGTATTGACTGATAAAAGGGTTACAAATGACATGTTTATATAGAGAATGCATTAGCAGAAAAAGGAAACAAATCAAAATAAAATACGGCCATAAAATATCTGATTTTCCTTGATATCCTTTGATTAAAACAAATTTTGCAAACTAGGTGTGGTATGACTAGCTACCTTTCAAAATCTGAATAAGGACTCTTGTACTTGCATTAACTGTGGACTGCAGAATTGGCCCCAAAATTAGGGAAGGACAAATTACTACAACGTCAAGCCCACTCCTTTTCGCATATTCCCAAGCCTCACTTTCTGCTTCTGTCTTAGAAAGATTATACCAATTCTGGAACAAAAACAGAACTACATATTTTAGTCTACAAAGGATAAGAGCGGTGCATTATATCATGATAAAGAGCATTACAAGACCAGACCACCACTAACATTCAACTTGGAACTACCAAATTTGCATTCCAATTAACTTTTGGAGTTGTTCACCTTAGTTGCTCTGCAATATTCCTTATCAGACCAGCAATTCTCATCCATCACTTGACCCTTGGGCCAGCTTGGGTTAAACAAAACTGCACTTCCAGAGGACACAATGACAACTCGTTTTACCTTTGCCTCAGCACATGCTTTAAGCACATTTAGTGTGCCCTTTACGGCTGGCTCAATCACCTCTACCTAATATCACAAGGAGAAGGCATGTCTCCTACTTAATTCCCATCAAATAGTGTTACCGATTTTATTTATTCGGGTTAGTTGACTGAAAAACATTTTCAAAAAATAGCCAATACTTGCCTCAGGGTTTGGCACTACAGTGTAGGGAACAGGGCTGGCAACATGGAAGACCCCTCTGCATCCTTGAATAGCTGAACAAAGAGAGCTGTAGTCCAATAAATCTGCCTTGAAGAGTTTGAGATTCTCGGTTGCCTTGTCAAGCTCTTTCAAATGAGCATATTTGTCATCCGCTGCATAATATGATCAAGAAATTTACATCATAAGAAGTAATTCCACTCTGTAAGTCTGAGCTTTTGAGAACCAATAGCTGGTCGTGCCCATGTTTGATGCCAAATCGAGCAGTTAAAAATCAGGACTATAAAAGGCAATCGAAGTTTGCTGTCAACATGAAAATATCTCCCAAGAACACACTTCTTGAAAGATGAAACAGTGAATAAAAGATGCTGTTAAGCAGATGCAGAAATTAGTAACAACAGAAGTTTTAGAAGCAGAGATAGAGAGATGAGGGGTTTTTAGAATTACAGGGATCTCTAATGGTTCCATGGACGAGATAGTCCTTAGAGAGAAGAAGGTTGACAACCCATGATCCCAAGTATCCTCCAGCTCCAGTCACGCACACCCTCTCCTTCTCCAGTGCCATTTCCAACACCTAACCCTAGCAAATCCTTCTTGTTTCAGCATATTTATTTCGGCCATAGTTAACCTTTTGTGCATTGACCATCTAGAAGCTACAGGGCCCCACGACTCATAGTATTTCTTTTTTAATCTCTCTCTAGTAGGCAGCTATCGTCCAGCTATCGTCCATTAACAGACGGACTGGTTATAGAATAATCTTTATAACCTGACATGAATGGCTCAACAAGGAGTCAGCATCTGCTTGGGCGCCAATTTTCAATGTAGTTCCTCAAGGTAATGATCCATCATGAATAAGTCCATCCTGACATCCATTCTCTGGATATTAACTATTAACTAAGTCAAGACGAAGTAACTGTTCACACACCGTATACTCTCTCTGTTTTTACTATTTTTTTAATTTTCATTGTATCTAAATTTTTTATTCATTTACCGTGTTCCGGGCCAGTTGGGCTAGGTCCAGGTGCGCGGAGCTGTTCCTTGTTGTTTTTTTTTTCCCTTTAATTTTATTTTAAATAAAGAATTTTTTTCATAACTAAATATTATGAAACGTTGAATTTTTTTTTACACAATATAGTCAGAATAAAATATATATGTAATTTTTTTATATTTTAAAATTAATATTTAATTCATATTGTATTACTTTTATTGTTTAAAATTAAGAATTTATCATTTCATATAAAATTCTTTTCCAATTAAATTTTTTTATACTTATTTACTAATAAATATAATTTAGTTTTCTATATGTTTTTATTTTAGAATAAAATTTTAAAAAATGATTGTTTTACTTTTGAAAAAAATAAATTGATATAATATACATCATGAATTCGTATAATTTTTAAATGATTGTTGCATATCATATAAATATATATTTATTTTAATTTAAGATATTAAAATTATATTTTAAATAATTTATCTTAATTCACTAGGTGTGATCAAGATGTATATTAAAAAAAATTATTGAATTATCGATCTTATTAAAAAATAACTATACATCTTCACTCATAACACCAACTATTTGCGATGAATATAATTTTTAACATTATAAAATCAATTTATTTAAAATAAATTTTTATAGGAATCAACCAATTATACAAATGTAATAACCCCGTCCCAAAAACATACACTCGTTCATGCATACACGCATACTTAGAAATTACACGCATATAATTATACTCGCATATGACATGTTAGTGGGGTATTGGATAATAAGTATTTGAAATAATAGGAAGAAATAGGGGCTCAATTGTAAGTATTTGGAATAATAGGAAGAATTAGGGACTCAATTGAATGTAATCTAAGTTGGGGGACTAGAATAAAAATAAGCTAAAACTTGAGGGACCAAAATGAACTTTGGCAAAATATCTTCACAACCTTATCAAGATTACTTACCTGATCATTATCTCTTCTTATCCCATCTGGTTTCCCGTTTTGAGAGAGAGAAAGAGAGAAAAACCCCATTTCTTTGTCAAATTCGGATGATCAAGCTGGAAATCTAAGTAAGTTCATCCCCAGCTCTGTTTTGCACTCTTGATTTCGAGACCTTAGGGTCAGATCTGGAACATGTTGTAAGAATAACAATTGTTGGTTTGTATCTTATCTAGCTCTCTGTGAAAGGGTTTTGTATTTAGTAATTTACATGTCGGGTTATGATGGTTTGAACACATGTTGTTCTGGGTGATCTGATGCTGGCAGATTAGTGTGCAAACGTTAAAAATATGGTATTCTTTGGGTGTTGAGTATTTCGACCTGATTTTTGGATATGTTTTATATTGATATGTCTAGTTCTTTTTAAAAAAGAATTAGTTCTTGATCATGTCCCAATCTAGATTTATTGTTATTTGTTTGGAGATTGTTCGGTAACAAGGGTGCTGGGAACTAGTTAGAGTTTGAAAATCTAAAATAAATCATGTATATGGCATATTGGGCTGATTTTTGGATATGTTAGACCCCTTTGAGTCTAGTTTCATGTAAAATTGGAATTTTGTCATTTTACCCTGTATTTTAGGATTTATAGTACAAAGAGTGTGAACTGTCAAGAGGTCAAGTACCCATAAACAAATGGCAGCAACTTTGATTTTTAGAAAATCATCATGAGTTGTGTATTTCGTAACTAGACTTGATTTTTGGATATGTTAGAGCCCTGTGAGTCTAGTTTCATGTGAAACTAGAATTGCATCATTTGAATCTGTATTTTGAGACTTATGGTAGAAAGAGTGAAAAGGGGTCAAGTACCCATAAAGGAATAAGTTAACCCTAAAGTCATATTTTGTACCTTAAACATATTTAGAAGTTTGATCATGATAAAATGACTTATAAAAGTATATGTGTATGTGTTTATAGACGCCGAGGAGCGTGAGGTGCGAGACGCGATGCATTAATAAACGGCGAAGACGTCATTTTTGTGAGTTGAATAATAATCGTTGTGTCATGATGTGTTATTGCTATTGAGTGCTAATATTATATTTCTATGATGTGAATGATATGTCGTTTGCTAGTTGACGCAAACGTTGTGTTTATTGATGTTATGTGTATTGATATTGATATCATGATGTGAATGATGTGTCGTTTGCTAGTTGACGCAAACGTTATGTTTATTGATGTTACAATGGATATGTACCATGATGTAAGCCATGGATGTTGTATATGCTATATGTGAAACATTCATGATATATGCAAGGCTAAGAGGTTAAGGTTATGATCGGCTTGTCCAAGTTTCGTAAATACAAGTTTACAAGGACCCAATGGGTCAATTACAAGTTATAAAAGCTAGCCAGCAATACATGTGTACAAGTTTACAAGTTACAAGTACCCGAGGCGGAACTTGACATGTCCAAGTCATAACCGACAAGAAAAAGGAAAGCATGTAATCTTAGAGTCATATGAACTCCATGTATTGTTTATATGTGATGATACTAGATGATGTGATTGCATGTTATGGTTTCAATGAATTATTGTTCTCTCATTGAGTAGCATCTCATTAAAAATGCAATTACTTTTTAGGTACAAGAAGTTAAGAAGCTTAGAGCTTGTTTTGTTGCTCATTTCACGACATGAGTAACGAGTCGACTGGCGATCTCCCTATCCTCTCTCTCATTATGCCGAGCATATGCATCCTATGAGAGTTTTGAATTGTATATGTAACTATGTAAATATGAACTCCTGGAGATGTTTTGAGACGTGTTTATGAGCAAAGAAAAAGTGGTTTTGATTGAATATCCAAGGGTTATAAGTGGAAAGAATGTTGTTGATTAGTTGAATAATAATAAAAAAAATCTAATATTTCTAATATGAGGTTTTAACGATCCTAAGTGATATTTTGTGATTAATTGAGTTTTCTAGAACTAAAATGGTTAAGTTATACGAAGTTTTTGTAAGGAATTAGGTTAAGGACGCTACAACAAATATATTTTTTTATACTAACATTATTAATTAGTTTGTAAATAAATATACGAAGATCAAATGCATATACTTTCAAAAAAATAATCTTCTCAATAACATTAAATAAAAATAAAATTTTATTTTTTATTAGTTAATCTTTATACAAGTCTATATATTAATTATAACTTTTTTTTTATGTATTCTTTTGAAAAATATATTTTTAAAGTATTTTTTTAATTCTTGATTAATATTTTAATTTAAATTATTACAAATTTTTATTTAAGAATCAATGCATAAAGAATAATAAATCATGTTTTTTAAGTAAAAAATTAATAAAAAAATAAAAAAATTAATTAAATAAATAAATTAATGAAAAAATTATAAAATAATTTTGTTCTATTCGACACGCATAAAACTGGATCCGGGAGCTCTAAAGAGCAACTTAATAGCTTCAGGGCAAAGTAAATGTCACTATAGACCTCTTTATGACCACTTGCATGCAACATACTTGTGTTTAATGATGAAAATTATCTTTAAATTATTTAGTTATGACAATTTAATATTTTCACCATCAAATTATAGTGTTTAGACTCCAAAATATTATTGTTTAGATAAATGTTTTTATTTTTCTATCATATTAGACAATCAAAATATTGACCATAACTTTAATATTTAAACAAAATTGTTTGAACACTATAATTTTTTTTAAAGGAAAAAATTATTCCAAACTACTAGGATTATGATAATTTGAGATTTTTATTATTAATTTGAATTATTTATACCCTAAACTATTATTTTTTGAATAAATTTTATTATTTTTGTTAATGTTTATGATCAAAACATTGACGATTAACTTGAATGTTTAAATAACATTGTTTAAGCGTTTCAGTTTTTTTTTTTGTCAAAAAAATAATTTAAAAAATATATTTAATAGTTAACATGGATGACGTGTTTTTCAAATAGCATTAAATCCACTGAATTGATTGAGCTGGAAAAAAAAAAAAAGTTGTACAATTAGCTTCAGGACCATGTCAGTGCCACGGTGGACCTCTTTGCCATCACCTGCACACAGCGTGCTAGTAGTTCTTGAAGAAAACAAGGCGTCCACTTAGAAACCCTTTTTTTTTCCATTCAAAGTCTATAAAAGTTATAGAATGCATCAATGGCTTTGTGGAGCTGATTGGCAGAAGTTCCTCGTCTTAGGATTGGATTTACCATTACAATCATGTCGACTGCAAGTAAATTTACATGTCAATCGTGATTAAATATTCTTTAATACAATTGAATAGTTTTAAAATTAAAAATTAGAAATTAGAAAATTAATAAGAACGAGTAAATTATAAATTAGTTTTTTTAATTTTTAAAAATAAATTAATTAACTCCTTTTGTTTTAAAAGCTAATTATTCAATTATTTTTATCCACCTTATGTTATTTTTTTAATTTTTTTAAATAAAAAATAGAATTTATGAAAAGATAGACAAGAAATGAAAATTTTATTTAGAATAAAATAGTACTAAATTAAATGAGTCGATATTGATAATAAAAAAATAATAATTAGTTTTTGAAGTGAAAGGATTAATTAATTTATTTTTCAAAACTAAAGAAATTTATTTATAGTTTACTCATAATAACAATATTGGTTTTGATTTTTTTTTTTAAATAAATATTATTTGTTTTGATTGTTGGCTATTCCTTTTCAAGAGATTGTAATGATACTTAATCCTATTATCATATTAAAACACGGTAGGATCTTGATTAAAACTTTCATTGACATATCCCTTCCATTAAAACATGTTTCATTTAAACAAGGATTCCATTAGATTTTTTTTAATCACAAATAGTATAAAATAAATGATAGAAAAAATTGATATCTGCAATTTGCTAATATTATAAAAAAAATAAAAAAAATTATATGCTCTCTCCAACATGTTTTAGTGAGAAACTTTCAATTGAAAATATTTATCAAAAAATCAGTAATAAAAATAAAAACTAAAAAAAATAGCTTATTGATAATAAAACAAGAATTAAGCTTTTGACTCCACTCCTTATAATCTTACTGGAAAATGATTATTACAAAGGAAAAAAAATGACAGGAAATATGAAGAAACAAAACAAGCCAGGTGGCCGCATCAGAGTTACGTAGCAGATGATTAAGCTGTAGCGCGTAACAGCAAATAATTGTTACTGACAGAGAATCCATCCTCGTTTTGTTAGTAAAATAGTTCCGATCTCTGTCTTTACACCCAAAAAAAATCTCCAAAAAACAGAAAACCCTCAAATCCCCAAAATTTCCCTCCTCTCCTCTTTCCCTCTGTAATGTCTGCTTCAGAAATCAGCTGCTGCTGCTTGAGATACTTCGGAGCAAAGTTTTATATCATCAAGTAAAAGATAAAGAAGTGAGAAATCTGGTCAGTTTCGGCTTCTTCTTATTCTGCTACTGTTTTTCTTCATATTTTACCGTTTAATCAAAATCCCAGGCAGCTAGTACTTATGATTATGAACATGGATCACTTAAATGTGATTCCCTTTGATAATTTGGATACTTGTGGTAGCGAAAATGACCCAAATGCTGCCCTTGACCTAGAACAACACCCTGAGCATTTTGATTTCGATTATCCCAATAATAATTTACTAGAACCCACTTCCACCGCTCACAGTTCTTTGTATGACCCTAATCTTGACCCAAACGAGGGCATGGAGTTTGATTCTGAGCAGTCTGCTCGCATTTTCTATAATTACTATGCTCGTCGTGTTGGTTTTAGTACCAGGGTCAGTGTCTATCAGCGTTCTCGTCGAGATGGCTCTATTATTTGCCGTCAAATTGTGTGCTCACGTGAAGGGTTTCGGCGTGAGGGCAATGATAATAGGTCTAAAAGGCAGCGAACTGTTACTAGAGTTGGTTGTAAAGCTCAAATAACAGTTAAGAAACAGAGTTCTGGAAAATGGGCAGTGACGAAACTTGTGAAGGAGCATAATCATGAGCTTGTGCCACCCGACAAGGTGCATTCTCTCCGCTCTCATAGGCATGTGTCCGGCTCAGCGCGAAGCCTCATTGATACGCTTCAGGCTGCAGGGATGGGGCCAAGTGGAGTTATGTCTGTGCTGATTAGGGAATCTGGAGGAATTAATAATGTTGGGTTTACTAAAGTTGATTGTCAGAATTATATGAGTAGTAGTCGGCAGAGGACACTAGGCCCTGCTGGTCAGGCTGTTTTTGACTATTTGAAGCAAATGCAGGCTGAGGATCCTGGTTTCTTTTATGCTGTCCAAGGTGATTTTGAGAATTCAACAGGAAATGTTTTCTGGGCGGATGCTAATGCAAGAATGAATTATAGTTACTTTGGAGATACTGTTACATTTGATACGACATATAGGACAAACCGTTACAGGGTCCCATTCGCACCATTTACAGGGTGGAATCATCACGGACAGCCGTTGCTCTTTGGATGTGCATTACTCCTCAATGAATCAGAGTCCTCATTTGTTTGGCTATTTGAGACTTGGCTTGCTGCAATGTCTGGTCGCCATCCCATCTCAATCACAACAGACCAGGACAGAATCATACGGGCAGCTGTTTCACAAGCGTTTCCTGGAACTTGCCACCGATTTTGTAAATGGAATGTTTTTAGGGAGGCTCAGGAGAAACTATCTCATGTATATCACTCACACCCCACTTTTGAACCAGATTTCCACAGGTGCATCAATGCAACTGAGACAATTGATGAATTTGAGTCTTGCTGGGAGTCACTGATTCAAAGATATGATCTCAGTGACAATGAATGGCTTCGGTCAATATACAATGCTCGCCAGCAGTGGGTGCCAGTTTATCTCCAGGATACATTCTTTGGTGAGATGTCCATAATGCAAGGAAGTGATAGTATAAACTCATATTTTGATGGGTACATAAATGCATCAACTAACATCCACAATCTGATTAAGCAGTATGAAAAAGCAATGGCGATTCGCCATGAAAAGGAAGTAAAAGCAGATTATGATACATTGAATAGTCCACCTGTTCTAAAAACTCCATCCCCAATGGAAAAACAAGCAGCTAACTTATATACAAGGAGGATATTTATGAAATTCCAAGAGGAACTAGTGGAGACGCTTGCTTATCCTGTAACTGTAGTTGATGATATTGGATCAGCCATTACATATCGGGTAGCAAAGTTTGGGGAAGACCACAAAGAACACCATGTTAGGTTCAATGCTTTTGAAAAGAGAGCTAGTTGTAGCTGCCAAATGTTTGAGTTCTCAGGTATTATTTGCAGACACATATTGGCAGTTTTCAGAGTGAAAAATGTTCTCACACTTCCATCTAATTATATTTTGAAACGGTGGACAAGAAATGCCAAAAGTGCGATTGTGTTTGATGAGCACACTCTTGGCCTGCCATGTAATACCCAGGAGTCCTTTGCTGCTCGCTCTGAAAATCTACGTCAGGAAGCCATCAAATATTTAGAAGAAGGAGCAGAATCAGAACATATTTATAATGTGGCAATGCATGCTCTTCATGAGGCCACAAGGAAGGTTGCTGCTGCAAAAAGGTGTGGCCCTGCACCTGTACAAACTACTGTGGTTAATGGTAGTCAGCAGCTCCATTTGTGTAGTCTGGTAAGTTACTTGTGCGAGAATCTTGGGTTCTACCTTTAGTAAGCCTTTATTCTGAACTTGGTGCTGCAAGAAGTGCTCATTGCGGATTTTTTTTTCTTCTTTTGATCCTGGTTAGCTCTTTGTAGTGCTTTTTTCAGTGCAATGCTTAGTGCTTCTTTCTTTCTATAAATAACATTTAGCAAACACTCCTGTAAGGGTTTTTCTAGATTTTTATTAAATATAAAGGGCAAGTCTCTCTCTTGCTCTCTCAATCAGATCATCTTTGTTCCAAACATAAAGGGTCAGCTTCATTAAATAAGAAGCTAAAATGTATGTATAGTAAATTTATGATTTGTCTGACTCTTTGCTTGTTAGTGCTTAGAAGAAATTGCCCAAATATATGAAACTATAGCAAATAAATTCCGAGTCCCCAAACATCAGACCAAGACATTCATACAATCTTTTGAAGTTTGGTACTTGTTGTGCTATAGCCTATAGGGTTGCAGGAAATTGCAATCTGTCTTCTTATTTTGGTTCTTTTAGGGATTTAATTTGGTTGCTGTGTTCCTTATCAATGCACTTGTTTATCCATCCATGTAGACTAAAAAGATTTAATTCCATTGCTTCTGCAGGACGAGGACAAGAAAATTCAGGAATTGGCAGCTGAATTGGAACAAGCAAGTCAGCGATGTGAAGCTTATCGAACAAAATTGCTCTCTGTTATGAAAGACATGGAGGAAAGGAAGCTGAGGATATCTGTTACTGTTCAGAACGTTAGACTCAAGATGAAAGATTGAATTGTAGTGTGATGTGTTTATTTTCATCATGTTAATGTTACACGTGGCAGAAGTGTTGAAGTTTGGTGGCCCGAATGGGTAAACTGCCCCCCTTCCCCCTCTCCCCTTATATATGGTTAGCTCCTGAGGTCTCAACTGGACGTGACCATACAATACATACCAAAATGAGTTGATAGATTGATAGTGGGTGACATAATACTTCATGGGGTGAAGAGACCAGGAAGTGCAGCTTGAAGCTTTAGCCAAGTCAATTGCTATCACTGTGTTTGTTTATTATGTTATTTTTTGATGAGGAGAGCTGTAGTTGCATACGACTACAAGGTATGTATTATTAGATAGATAGCCTAATCGCATGAAGCAATTTTGGTAGTTTTTTTTTTTTTTTTACCCCCATTTTGAAGGAAAAGACAATAAATGACGGAAGTTTTCAGATAACAAATGACACATACACTCTTTGGGATTCCTGCTTAAATTTTGGGGTATTTATATGAGGAGATTTCAACAGACTAGGTATTGGTTGGTAAGACAAATGCGGCTCACGGACTTCTTTGGGCTTGAGCCCAGTATCCCATGCGGTTGAGGGGCTAATCTAAGGTTTTTTTTAATATAAATGGGCCTATATTGGGCTTGGGCCAATTAAGTTCCGAAAAGGAGAGGAGGGCAATATTTTGGGAAACGAAGGGAAAGAGAGAAGGCTCCTAGCCCCTGGAGACTCTGTCTAGTGGCTGTGATTAGTGGAATGCCGCCCAGTTTTTGAAATTCAAAATAAAGTTTCCGTTGGGCAACGATCAGTAATCACAAATCATTATAAAAGCCAACAAATCTCTCTGGCCTTTTCGTTTCTTTTCGGTTACACATTTTCGAGAGAAATAAAGATAGTTTTTGAAGATGGAAAAAGGAGGAGGAGCAGCAACAGCAACGGCCACGAACAAGGTGGCGTCGGCGATGGATTTATTCGAGAAGCTGGAGAAAGTAGGAGAGGGAACATACGGGAAAGTGTACAGAGCAAGAGAGAAAGCCACTGGGAAGATCGTTGCTCTAAAAAAGACACGTCTCCATGAAGACGATGAAGGAGTCCCACCCACCACTCTTCGTGAAGTCTCCATTTTGCGTATGCTCTCCAGAGACCCTCACGTCGTCCGGTACACACACACACTCTCTCTCTGTCTCTTCTTTTCTTCGATTTAGTTCCTTGCAAGGGTTTCATTTCTCTTACTACTAACGATCTTGGATGGATGGATCTGTAGATTTTTTTTAATCATTCGGTCAATTTAGGGTTTAGTTAATTGAATTTGGGGATTTTGTGATGTGACTTCAATTCCTCCAATCTTCTGGTTTAAATTTAGGGTTTAGGGTTGTGGATTGCTAAATTGAGTTATTTAATTTTATTTGAATTGCTTTCTTTTGCGTTTGTCGAAATGGACAATTAATTCTGATCTGATATTCTCTTCTTTTGCTAGGTTAATTAATAGACAAATAACTATTTTTTTTAATCTTGTTCTTAATTCATAGATTGATGGACGTGAAACAAGGGCAGAATAAAGAAGGCAAGACAGTTCTGTACCTTGTTTTTGAGTACATGGACACCGATCTCAAGAAATTCATCCGAACCTTCCGCCAAACTGGCGAGAACATTCCTGTCAAAACTGTTAAGGTATAAACGCAACGTTTTTCTTTTTTGTTTCCTGGTAATTTTAGAGGTTTTTTTTTTTATAAAAAAAAATCTAATCACTAATTTGTATGATTTTTATGCAGAGCTTGATGTATCAACTATGCAAGGGTGTGGCTTTCTGCCATGGCCATGGAGTCTTACACAGGTTTCCGTCTTTTTTTTTCAACTCTCATCATACAATAGCCATGTCCTTCATGATGTTCGTTTAGGTGGAAATGATTCTTCTCATATCTATTAACCCTGTATCTGGCTTCCTCTCAGGGATCTTAAGCCTCATAACCTCTTGATGGACCGCAAGACCATGATGCTTAAAATAGCTGATCTTGGACTAGCTCGGGCATTTACCCTTCCTATTAAGAAGTATACCCATGAGGTAATTGAATTAATACATCTTGCTACCCATCATCCTTTTGTTTGCTCTAACAATATCAATTTGCTAAGCTAATTGAGTGGAATTTCTTTTTCAGATATTGACTTTGTGGTATAGATCTCCTGAAGTCCTTTTGGGGGCTACCCATTACTCAACTGCAGTGGATGTTTGGTCTGTTGGCTGTATATTTGGTATGAATTTCCTTATTCTTTCCCCTTCGTCCTTTAATTTAATCCACTAATCTTCCAACTCTAAAATTGCTAAACTGTTTTGTTTGTGTTTTGCCTAAACTCTAGCTGAACTGGCCACAAAGCAAGCACTCTTCCCTGGAGACTCTGAACTGCAACAGCTCCTGCATATTTTCAGGTTTGACAAGATGATTTTTGCATAATGATTGGTTTAGATCTTGCTTTATCAATTGGGCCTCTATTTATTATACATTTTGAAACTCTTGTGCAGGTTATTAGGTACTCCAAATGAAGAAATGTGGCCAGGAGTAAGCAACCTGATGAACTGGCATGAGTATCCTCAATGGAAACCTCAGAGTTTGTCATCATCTGTTACTAATTTGGACAAGGATGGGCTGGATCTTCTATCAGTAAGTCATATAGATCAGCAATGATTTTTTTTTTTTTTTTTTTTGGTATCGTTTGGACAGATCAACATCATAACTTACTTTGCTCAATTGCTTGTATTTGCAGCAAATGTTGCAGTATGACCCTTCAAAGCGTATCTCAGCAAAAAAGGCCATGGAACATCCTTACTTCGATGATCTCGACAAGGAGCATCTTTAAATGTTAATTTTCACGATTAGGATGGGCAGCGGCCTTGTTTCGATGATTTTTAGGACCAGCAAACTGAAGTTCTGTACTGAAAATCTATTTGCTTCACTCAAGCATATCCCGATCGAGTCATGTTATATTTGTCTTAGGATGATTGCTTTATCAATTTAATGCCATTACAACATGGTTTGCTTATTTCCATCTCACTCGGTAAGTTTCTTTATTTCATTTACATAACACCTGCTAAAGGTAAGGTACAGGCTATACCAGAGAGACTTGCAACCAATTATGCCTGCAACCTAAGAAAAGCTGCTGTCTCTTCTCTCTTGATCTAACTTATTACTCTTTCCGAGTTAGGTCTTCCTAATTTGCGCATTATGTTAGGCAATCAAGCCACCAGCCACATGAAGAAGGTTGACCAAAGAGTTAGTGAAATTGAAGCCAAAGCATAAGCCCAGAACATGATAACAGAACATTCTGTCTCTCCTGCTCCAAAAAGTTGAGTGATGGTACCTGCCAAGTTTGCGGTAACAAAGAAAAAGCTTTCAGTTTTCTCAAGTCCTATAACCAAATATGTGCACCTCATGCTCAAGCTACAAAAAGATATTACCCATGTTCATAGCAGGCGGAACTGCAAATTGAAGCAGGAGAATAAACTCATACAGAGGATCACGAGGAATAAAACCAAACCGGAGGGCTCCTCTAACTATGAAAATGCCAATTACAGGCAGGACAATATAACGAGAAACTATGATGCCAAAAACTACAGATTTCTGCAGTACTCCTGTCCTTTGTAAGCCTGCAGCAAACACCAATCAATTTCAATAATCAATGCCAAAGTTTCATAGCCACAACAGCCAACTCTGCGAAAAAAACCTTCAATTGATTAGTACCTTTCAAAAGGTTAGCTCCTACTATCAGGGTGAGAGTTGGGATGGCTCCATCTCTACAGTCGAAGGGGGAACTAGGAAGCTTAGTAAAAAGAAGAAGAAAGGAGGATAATGTAGCGACTAGTTGCATGTTAAAAAGACAAGTTGCAAGTTAAGCTAGAGTTACATAGAATTGTTTAGCCAGTAAAATACCCCAACAAGGAAGCACAGTCATGAAGCACCCGAAGAGGAGCATCGCTGCCAACCATTAACTTTCGGAGCTGTGGGACGACTCCAATTATAAATCCAACAATCTGCCCAGAAAATGAACATTAGAAATAGGTCAATGTAGAAACCAAGTGTTGAAAACTCAAATTAGAAGTACATTGATTGAAGTACTAATTCATAGATTATATTCCAAAAAAAGAAAAAGGATCGTTATTCTTTCCAGGACTCAAAAAAAGATGTAAAAGCTATGTAAATAGGCACTGTCTTTACATCTTCCGAGTCAGATTCAACCAGAAGGATATTCACAGATGAAGACTCTGGGCTAAGTGTGCACGGAAATTAAAAGCAATAAGCTCATACCGCTCCAATTGTAGCAGGAGCAAACAGTGACTTCCAGTTAATATCTCCGACTATCGCCATTATCTTCTGCATCAATCCTATACGAACCACCATCTGCCACAAAATTCTAGAGATCAGTCTATGATTGCCTTGAAAGATGGTTGTAAGTAAAAACAGCGAAAAGGTTGAAAAAATGATACGGTACAGGAAACAACCTCATCTTTCCCAGCAGATGTTATTCTGGGCAGTGCATGTTGATTTGCACGATTCTCAGATGCAAGCAGTGGTTCCTTGACACTCTCCAGTTTAGATTTGGGTGTTTCTATGGAAGTTTCACCGCTATGGATCTTATCAGATTGTTTAATGCTCGGAACTGAAGATGCTCTCACAATATTGAACACATAGGACCATAGATAAACGGCTCCAATCTGAGATAAATTTTCTAACTCAGACAACATGATAAAATGTGTTTCTTCTACTAGGATGTCATACTTGGGGATTATACTAATACACGCATAAATTATATGCAACTCAGGTTGATAGGATAGCTATCAAGAACATACTGCCATTGAAAGTGAAACATAAGCCAATCCAAATGACTGGCAGACATCAGGAGATCCAAATGGGCTTCCTTTTTCCTTACAAACTGCTGGGATCATGATAAGAAACATATTCCCCAAATTCCCTGCTCACACCAACATGAAATTCAAATCATAAGAAATAAATATTGTGTGAAGAATCTGTCGCAACTCAGTAAGCATGCACTGCAAAAAAAACAAAAGTAAGTGGTAAATTCATCAAATTAGAACTACATTGATTGATAGCCAAGTTATACAGAATGGTTCTGAAAAGGGGCAATTCATATACTAATCTAGGAGAAAAATCAAAATTCAATCAATCAGATTTCCTGTTTATTACTTGGTTGCGACTCTAGGTGGAAAAATTTTAAGCCAAGCATGAGAAGGTCCAGGTAATGCTAATGACACTCTGGCCGCCCTCTGCCATTCAAATCTGAGCAACCCCAACTGCTATCATGAGGAGTCAAAGTGAAGGGAGAATGGAATTCTATGCCTCTGGCAAATTAGCTTTGACCGAAGGGTCTTGTAGCTTAGGATATGGTATTAAAAACATCGAAACTTTGAAGGACTTACCCCTCATTGAGGCCAACTACCATGAAACTTGTGTTTACCTGCAGCACAGCAACCCACGATGAGGCCATGCAGGTGCGAGGGAGGTTTTGTGAGTTGCACAACAATCCAGCCAAGTATGGAACCAATGACAAATGTGATGAGAATATTGAACGGCATGAACCACCTATATATTCAACCAAATTTTCTTAAGAAAAAATATTAAAAATAATCAGCTATAAAGCATAGAATATTATAACACAAATTGATCACATATATATGGCTCACATCTTCACCATACTGTCATATGTAATAGTTTCAGAAAGGTAGGAGGCCACAAGGGCTGGATTGAAAACATAAAATACAACCTGCTCGCACAAGAAGAGAGAACATTGTAGTAAGTGATTCAACAGTTCACAGATGGATTTTAATTTCTCTGGAGCTGTCTTGCTAGACAAATTAAATGCAAGCATCAACAACAACTTACATTATTTACATGCTTTCTAGCTTCTTCTCCTAACACATCGACATGTTTAAGAGCAAGAAATGATCCAAGTGCTGTTATCAAAAGCACCTTCAAGACAGGAATTGATGCAGCAATGAAGAGATCCAAAAGCCCCATGTTTTGAAGTTTCTTGATCAAAATATGGAAATGATGTTCACCTAGCTCCTGCATAAAAGACGACATAAGACTTGAAATTCTTCTAAAACCCGACTATAGCATCACAGTAAGAAACAAAAAACGAGGATATTTGAACCAGGTAGGAAGGGCAGAATTAACTGTACAAAGACTGTCGTAGTTGAATTAGGAAGTTATTGAGGTAGCATGGATGGAAGAATCAGCACTGCCAAATTAGAGAAAAGGGCAATTATTTTGGATCCCAAAATGCCATTACTTTAATGCAAGCGTAAACAGAAACAAAGATCCATGAAAACAGTTGTCAAAAAGAAGAATAATAACACCTGCAGAAGAAATTCAGTGCTAGCTTTTGCCTCCAGTAAGGATTTGTTTACCTTGTCATGCAAACTTTGCATGTACGTGATGGTTTAGATACATTCAAGGAGTACTCAGTCCAATATATTCATGAAAAGGGAGAAAACAACAGACAAGAAAAGGACATTTTGAAGGATAAAAGCCAACAGAAATTCAAGGAAACATGTACCTCTCGCAGTCTCTCTCTCTCTCTCTTTTTCGTTTTTTAGTGAGAGAAAGAGGAAATAAAACGAGGAAAGCAACACGTAGCATACAAGTAATGGTGGAGCTTGTCTGCTTTCTCTTTGCCATTGGCGACTAGGGAGTAAAAAATAATTGGTTGATTGAACCAACCATTCGCAATAATCCTCTGCTCTGCTCTCCCCACCCTCGAAGCCCTTAGACCCCATGATTTGGGAACCGTTCACAATCCTATTAGAAGTAAAAGACCAACCATTCACAAGCAGATTCTTTTTATAGCTTTTTACTTATAATTGCTGCATATATGGTTTTGAATGTTTCTCAAGTTTATTTTTAGCTTCAGTTGACTATATAATAGGTTGCACAACAGACTTATCAGGTGCATTGTTTTTTCATGCCTTCAGCCATTATTTTCCTTCATTCTCATTTGGAGTGGAAAGAGGCCTTGGTGTAGTATTGTAAATTTATCCCTTCAACTTCTCTCCACAGCTCCAATCAATATGATATATTTGCATAAATTGCAAGTATTTTTTTAAATTATTTTGATATATTAATTGAATCTCCTCTGATGTGGTAATAAATATCATATATTGAACTTTAAATGAAAAAATCAATCAAAACAATTCAAATTGATTCGAGTCAAGGATTTACTGAGAATTCCAAATCTTAGCCTAGAGTGGCATCCATTGTATTCGAGGAATCCGAGATTTGCTGGGAATTCCGGATCGAAGAGGCAGATCAAAATAAGGTGCCTAAAAACCCAACACTGCTAATTATTATTTAGCATATAGAAAAGAACTTGCAATGGGATTTGGTGAATTTGCGCTTATACATTAAAAAAAAATGGTAACGGGATTCACTCAACTGGCATTCAAGATCAAAATAAAACCCAACTTCTTTAGCTTCTGCTGTAATAATAATATAGCAAGGCCAAGGGTTTAAAATGGAATTGTCTTTCGACTTGCAAAACTGATTCCTTATCATGATAGAAATTGTTGTGTTAATAATGATGAAAGCAGCAATATATATATATATATAGACATACGCCTAGCAACACAAAGGCTTACCAGACAGAACTGAAATTCCCAAACCAGCACGAATAATCAAAATTTGAATAACTTTTTTATAGAAAAACTGTTCTAATCGCTAAATAATAAGCTGCTGCAGATTCATTACAGTTGCAAAATCAGAAGTAGCCGACAACCCAATCCAAGCAGAACCACTGATTACAATCTAATTTAAGGTTTGCCAGGCCATAAAGAATTCAAGGACACATAATCTATCTATCCGAGAAATAATGTTAAACCCAATAATAATCTTGTTACCATCTTGCCTTCGATTCAGGTTTATGCTTCATTTGGTGGTGTAAGCCCCTCGGAGTGTCAACAAAGTACCATGCAGCTTCCAGAATTTTTCTACTCAGACCTGCAAAACCGAAATATAGTATCAGATCCGAAAAGTGATGCAACAAGGAACAAGAAAGCAAAATATGCTAGCAGAGGGGAGTTCCAGAACAATCCACTTTGTTAATCTATGGGAACAAGAAAGCAGAAGCATCGCACCAGCTCACCATCTCTTCAACAGCCATCATAGCCAAAGGAAATGGGCAGAGAATACATTGGACATGCCAGCATAGGCTTAAACCATCCCTCGAGCCATGGGAAAAGGACCAACAAAAACAAAAAACAAAAAGAAAAGAAAGAACACAAATTAAAAGGGGAAAAGAGACATGGAAATGGACAACAAATTTAACACCTTATAGCTAGCTTGAGAAGCTACAAGATACAAAATTGCACGAGAGGAGGGACAAAGTAAACAAGAAAGGAAACGATTATTTGCTTTTGGCTCATCATCCTACAAGTGTGTTCTTATGCTCTTGTGGAACACCATTAACCAAGAATCTAATCCTTCCCCGACTTCCACGCCCAAAATCATCCATATTTCCAAGGAAAAAAAATATCAGCAACTTTACAATTTTCAAACTAAGATAAGTATCATTCAGGCATTGCCTATAAGTCCAAACTCAACCAGCAAGAACAGGAGGAAATTAAAAGTTACAAGATAAGTTATAAAGATATATGCAAGAGGAAAAAAAAGAAAAAAAGATCAAACACAATTGTATAATCAAGTTCAGAACAGGAATAAGAAAGTTTTAATTGAGCTCTTACACTTATACAACCGAGTATTTGCCTGGTTGAGCTCCACCAGGAAGTTGGAATATCTGGTTCGTTATGTCTTCCAAAACACGTTTTAGGTCAGCTTTAGCTCTCTTAACAGACTGTTCAGTAGGGCCCTCAATGAACAAGTAGAGCTTGCGTTCTCCAGGTCCTGGCACCTTGCCTGGTGGGAAAAACTGCCCCCTGGTGGTAATGGCAGCCCCAGTCCAATCTGAAATTGGACCCAAAGTTTCCTTGTGGGTAACCTTCCACCGAGCATTTTGGGGAAAATCATTGATTTCCAGCTCTGCTTCATAATGTTCAGGCATTGCATCAGCTTGAATCCGTGCCAGGTTGTGTTGCAAATTCATGGCAGCTGCAATTGCTGCTACCCTAGCTGCAGCTTCATTATTAGGAACAATAGGCAGCCCAGTCGCAGAAGCAGCTGCTGGACCTGGATTAAGAGGAACAGGTAATCCACCATTAGAAAGCAATTGAGCAACAGAGTGAGGAGTTGATGCTACAGGTGCAGGGACTTTTGAGACAGCAGCAAGAGCAGCTATCTGCTGAGCAAGGGCAGTCTGCTGAGAGAAGTCACGACCCCTCCGAACAACTTCATCTTCATCTTCTGATTCAGACTTCTCTTCCTCAAAGCCATATTCTTTTGCTTGCGCTTTCTTTGCTGCCATTCTCTTTTCATCCTCCTCTTCATTGAATTTAAAACCACTTCCACCATAACCTGTTCCATGGGCTTGCTCAAGACCCTGATTCACTTTTGCCATAAAACTATCAGCAAGAGCTTTCAAGTCTTGTGGAACAACTTGCTCAGAGAGTTCCAATGCTTTTACAAGATCCGGTGCATATCTTGCATCATCCTCGGAGATAAAAGTGATGGCACAGCCTTTGTGACCAGCTCGACCAGTCCGACCAACACGGTGAACATAATCCTCATAGTGGTTTGGAACATCATAGTTGATCACCAGTTCTAGATCCTTCACATCTAAACCTCTGGCTGCAACACTTGTTGCAATCAACAAACTGCAGACATTGCTCTTAAAATCTGAAATGGTGGATTCACGGTCTGTTTGATCCTTAGCGCCATGAAGTGAGAGGCAAGGGTAGCCACATTTCAGCAAGTCCCTAAACAATGAATCACATTTGTCCTGTGATTGGACAAATACCAAAATTTTTCCCTTCTCATTCCATTCACCAAGTAGTTCTAACAGCCTAAACCACCTTTGACCTTCTGGTCTTACCTCAACCAGCTGAGTGATGTCCTTATTCACCACACTCCTCCCACCAACCTGTATTTCCACAGGTTTGGTCAGTACTCTACGAGCCAAAGTTTCAACCTGCCGAGGGAAAGTTGCAGAAAAGAGAACAGTTTGACGATCTGGGCGGATATTTTGGACAATTCTAGTGATTTGAGGTTCGAATCCCATGTCAAACATCCGATCAGCTTCATCCATAACAAGATATGTAACTCTACGAAGATTAGTGATTTTCCCTCCACTGGTGCAAAGTATGTCAATCATCCTGCCTGGAGTGCAGACAACTATCTCTGTCCCCCGTTTTAATTCACTAATTTGTTGGGCAACACCAGAACCTCCATAAACAGGCACGCATCTGACACCCAGGGCCTTAGCAAACTTCTTAATATCACTGTGGATCTGCTGCACAAGCTCCCTTGTGGGTGCCATTATAAGCCCAATCGGTCCTTCTCCAGCTTCCACAGGAGGCTGGTCCTTGATATGCCTCAGCATTGGCAGCACAAATGCAAGGGTCTTGCCAGAACCAGTTTTCGCAACACCTATGCAGTCCCGGCCACTCATAATTATAGGCAGTGCCTGAGCTTGAATTGTCATCGGCTTCTCATAATTAAGTTTCTTTATCATCTCCAAAATTTTACCTGTAAGTCCTGTCTGGTGCCAAGTTTTAATTGGTTTTGGCACATCCTTTCCATGTATTTTCAACTCTAGTTGTTTCCTATAAGCAGCAACCTCCTCAGGAGTCATCCTGGAGATCTCCTTCACTTCAATATAGAAATTTTTCCGGAAAGGACTGTAATCAATCTTTGAGTGGTCAACAATGGACAGTTTCTCAGCTTTTGTTTTCTTCACCCTCTTCATGAACTCGTCGTCATCCTCATCTTCTAAAGGATCTTCACTGTTTTCAAGGTCCCCATAGTCTGAATCAGAATCTTCTCCTTGAATAATTCTCCCAAGAGATTTATGAGAGCCTTTCTTTCGCTGTTCTCCATTGATTCGTTCGTCATTCTTATCCTTCTTCTTCAAGTCTGCTTTATTATCATCGGCAGTTTGAATAACCACAGCATTGTTTAGCTTCTCCACCTCAGGTAAGACCATAGAATTCATGAAAGCATCCAATGGATCAATTTCCTCATCTCCATTAACAGCATCACCCTCATTTTGTGGAGCAGAGATGTCATTCTTAGTGTCCACTACCATTGCATCTCCAGCTTCTTTATCAGGTATTGCATTTTCCTCCAGGTCCATATCCGTCTCAGATTTTCCAGTGGGAGGTGCTTCTTCATCGTCAGATTCACCTTCAAGGGTCCAGGTTTTACCAGTCTTAGGTTCATCAACATTGGCTTCTTCCCCACCCTTTTCTCTCTCAGTTTCTTCCTTCTTCCGCCTCAGCTCTTGCCATTCCTGGACTCTTCTCCTCCTCTTCTCCATCTCCTCATCCAATTTCTTCTGCTCCTCCTCTAATTCCTCTTCTCGAGTTTTACTCTCGTTCTTGTCAGAGTGATCCTCAACACTCTTTTTCCTCGGACTCTCTTCACTGCTATCCCTGTGCCTGTTTGACCTGCTATCGCTCTGGTCGCGCACTCTCTCCTTAGAGTCTTCATCATATCTCCTTCGCCGCTTCCTATCACGCTCCCTGGAATCATCTTCACTGTCACTACTCAATTCTCTACGCTTCTCCCTTTCCCTAGTCTTCCTCTCCCTCTCCCTCTCCCTCTTCTCCCTCTCCCTTTCCCGTTCTCGTTCTCGTTCTCGTTCTTCTCTGTCATGCTCCCTCCTCTCCCTTTCTCTCTCTCTCTCCCTATCACGATCCCTCTTCTCCCTTTCTCTTTCTCTTTCTCTTTCTCTCTCTTTCTCTCTGGCCCTCTCCCTCTTATCCTCTTTCTCTTTTTCCCTTTCCCTGTCTCTCTCTTCTCTGTCTCTATCTCTCTTCCTATCCTTAACTGTCTCTCTATCATCATCCCTACTCCTTGCTGCTCTATCCTTATCTCTGTCTCTATGCTTCTCTTTCTCCCTTTCCCTTTCCTTGTCATCGGAATCACTACTCTTGCCTCTCTCCGAACGCCTAGAGCTTTCACGTTCTCTCTTCTCTCTGTCTCGATGCCTCTCTCCATTTCTCTCCCTGCCTCTATCTCTATCTCTATCTCGATCACGATGACTCCTCTTCGACTCCTCTTTCTCCTCCTTCCGTTCCGAATAATCATCTTTTCTAGATTTATGTTTCACATCCTCCATAATTGCTTGCTTCCTTATTTTACTGCCCAATCAACGAATCATCAGTAAAGCGAGCTAATTGATTTATTAATAAATTCAAATCGAAAACTTTGACAGAAACCCTAGAACATGAACTAATGGAGATTGATTTCAACTGCGGCCAGAAAAGCTTATGGCGGTGCAAAGGCAGCCAAAATATATTAATAAACCACCTGATTCAAAATTGGATTGTATAGTAAAGCATCAATCAGTAATCGAAGAAGAAGAAAACAAAAGCGAAGAGAAAAAGAAAAATTTCTGAAAGGGAAAAAGGGAAAGTACCTCAAACGTCTTTGAAGATGAAAATTGATCTGTCTCGAAAAAACCCTAATTGCTTCCTGCCACTTGATGTTTGAGTATGGGGAAGGATAGATCGTTCCGTTCCGTTATCATTTTATTTTTTTCTTCCTGCGGTTATATAAGAGTACATTATAATTTAGTGCCTCTTGTTTAGAAGAACGAATTAATTACTCCCCTTCTTTTAAAACTAATATTTTAATCCCTTTAGTTTTAATTCTTTTTAATAATTTAGTTATTTCATGTAGATTAGTGATTTTTATTCCTAATTGTTTTTTTATTGAAAAAAGAGAAAGAGAGTAAATAAAAAAGAGAGATAAGATATCAAAATTATTTTAAAAATATTAATCGAATAAAAAACCAATGAAAAACTAAATTTTTGATAAAATTAAAATACAAATAACTAAATTGTTATTTTAAAAAAAATAATTAATTATCTCTTGAAACTAATTTATAATTTATTCATTTATATGATATAATAAAGAGAATAAATTATAAAATCAGTCCTTCTAACTTTTAGAAACAAAGTAATTAGTTTCGTTTTTTTTAATATTTAATCCTTAATCTTTTTTGTTTTTTTTTATCTTATTTTGATTTTTTATTTTAATCGGTATAATTTTTTTTAAAAAATATTTATAAGAAATAAAGATATTTTATGAAATAAATTAATATTAAATTAAAGGTAATGAATACTTGGTTAAAAAATTAAAAATATATAATTTTTAAAATAAAAGAGATTAATTTATAATTTACTCATAATAAAAGGGTCGGTCTCTTTGGATTGGGCGAGGATTCCGTTTTTCATCTGGATTGGACTTGGGCCGACTAAAGTGCCTCCTCCAAAGAAATGGATCCGTGGCCTGAAAAGAAACTAGATTAGGCCCATAAAGAAGGATACAGAGATAGGGGTAAGCTCTTTATTTTTGTTTCTCCTTCTCCACGAATTTACGTATATATATACTTCTTATTAATTTTTTTTAATTAATTAAGTGTATAAAAATCAATTCTTAATCATTATAGCTAGTGTCCTTTGAAAAAAAAATCGATCACACAATTGAATAGGTTTAAAAAAATCAAATTTTGTTTTTTTTTTAAAAAAAAACGAGAAATTGGTTAACTACAACGTAAAAAGCAAGGAAAAGGCACAGCGGGACCAATAGAAGGGCAATACAGTCTTTATGAGAGGGTACGGACGGAGAGGTACATCGGCCTCGGGCCGTAATAAAAATATGTTCAGACAGGTGTTATTTTTCTAAAGAGTCAAAGGAGATTTTTGTTACTATTTATTTATATATATAAGAAAGGAAGGCCGAGAAGGGAAATAAAAGAAAAATAAAAAGGAAAATCCTCGCTCCCACGGCCAAGGATTTGCTCTGCTAGTTTCCACCTTGTCTTTGTTCTCTCAACAATTAACTCTTTCTTCGTTGAGAAATTAGAAGAATTCGCAAATCGAACCGTCGTTCCTTTGGGTTTGGCACGGACGACACCATACAATACCTTTTCTGTTCGTCGGATAAGACTCGATTCCACCCTTCTCTGCCTTCCTCTTTGCCTGCATTGCTTGCTTTCTGCTCAAATTCAAACCCTAAAACGCTGCCGTTCGCTCTGTTCTCTTTCAAGCCCAACCTATCTCCGCTTCTACAATCTCCGAAAGGCAAGCTTTTACCCTAATACGCTGCCGTTCGCTCTGTTCTTTTAGCACATCTTTTTTATTTTAAATCTCGAATTTTATAATAGCTAGATTTAAACGTTGAAAATACGTTTCTTTCTTTCTTTTGAAAAAAAAATTTAGAATTCGATTTCTGGGAGTGATAATTCTTTTTTCTTTAATATTTTTTCTTTCTTCACGAAATATTTTGCAAGAGGCTAACGGTTTCTGTATATTATCAGAGAATTGTGCCTATATTTAATTCGTTTTGTAAAATTAATATATTCCTTTAATTTAATTTAGCTTAGTTAATAATAATAATAATAATAGTAATAGTAGTAGTAGTAGTAGTAGTACTAGTAGTACTAGTAGTACTAACAACAACAATAATAATTCATGCTGTTTGTTTACAGGGTGTGAGCTGGACCAAAAAAATATAAGCGAAATGGAAGACGGTGAAATGGCTGCGGTGCAGCAAGACTTGCTGGGAGACTCCGATGCTAACAAGCCCATTGATGCCGCTGTTAAAGAGGAAGCAGTGAAAGAGGAAGAAGAAACTGCTGACGCTTCAGAGGATCAAAAGCCGAATGAAAATGGGCAGATATCTGTTGCTGATGATGACAAAACTGTGACTTTGGCAAGTGATGTTCCTATGACTGACACTCCAGCTTTGCCTGATGAGAAAACTGCTGCGGATCAAAATACTAATCAGCAAGTGGCGGAAGAGAAAACTGACGGAGATGATGGCTCCCACGTTCAAAATCAGCCACAAACGGCTACTCCATCTACCCCAAGGAGGTATTCATCTCCTAGAACAAAGCATGATAATGCGGCAAAGCCCAAAAATATATGGACTGATATTAAGGTAATTGAAGCCAACATCCTACTTTTACGAAACTAAAGTATTTATTGTATTCATGAATCTTGTAAGTAGAAGTATTGTTTTGTGCTAGAATGATTATATATTGTTTGAAATGTAGATGGGGGAGGCTGATGTTGCCGGCACCCCAGAGGAGCGAGCTGCATTCATGAAGGAGCTGGAAACTTTTTATAAGCAGAATAGCTTGGATTTCAAACCCCCTAAGTTTTATGGAGAGCCATTAAACTGTCTGAAGTAAGTTTTATGTGACAATAGATTTGAGTTTTTTTTTCCCCAATGATAACGTGTCTGGTTTCTAATTGTGAGCTAATATGGTTTTGTTTTTCCATGGGAGTTAGGTTATGGAGGTCTGTAATCAAACTGGGTGGCTATGAAGTGGTATGTTTATTTTGTTTCCCTGTTTAGTACCATTTTTCATGTTCTGTGGGTTTTAAGGTATTGGCTGCAAAAAAAGAGTCTGCACTTAAATGGATTTTGCTGTTGTATGTAGTAGCATGGTGTCTGGAATTGGTGTAATCAATACAAATACCTCTCAGGGTTATCTGCTATGGGAAACTTAAATATCCCTTATTGGTGGCTAGAGAAAATTATAAATAAGTGAAGGATTTGAGAGTAGGAGCTGTAGTTGCTTGAAAACATATCAGGTTGTTCTACTGCGGTTGTCAAGCATAATGGGCATTGTGATTCAAAATGCTCGCATGTGCTGACAACCTCTTTTCTCACAGTTCATCTGGAACCACGTAGGTTTGACCTTCTGATCAGAAGTTTAAAAGTGATTAAACTCCCTTCTGTTCCTCCTCAAAACTGAAAAATTGTAAATGCTTACAAGTATTACCAAATTCCATTAGTATTCTCTTCTCACTGGCTATGTGTAGGATAATGAAAAGGCAGAAAATTCAAGCGATGATTTCATCAAACCAAATTGAGAAACCACCATGATACATGAGATTAACCAAAAGAGAAGGGAATTCAATGAGAAGGTTGGCACTTCCAAATAAAATCAGTTTCATGAGCGGAGAAAATTTCACCACTTTATGAAATGCAAGAGTTCGATTATGGAACTATTGTTGAGAGTTGTATAAAGCTATGATCCATATTCATTAAAAACTTAAGTATTCTTCCCTTTTTGTGAAATTTTTGAAAATATATGGTTTATATAGCAAATGCTCAACTATCAGTGCTCACGATGACCAAAACTATTTCTTGACGGTTTAGTTTTGATTGGAATCACAATCTCACCAACACTATCGAAAATTAAAACCATTGCTAGAAACTAGAACTAGTTCGTGCTTGAGATAAATAACTAAAAGTAGAAAAAGAATACATAATGAATTGATATAAGTGTATATCAACTCCTATTAATGACTAATGAGAAATCTCAGGCCTTATGCCTAATAAAAGGATGCATCACATATCCATTTACTATGACCCCTCACAGCATACAAAGCACTAAAGCCTCAAAAGTTCTGGTTCAAAGTGACTTTCATCAAATCAAACCCAGTAGAAGGGAAGTAAGGAGGTGCCTCCAATTGCTTAAAGGTTAGATACTTAAAACGTACACTTGAGAACTATGTATCCTAGTCACTTAAAGAGGCTGCTGATAAAACAGATTGGTTAGAAGCTGCTAGGCTGCCTGGTAAAAATAATTACAAAATAATTCCCAACAAATTCAAAAAGCAAACCTTCCTCTCACCAAATTCTGTCCTAAGCCAATGCCTTTCGGGAACAAAGCAAGTACTTTTTCAGAATTTGCTGCTACAGAATTTTATTCTTATTAATAAAGCACAAGGGCTCGAGTTTTTGGTTTGACCAGGGTTTTAAGGAAAAATATGCTTGATCCCACTCCAATTTCTGGAGTAAACCATGTGGATACATGATATGTATCAGGATCTTAACATCTGGAGTATATGATTTCAGAAATGTAATGTTGTATCAGAGTCTTACTACTCTCATGTGGTCATGTGTCTGTATTGTTTCCTTTCAATATTATTGTGAATAAAAACATCTTAAAAAAATTGAGTATGAAATTGCAGTTTTGATGCACGTATATGCTGCATTTTGATTATTTTGTACATCAATAATATGTTTCATGGATTTTTAGGTTTTTAATAACTTATGACAGCTGCTTAATTTTGATCTCATTTCTGTAGGTTACGACAAACAAGTTGTGGCGGCAAGTGGGAGAGTCTTTCCACCCTCCCAAGTAAGGATCGATCATTCTTTCAAGCAATCTTGTACAATTTGCATGGTTTAGCATAGGATTATTAAGTCAAATCTTTTTTAACTAATTTGTAAGATTTGCATGGATTTGGCATGGGATTATTAAGCATTTGCAATTACAATTCTTTTCATTATTTGCTTTTTAGGCTTCAGACAGTTGACACTTTACCATAACCTTTCTTCTGCTCTGAGCATCCTGGTTGTGGGCTGTGAATGGCAAGAATAATTTATGCAGATTATTAAAATCTGGAAAATATATATCATTTGATTTATTCAACTTTTTTCTCTCACACAGGACCTGCACGACGGTGTCTTGGACGTTCCGTATTTTCTATGAGAAGGTAATGTTATTTTCCTGTGGTGAAAATGCTCTGTGTAGTTCATTTTGTACTCAGTAATTGGTGTTGGACCTTGATAGGTTAGGTAAAGGTAAAATCCTAGATTATGACTTTGTTTTGTTTTCTTTTAACATGGGAAGTGTTGCCCAGATAATCTAACAATAGAAGCATTAGAATAGAATCAGATTCTAGAATTTGTCAGTGTTGACAAGTGGCAAAGCTTATTTTTTTTGGAATCGAAGTGAGTTTAGCTGTCCTTATATGGCATTTGAATGGCATAAAGATTCAAATGATTTGAAAACTTGTGAACTAATGGATTATTGCTCTCAATGACTTTCTCGTGACTTCTATCCCTATCCTTCATTTACCACAGGCACTTCTGGAATATGAAAAGAATAAGAGGGAAACTGGTGAGCTTCAACTTCCCAGTTCACCCCTGCTTCTGGCTACCACTGTTGAAAAGGAGGTAAAGTGCTGTTCTTGCTTGTTTTTGTTTATTTGTAGTATTTCCAAAATCTTTTGCCCACCGAGAAAAGATAGAATCATTAGAGCCTCTACAGAACTGCTTAGTGCTAGTGAATTAAAGCTTGGCTTGTACTTGTTGGTTTACAATATTGAACTGAACTTAAACTTGAGGGATTAAACTCATGGTCTGGCTTAGTATCAAATAGTTCTTTGAATTTTATTTTATTTTATTATTATTATTATTTTTTTTTAATGCAGGTTTCTACAATAGAAGCTTTAGTTGTTACAAATATAAGGAGTAGACAATCATTTCATATTATTCTAGCATAGATAGATTTTTATTTCAAAAATTACAACTTGTACCATATGTTGTCACTTCGTTATATGGAAGATTTAGTTGCACTTAATGAGAAAAGTGAATTCTAAAATTAAAAGCTGCTAAAGTTTATGCAGTTCATAATAATCCATGCATCTTTTTGGTTGCGTATATGTACATAGCGTAATTGATCTTCATTGCATCACTGGCACAAAAGATGATAGAGTCTGTTACACTGGATGAAAATGGGGATGATAATTCCTGGCGTATTGCTGAATGTGAAATCTGCGTGCACCAATTTATGGATGCTTCTGTGAAGTGATAAATTATTATTGTCAGTGCTTGTCAGTCGTACAGATTGCTGATAAACCACACTGGATTTAACTTAGTTGTGCTCATAAACCGTTTATATGACTATGAGGTTACCACAAGACAAGTAGAAAACTACAAACCTGAGGCTAGTGCAACTATAAATTATGTTTTTTCTTCTGCTTGTGGGAAAGAATGTTTTCATCGGAATTTGTATGCTGATAATAGTGTGAGCTGAAGTTGTTTGTAACAAACTTAGTTTAGTGAAGTTGTTAAGTTCTACAGTTCCTAGTTCTCATTCCTTTTTGTCCCTGGTTTCTTAATCTGTATTTTTATGCATCTCTCTCTCTCTCTCTCTCTCTCTCTCTCTCAGGCAAGTGGATATCAAGCACCTGGATCAGGCAGGGCAAGAAGGGATGCTGCTGCTCGTGCTATGCAAGGTTGGCATGCTCAGCGTCATCTTGGACATGGTGAGGTTAGCGAGCCGATTGTTAAGGTTTGTTGTGACACTAAACATACTTATCCTCTTATTTATATTTCTTTAGAACATTGAAGGGAAGTGATGGTTTTCATTTCTCTTCGACAGGTCAAGAGCTTGAATTTTGCAAGACGTGAAAAGCCTCTGAAAAGTATTGGTACAACCCCTAGAATGAAGATCTTTCCAGTAGGCATGTGTTTGACACAAAACATACATTTTTATTTTGATTCTGTTTGTTGAGTCAGGTTTGCACAAACAGAAGACAGATGAGAGACCTACGAATGCTGAAACAGATAAGGAGTTAAGATTGCTCATCATTTCCTCTCAATTTATTTTTCTCAGTTTTGCTTGCCACTGTATTCATACTAGTTATTAAATAGTAATTAGTTGATCCTACTGTTTCTTATGAAGTCATCTTTTCAGCATAATAGCAACTGTAGATCATAATCTTTCAGCAAATGAACCATGGCATATTTTTAGCTATCCTTTTAGTTTCTTGGCTTCAAATTACTACTGAAAAAAACAAATAAAATGTGAACATCAGTCCAAAATGCACATGCCATAGGGTGTTTCTTCTTTATGTAGCAAGGCTAAATGTTTTTTTCCCCCTTTAGAGTGGATGCTGAAATTATTGATATTGGGCCCCCTGCTGACTGGGTGAAGATCAATGTGCGGGAAAGTGTAAGGATCTGCTTTTCTTTTCTCTTAATTTTTGTTCCCCTGAGCCTTATCTGTTGAATGCCTGACTTAGCTGTCAAGTTCATTCCTCTGGATTTATTGACTGACATATTGCCCCTATACACAGAAAGATTGCTATGAGATATATGCTTTAGTCCCTGGACTTCTGCGTGAAGAGGTAAGCACATTCTCTTGATATCTCTTTGGCTCTCTCTCATAGTTGTTTGTCTCTCCTGCTTGATTTCTATTTAGATGGAAATTATCGATAGAATGTATTATGTCATGAATGTGTGTTCACTTGAAATGTTCCTTTGTTGTTATTGTTGGTTATACCACTCAGCCTAGAAGATACATGAAATGACTTTTTTTCTTTCTTTCTTTCTTTCTTTCTTTGTTTTTTTTTTTGGTGGATCAGGTCCGAGTACAATCAGATCCTGTAGGACGTCTGGTTATAACAGGTCAACCAGAGCAGCTAGACAATCCTTGGGGTATAACACCGTTTAAGAAGGTATTGTTTTGATTCATCGCAGAATAATAACTTTAAAAAGCGAGGTGCTTCTGCTTTATGTGTTCGACTGAAGAATAAATGGGTACACCTATTCCAATATGGATTCACCATGCCTAAGGGAGGACTGTCGTTAGTGAGAGCATGGGAATCATTTATTTATAACTCTTTAGAGGGTGAACTAATCATTTATGATATTAGTGCCGTCTTGTTGGCAGAATGTTACAGTGGTGATGGTTTGTTGCTTTAAAATATTCTACTTGTCCCTGAATCCGAAACTGTCTTTTTTGGTCAGGTTGTGAGCTTACCTTCGAGAATCGATCCGCTTCAGACATCTGCTGTTGTTAGCTTGCACGGGCGACTCCACATACGTGTCCCGTTTGAGCACGGATCTGCTTGAGTTCCTCCTGGTGTGAGCTATAGATCAATTAATTTTTCTAGTTAGAAATGCCTAATTTTGGGAGAGACAAAGGCTTGAAAGGGAATGATTGCTGGTGTTGTTTTTGTTTCTCTCCCACCTCGTTGGATTAGTTCTAACTACTGAACTTTGTAGATGCTAGCTTATCTCGTGCAATGTGCAGAATAGTTTGTGAAGGTCCGTTGATTGTAAAGTCGATGCATGTCTCCAGGGAAAAAAAGCCAATCTTGTTGATTTTGGCTGGACCCGTGTACAAATGCGGTGATATAAATTGCTGTCGGCTGGAGTTTCGAAATTTTCACGGCCTGTCAGTAATTAAACTTGGTAAAACGTTGCCCCATCCCATGGCATCTTCCAAAGCTTCTTTCTCACAAATTTATGCCAACCCGCCTCGGTGATCGTAATTACGTGACCCTTTGTTTTGTTCTTTTTCTTTTTGGCTGGTAGCGTCCAACTAAAGTAAGTTATAAAGTAGTCTCTGGTTCTGAGAAATAAATTATTTAGTTTAACTGTACCTTTAAAAAAAAATAGAAAAAGGGAAAAAAAATAAAGATTGAGAAAAATTGATGAGAAAGCAAGAAATTTTTTAGAATGGGGTGTTGCTAAATCAAACGTGTTCGATATTAGTTTAAAAAAATTAAGTAATTAGTTTTTTTTTTCATCATGGAGTGTCTAGAAATTAGAGAGTTAGTTATAAGTAGTTGGTTTTTTGTGATATATTGTAGATAAATTATGCATATTTATTTCAGTTTGATAATATATAATATATTGTCAGTCAATAAAAATATATTAAATTAAAAATAAACCATCATCTAATTTTATAATTTTTAATTAAATTTTTGTATTTTTTTAATACATTTAGTAGTTATAAAAATACAATTTGTTTTTTTTATGTATTTATTTTTAAATAAAAACTCGTAATAATCTAAATATAAAATTAAAAAAAACATTTTAATATTTTTTTATAACATTATATCAAATAAATAAAGCAACAATTAATATAAAACATGTATAAAAATTAACAAATAAATCTTTTTTACTCTTATTTAATATTGATGAGAAGATTTTTTTTTTTTTTGAAGAATATATGCATTTGATTTATATATATTTATTTACAAAATAATGAATAATATTAATATAAAATATCATATTTAAATTATTAGACAATTCTTCTAAAACATTATTTCAATGATTTTTTTAAAAAAAAAATTATAGCAAATGGTTGGCGTTATGAGTATAGGTGCATTATATATAATTCATTTATAATAAAATTAATAACTCTAATACATTTTTTTTATATACATCATCATATTCATTGAGTGAGAGCATGCAACATAAATCAATTTTTTAAAAAAAAAAACTTAATTTGTAAAAAATATAATTGAAATTAGTAGTGTAATGAAAAAATTATAAAATTGATTTTGATAAAATTTGATTATATAAAGAATAAGTAAATAAAACAAGTGAACTCTATTTTTAAAATTTGATTACATAAAAAAAATATGCAACTTAAAACAATTAGAAAAAAAAAAGCTTATTCGAAAATCCATACATAAGAGAAAATAAATTATATTTATTAACAAATAAAATTACATAAAAAAGAAGAATAAAAAAATAATTTGAATAGAATTTTTGTAAGAAATGAAAAATGAAAAAATCAATTTTAAATAATAAGAGTAATATAATCCGGTATAAATATATGTTTATTTTAAAATCTAAAATACATCATATATATTTTATAATCATCAATTTTTGTGAAAAAAAATAATTATTAGTTTTTCATAATTTTCACATCCAATTCAATAATAAAAAAACATAAATTGGTGGAAAAAATCAAAAAATAAAATAAAACCAAAAAAGAAGAAGAGAAAAAAAATAGAGATTGATTTTTCCTAATTTTGATACCTAATTCAATAAAACATAAATTGGTGGAAAATAACCAAAAAAAAAAAAGGAGGACTGCTTGCCTCGGGCCTGCGAAAGCTACCCACTGCAGCAACCTAATCTAGTAGGCGAAGGGACGAAAAAGCTAAGAAATAAAATTTTCATTTTAAAACTTCAGGGATCAAAATGAAATGTGAGGTAAACTTCAAATATAAATACCTAAAAATTACTGAAAAATCACCCAAAAAAATACATTTTTCATCTACAGTACATCCAAAGTGTTTTGTGAGAGGATGAACAGTCAAAATCACTGTTTTTTTCCCTCTATTCTTTTTTTTTTTTTTGTTAATTAATTAATTGTCAATTTACTCATATTGCTAGGAAAAGTCACGTTTATAACCATGGTTTTTTTAATTTATTTTTTTTATTTTTTCCTAAATAAGAAGTTGGACCACCGAAAAAGATAATGCTTGGGCCTGGACTAATGATATCCGGGCTTCTTGTGTTTTTCTCTTTAAACCAAACTAACACCTACCCTTTTGGTAATACAAAACCGACTATGAGATCTATCCGAATTTCATATCTAAAAATTCAATGGCTAGAAAATTAGAGAAGCTCTATTTTCAAGCATTTTCTTCTTTTTTTCCCTCTATAATATATATAATGTCAGTTTCCGTAGCTTTTTTAACCCTTTTTTTGTTCAGCGATACGTACAGCCACAGTTAATTTATAGGTTCAGCCCAACTGATATTTTGCACAACGTCGGCCTTTGGGCCTTATTCCGTCCTTTTCCTGCGGATCCCTTAAATTCTGTCATCGCAAGAAACTTTTATTTTTAATTTTATTGTAAAGGGTCACATTATTGCCAGTCTTCATCACAGAATTGAAAGCTGACACGTGTATGGAATCATTGTTATGTACTTCGTTTACTTTTCAGGCTTTCTTCATAGACGCTAAATTATGCTCGATTTTTGTACATCAAAAATTAATTTAAGTAATTAATCAATTATGTATTAATTCATATATATTTTTTTAGGTTTAAACTCTACAACCAACGGATTAAACTAACAATGACTTTAAGTTTTTTTATATAAAAAATAATAATTTGAGTAATATAATTAATCATATACTGAGTCCAAGCCCTAAAATAAATAAATTTGAGTGATAATGAATTTCACCTAGCACAAAGTTTAGATCACACAAGGATGAATATGGATAATTTAAGTAATATTGATTTGGTAGGCATGATCTGTTAAAAAAAACACTCAATTGTTATTTCCTTTTAATTTTTTTTAAAAATTAAATTAGTTTAGTTCAAAAATTTTTTTTTCATAACTCAAATCATACTATTCAAATATAGAAGGTATAGCGTGATCTTAACGGTCAATAGAGACCCTTCTTTAATTATAAAAACTAGTATGATATCAATTGTGAGAGAATCCTAATCTTTTTTAGTTCTCTTTAACAAAATCTTTAAATTCTCTCTTTATAGCTATCATATACTTACAACACACAACTCTCGAAACTCTATTTATTTAGAATACACACTCAAAGCACATAATTTCAAAACACCATCCATTTAGAATTTGAAATTCATTCTACTACTTGATTGCCACTTGATTTGTGCTGTACGAGGTTTGTCTGTTATCTTTTTATGTCTCTCGCTAATTCCACCTATCTACTTTATTATTATAATATTATTATTTTTATAAATTAAAATACTAGTTCTAAATATTTTTACTAATTTGTTGATCTATAGTTGATGTGTTTTCAGAACTCCCAACACGAATTTTTACATTCTTAGCTGCTATGCTAGTATTATTCATCATGTGGTTGATTACTGAGCATATTCTAATTAAGGCTAATTTGCGCTAAGCTCTGATGGAAAAAACCATGCATCATCTAGAGTGCCACTATTTGAGCCCTTATCATAACATCTTTAGATTGTAGTAATTAGTAAATTAATCGGCCAAAATTCTGAGGAATATTACAGATCATCACAGTATGTACATAAATGAACATCAGCTTTATCGATGTTCTTACTGTACCCGCAGAAATTATGAAGGAATGGACGATTCTCTGAAATCATGCATGCTTTTTTTGCCTTTAATTCATCCTAAGAACACTCAGTCGGCTACTATATATACTTCTAAGTACAATATCGATGTTCGTGCATGCATGCTAAAGCGATATTGAACAAGAAAGCATGCCCTAAATAGACCAAATATCCAGTTCTTCACACTGCATGCATTACATTGCAGTTTGCAGTAACATTAATGACGTCTGAATTGTACTATATAGAACATTGACACTTTTACACCTCCCTAGCAACAGGAAAGGAAGAGTTGTGAAGCATCATAACGATTCACAAGCCTACTAGCTGTGTTTTCAAAGAATATATAGAATTCATCTATAAAACCTGAGACATTGGGGTGAAACATATGCTGAAACCATAATGATAACATACAGATCTAGATCACGCAAGAATTATATATATATATGAGGAAAAAAATAGTATTGTTCCATGTTATTCTATCCATATCAATAAAAAAAACATATCTCAAATCAAATAACTAAACAATAGACAATTAGTATATAAAATCAGGAAAAAAAAAACCAATCATCCATTACAAGAATTAAGTCTTTTAAATGAAATCGTAATCTCAAATAACGAACTTAATAGTAGCAAACATGACACTATTGTATTACTTTTAACCATATGTACACAATAAACTTCATCTTCTTCCCTTAATCGCATTGTAACAAACATAAACCTTTATATATTGTGTTTGCTTAGGCGCTCTTAAGAACCGAAAAAGAAAAGGAAGTGTTTCAGCCGTTGCATTATACATAAGGCATGGATGAAAAACACATTCTATAATTAATATTCTTAAGAGTTGGCAATTATACATGTCAAAGCCAACCTCTTATTGAAATCAGACAAATAATAAGCACAGACAAGTAATCTCTTATTAAGATATATATATGTATTTTATGATGATGATGATGATGATGATGATTGAGCAATCTTATACATACAAACATAGTTTTTTTTCTTCGATAAGAATCAAAATTAGATTAAAAAGAAGAGAAAAAGAAGAGAATCAGCTGACAACTGACAAAATTACAATAGCCAGCTGATAATTTATCCATATACATTTAATTACTTGAAGAAAAAAATAGTAAGAGAAATGTTATGGGCCGTGAGATCATGAATATCACACATGTAGGCATTCAAGTTTAAATAAAAATTTCATCATTTCATGTAGAATTATTAGCTGGCTAGCTAACTAATGCACAATGTTGGTCTTTAAGCCATTTTGTTCAATTTCATTAATTGCGTTTTTGTTTGTGGTCGATAGACAAAGAAACAAAAATCGTGCAAAAACCAGAATGTTAAAACCAAATTATATATAGGCAAATCAAAACCAAAAATTTGTGCACATGTGAAGTGATGAGTGGGAGAATTTTTTGCCTGTACATACGAACTATGAGAAGATTGGTAGTATATAGAGTATTTATGATAAAAAGGAAAAGGCTAGGCATTGGGAGTTGGGGTTTCCATGCGTGATTCTTAATTACATCATTTCAAATTCAAAAGTTTCCCCTTTTCAAAATTCCAAGAAATACCATATATAGTTCCAACAATTCTTCTTCATGTTTTTTTTTTTTTTAATTAGACTTCTTCTTCTCTCTTTGGGAAGTGAGTTTTACTTGTTTTCATATGTTTGTTGACACTTAAGAACTAGAGGAGGCGTGGGTTCCATGGCTCAGAAAACTGAAGTTTGTAGGTAGACATGCTTGTTTTACTACCGTAACAGTAGTATTGTTAGTTTCTTATCTCTTGTAACTGACAAGAGAACTTTCTACTGCTTTAACGTACGCTTGGTCAAAGAAAGAACTGTAAATTGGGCCTGCAAGAGAGGAGACAGAGAGAAAGAGAGAGAGACTCCCTAGGGCATCTATATATTGTTCTCGAAGTTCAGAACTAGGTTTTTTTTTTCTCTCTTTTACTGTAAATAGAACAACAGGCTTTTAAGCTTCTTCACTGTGCTTTTCCTCAGATGGATAAGCAGAAATGAAATAAAGGAAGAAGACATGGTCACATGCAAGATCACAAATAAGATATGTTTATCACTGCAGTACGTAATACTTTGGGGCTGAGCCTCTCAGGGCTGATCTTCTATGTTCTGGGCTGCCCTTACTTGCAAACAAAGAATATATATGTGACGCTAAAAAACAGATTTGATTAGGGCTATCCTCTAATTAATGAACTAATAATTAAGCAACCATCAGTACTAGTTAGCTAGCTAGGTTGTATGGTGATATTATTATTATTAAAGGATGGAGAAGAAATCCATATACAACAAACTAAGCAAGCAGCACATTTAAAAATCCAAATATCAAAACAAAAAACATATCATAATAAAGAATATTTCTGGTACAGGAAATGGAGACATGTATTGATTAAAAAATAGAGACATAAAATTATGTATATATTAAACCCTAGCTAGCTAGAGTTGTGCATCAAAATATATATTGTAACTTCACATTAATAATTATGACTACAGATTATTGACCTAATTAAAGTAATTAAAAAAGAGAAGAAAAGATACAAAAGAAACCCAAAATATTGGTTCAAACATGAAGTTAATTGAACTTACTGACCTTTTATCTGGGTTCCAAAGTACGTAATTAGTAGCACCTGCAGGCAGCCTCCATGAATATACATCTTCAGCTTCTTCTTCTGTCTTTTTCCACTTGTCAATTAAGAAATTAGAAGACCAATCTCCATCTTGTTGATCACCACATCACAGCCAGGTTTATATATTAATGCAATATATGTGTATACATACATACATATATATATGTATGTATGTATAGTCTCATGATCATTGCTCTATGGATCATCAATTATTCAAAGCTGATCAGAAAGTCACTCATCCAAAATCTGATAGGAAAATATTTCTAACTCATCACTCCAAGAAAAAAATAAACATTGGGTGCCCTAATTAAAATGGAGGCCTTGCAGCACTTCCACTCCATGATCCAAACAAATCACCTGAAAATGGAAAATTGCCATGATGAGCTCCTACCATATTAAAAAAACCACCACCACCTCCACCTCCAGTACTGCTGCCTCCTCCACCATCGCCCATCTGTCCTCCACCTCCAGTCACACCAGAAGACTGAGAAGCCGTGGGCTGAACCTGTACCGCTCCAGCTTCCTCCTGATCATCCAAAGGCAAACGCTCAAAAACTGCATTAGCAAAAGATGCAGCCATCAAAACCACTGGACCTGCAGCCATCAAAGGCCCGACAACATTCCCTCCAACAACCTGTCCTTGTCCACCGGACAAAAATATCGACAACCCTCCCGCACCAGGTGGCGCAGGTGGAGGAAGCACCGTTCCAGATAGCGAAAGGATCTCAAACCTTCCGTGCAAAGTGAGCACACTCCCTGCAGGAGAAGCTGGTTGTCTTAAAGTAACATTAGCAACTGTCCCACTTCCACTAAGAACACAAACTCCTCTCCCTCTTTTCCTCGCGTAATTGAACACGCTTTCCACTATATCAGCTCCACTGGAGATCTCAAGCACATGGGATCGGAGAGCATTAGGGCTGTCCCTTGTTACAATGATAGGTGGCTTCGGTCTGTTCTTGGAACCAGCAGGACGGCCTCTAGGGCGGCGATTAGGATTGGTGCCTCCGCCGCCTGAGCTAGTTGCAGCACTACTGTCAGGGTGATCAGAACTTGTCCTGGCATGATCTGGGGGTGATGGGGTATTGTTGTTATCTTTAGAATCAGATGAAGGAATGGATGAAGGTCTTTGAATCAGATGAAGTTCAGGTCTGAGTAGGTGGTTGTGATTTTGATGAACGTATTGAGAATTATTACCTTCATAACCAGCCATGGTTGTGCTTCCCACATCTATTCTCTCCCACCACTTGCTGTTATTTGCCAGCTTTAATTTGATCTGTTTGATCTAATCTCTTCTTCGATTCCTCTTCTCTCTTGACCTCCCTGCAACTTTTTCTTTATTTAATTTATGCTACCAAACCCAGAAACAAAACCATGAAATATAGAGCAATTAATTATAAGACTCTTTTTTCATGTGATGAATTTTCAAGGAAAATAAATTGAAGAAGAGAGCAGAATATATATGCATACATGCTATCAAATATATATATGTTTTATGACAAGGCGGAGAAAAAAAAAAAAAGAAGACTGGACTGCTATATATTCATTACTTGAAGGTGAAGATCGATGGAAATGAAAAGAAAGTAGAGAGTTTGAGGTGGGAATAGTGGAAAGAAAAAATGGAAAAGGGAATTCAGCAGCAAGGAATCATTTATATGATATGAATGGATGCACCGGATTATTACTTTTTGACCGGTTTTTGCCCTTAGTATTGTTGTGTTGTGATGTTAATTAGTAAAATAATACTTGATAATTTGACTGTTGTGTTTTTGAAAAATTATAATACTTTTTTGAAAAATTGTAGTTTGTGTGTGTATATATATATATCGGTTTTGGATTTTGAAGGACACTGTGAAGGAATAAAGTATGATCACAAGTACCAGCCACTAAGCTTAGGCTGCAAAATTAGATACATGAGGGTTATTACTCCGTGTTTGTTAGAAATTTTGAAGAGGAAATAAAGGAAGACAAAATTGTAGTGGTGGAAAAGCATGCCGTCCAAGAATAAGAATTTTAAGCAAGACAAAATTAAAGTCCTTTTCTTCTCCTTATTCGCTTTTTATTGTTATTGTTATTATTTAATAATAAATTATTATTTAATTAATTTTTATATCAATTGAAATTAAATATTTTTTTTTGAGTTAAGATAGCATCATAACATATTAGTTTTTCATAGATCGTTAAACTATTTTTAAACCAAATCAATTCAAATTAAATACTATAAAAAAATAATTCTAATTAATTATTTATAGATAATAGAAAGTAAACGGTAGTTTTGGCCGAATCAAAATCACATATATCCTCATTTCCTAGCTGGCAGCTACTGCTCACTAGCTGAATAATTCCTTAATCTCTCTCTTCTTCTTCTTTTCTTTTTTTATTTGTTTTTTTAATAATTTCATGTCTATTTTTTGGGTCTATGTTTTTAATAGTCCAAATACTTATGGATTTAGGTTTATATAATCTTAAATACGTGATTTTATTTGATTTGCTATCCTCAATATTTGAAATTTTTTTATTGTTTTGTGTCGATCGAAGATTCATTTGAAAATTTATGATAGATCATAGAATAGAAATAAAATTTTAAATAAATTTCAAGTGGTGTCGAATCTATCAATAAAAAAAGATCTCAACACCTTATTACAGATTTGCTACTTTTATTAATAGAACCTGATAATGCGGCTTGTTCTTCATTAATAAGTGATGGCAGGAGATTTCTTAAATTGAGACAAATTAAAAAGTCACAATGAGAAAAAACTCATTTGGAAGTATGTAAAATAAAGAGGATGAGGTGTTACTGATAATAATTTTTATTTTAGTGAGCAACTTTTCATTTTACTAAAATTGATTATGATACTTGTAAGCTCTATTTAAGTTTTGTGAAATTTATAATGACTATTTACTATTTTTACTATTGATAAAATTATATTTTTCTATGAAAAAAATATTTTTGAAAGTGCATTGATTATGTGGGTGGATTGAGAAGCATTCTATTTGTTTTTATTTTGATTATTATATGTAACGAGTCAAAATCAAATTTGATCTTTGTTCCAAAATGTACAATATAATGTCTTTTTTATTTTACCAAATCAACCAATCATACATATGCGAGTGCACACACGCAAATATACACACATATATAATTTTTATTATTATATATTATTATATGTAGCTAGTCAAAATAAAATTTGATATTTGTTAAATGTACCATTAACGTCTTATTAATTATATATAGAAAAATTAAAAGATTTGAGATGAGTTACTATTTATTCATGCTCGTATGCACTGTTAGTACTTTTGTTATTTTCTATTTTTTTGGCATTTATATGCAAATTTGATATTGTGTTCTATTTTGATCTCTAATATTTCTAAGAGATATTTTTGCTCCATAGACAAACCAAGCATACATGCTTTCTTCTTCTTTTTTTATTTTTTCTAGCAATTTATTTTAATTTTTTTATTATTGAATTGGGTGCGAAATTATGAAAAAACAATTGTTGATCTTTTTTTTTCCGTGTTGGTCGGTGATTATGAAATTAATACATACGATATGTTTTTAGATTTTAGAATAAATATATATATATATGTATCAAATTATATTATTGTTATTATTTAAAATTGATTTCCTCAATTTATCTTTTCATTTCTTATGAAAATTCCCATTAAATTAATTTTTTATTTTTATGTAGTTTTATTTTTTAATAAATATAATTTATTTTTTATAAATATGGATTTTTGAATAATATTTTTTTAAAAAATAAAATTTATGTGTTTTATATGCTTATTCCTTACATAATCAAAATTTATCGGTATTAATTTTATAGTTGTTTTTGCAGTCTATTAATTTCAATATATTTCTTACAACTTAAGTTTTTTTAAATATTTTTTTATTTATATTGCACACGTTGACCCACTGAATTTGTTCATGATATATATATATAGTCATTGCTTTTATTAAAAAAATATCTATGTATCTACATACATAACATAAACTTTTTGCTATTTTTTTAATATTCTAGAATCAATTTCTCTCAAATAAAATAATTACAATAATATTTTAGAAGAACCACCCAATAATTCAAATATAATTTTTTATACTAATATTTTTATTATTTTCTAAATAAATATATATAAATTAAGTGTGCATATTTTTAAAATTTTTGTCTTTTCAACGGTATTAAACAAGAATAAAAAAATATTTATTTGTTAATCTTTATATAATTTTTTATATTAATTGTTGCTAGCAATCTTATGAAAAAAATATTAAGATATTTTTAAAATTTTTTATTTAGATTATCACAGGTTTTTATAGAATGAATGCATAAAAATGAATAAATCATGTTTTTTAACTAAAAATTAAAAACAAAACATAAAAAAATAATAAATTAAGTACAAAAAAAATTTTGAAATTAGATGATTTTTTTATATATATGCTTTAGTCGATCAATCAAACTAAAATAAATATATTTTATTCTATCCATAGCATAGTGTAAAATGTGGACTAGTTTTACCTAACCAAAATAGCATTTCCCATAAATAATTAACTCCAAATATAACTACTAATATGGCCGGCCGGGGTTCAAGTAAAAAATGTACTGTGCATGTAGATAGAGTCCTTCATTGAATTAGTGGATACATAAGACGGAGTGGCTTTGTCAAACATCTTAATTAAATTAAAGCTAAACTATTCAAAATACATTTAATTTAAAAAAAATTTAGATAAATAAGTTAATTCATCTTTATATTATAATATAAACTTCCATTTGTTCCAACATTTTTATTGTATTTATTATGTTTTTAAATAATATTTAAGTCTTCAATTTATTGTTTTACTCTATTTTCGAGACTATTGACAAATTTTTTGAAATGTCTCAAATGGGAAAAAAAAATGTCAAACACAAAAACCATTTAAAATCACATGACTTGAATGGTCTACTTTTTAAGTCCTTAATTTTTTTTTTCAATTTCAATTAGGGATATTTTGGTCTAAAAATTTATCTATAATCAGAAAAATTCATCAAAATGATAGACTTTGAGACTTAAATATTATTTAAGAACATAATATATACAATATAAAACGTAAAAATAAATAAATAAATAAAAATTGAGACTCATATTATTATATTAGAACAGATTGAGTAATTTTCAAAAAATTTTAATTTAATTATCATGAATTATATATATATTTCAAGCTAGTTTTTTTTAGCATTGACGTGACAGTTTTAAAGAACTATGTATTTCATTAGTTGAAATGTATATATGTACATCCACGTGTTAAGTTTTTAATTTAAATTAGTAGTACACATGTTAAATTAGCAGCACACGTGTTATTTTTTAAGACTCACGACTTTCAAATGTGATTAATATAATTAAAAAATATTATTTATAAAAAAACCTATAATAATCAAATTAATTTTTGTATAAAAATAAAAAACCTGCCTCAATTTAACTGAAAGTTCATAATGTTTTATCATTATTTAACTATTTTTCCTTTCTTGAATATGTTCCATGCATGATTGGGAGGTGGATAGCTTATTGTCAGAGCTATCATCAGAGACTATTCTGTGGTCAGTTGCAGCAATTCACAAAAACAAGCACTCGATCCCACCTAAGTTAATAGAAACCGCCCAGTACTGTATTTAAATTATCTTCGATGACTTCCTTGCTTTGGTTTTTTAATAATCTTTGGTCTTCATCCTCAGAAACAAACAAAATGGCTTTGCTTCCCTCAGCAATCTCGGCATACCTCAATTAGATATAAATATGAACTATTTGGTCACTATTATTAGATATTGGTATAAATTATATTCTAGGACCTCACTTATTAGCTTAAGTTTTTAGATGAGATAGTCTTTTAATATGATATCGTAGCTCGATTGACCTTGAGGTCCCGAGTTCAAGTTCACCATCCCCAATTTTTCAAGTATTAAGTACAAAGCAATGTAGACTTGTGCAAGTTTCATACCTCAAATGTTGAGCCTTTCACTTGAGGGGTGTGTTAGAGATTAGTATAAATTATATTTTATGACCTCACCTATTAGTTTAACCTTTTAGGTGAGATGGTCCTTTAATAACTATAAACCGATTGTCAAAATTAAGGGGGAAAAAAAAAACAAAAGAAGATAGAATAGATATCAAAACATTTTGTGTAATATTGCTACAGTATAAAAATTAACAAATCTTTGAATTTAATTTTACTAGTAAAAAATTAAT